GCGCCCCCCCCCCCCCCCCCCCTCTCTCTCTCTCTCCCCTCTCTTTCTGTTCTGACACGGTTCGCTGTGTTTGTGCTTGTGTTTGTGTATGTGTGCGCGCGTGCGGGTGGGTGGGCGTGCAGGGCAGCTGAGGCACGCACAGCAGCAGCAGCAGCAGCAGCAGCAGCAGCAGCAGAAGCCGGGACTGGTCAACATGGCCCCGGATGTGAAGATCCAGGGGAAGGACTCGGACGCGAAAGTCTGAAACGGGCAGAACGACTGTGGCGATGTTTTACACGAAGCACGAAGGTGGGCCGCCGAGCGAGAGGTAGCGATGCGGGCATTCATATGCATTGCGGCGAGCCTCGGCTCACGTCATCGGCTCTGCAGAAATCGAACTGCGTTGGAAGGTTCAAGAGACGCAAGTGGTAGTTTCATGTTTATATTTTATTTCATGTCTCATGTCTCATTTTGGCTGGGACGACTGAAGACGTAACACAAAGGTGTCTTTTGTAATGTATTACACTGTCAACGCTCAAGTCTGCCGTGATGTGTGTGTACGGCAGTCTGTATTTTTACCGAGTCGAAATTTGAATTTGCCATGATCCACGGGCAGAGTCCGGTCATCTTGAGCCGTGGGCGATATCGGAGCGTGGTTCTCGTGCGACATAGAAGACCCGATTGTCATGGCCTAGGGTCAGCTACCGAGTTGACATCGCGAAGAGAGAGATGTCTTCTGATCGATATGGCGGCCCTCACATGGACAATCCGCACCTGATAGCTGCGCAACGCGGGCATGGTGCGGCAATGGCAATGGAGTGAGGGCGAACGACAGCACGGTCGGAGTCATTGACCAGTGACACCACACCGCGGTGCCATCGGGAGAGTGGGTGGGTTGGGATGGCTTGCTCGCAGCCATGGGGTTTGTCGCCATCGTAGTGGGGAGGGTGGGCGGCAAGGCATAAACATCATCGGACAGACGGAAAGGGGGGGGGGGGCTCTTTTTCGTGTACGCGTAACGGAGGGGCCTGCTGACAGGGAGCAGACCCCACTGCGTTGTCTGTCATGCTTGTCTGTGTGTCTTCTGTGTTGCCCGAGTGTTGCCCGAGTGTTGTCTGCATGTTCTCTGTGTCTCCTGGCTGGTGCTTCTGTCTTCTGTGTGCCGTGTCCGAGTGCGCATCGTCCGCGGCCATCCCTGGATCACCCTCGCTGGGAATCAGGCGCGAGAGCCTCGTCCGGTCCGCAGCGTCGGGGGTGCATGTGGCCTGGGTGTCGTGGCCGTGAGTGCCGGCGGCGCCGTCCGCCCGTGCATCTTGCGCCTGCGTCATCTGCCACGATCTGCCGCGTAAGACGCCGCCTCGGATGCGAGTCAGAGGGGGACGCAGCCGCGAGCGACAACATGTCGCGGGTGCGAGTTGGAGGATGCCGCGGGTGCGAGTCGGGGGATGACACGCGCGGGCGGTGGATGGCATGCGGGGATGCCACCGGGGTCTGTGTAGGTTGCGCTGTGAAGCGGGGGGGGGGGGGACGAGGGGACGAGGGGCGGGTAACAGGTAGGGGACACGCAATAATACGCGCGACGACAGGTACACTACCTGCGGATGCGAGTCGCGCGGTGCGAGCCACGGGAGCCAGGACGCCTCCAGAGGGAGCGCCAGCGCGGACGTGGAAAGTGGTTTGCCTCCGCTCTGCACAGTGCGCGCTCCGTGCCCCGCGCGTGAGCCTCGGGAGTGGGATGCGTGCGTTTTCGGGATAGTCAGTGAAGACAGACCCGGGCGGGCTCGCGGCGGGGCGGGGCGGGCGCAACGATCCGAAAGTCGAGTGCGTGGCGAGACGGAGAGGCTTGCCCGGGCGCGGCGCAGGCGCCGGCCTGTATGCAGCGGCGCTGTATGGCTCACTCGGGGAGTCGTGTATTCCCGCTGGTGCGTCGCATGGCTCCCTTCGGTCGTGTTGAATTCTCGCTGACGCGTCGCCATGGATCTCTTCCTGGCGCATTGCAGTCCCTGTGGTGCGCCGTTTGGGCTGTGTCATCCCGCCACCTCCGACTCGCCGCACAAGGCCGCCGGTGTTCGCTAGCGGCACTTGACTCATACTCCAGTGCCGACGGATGGGTTTGCGGTCTGAGGAGGGCGCCCAAGACCACGGTGCAATGTCCTGGGCCTCCTCAGGCGGGCCCAGGAAGCGCGGAGCACGCTCTCAAACGAGCCCCAGGTTGGAAGATCGTACGGGTCGCGCTTGCGGAGCACGCGTTCAACGGGTTCGACGCGCTTCCGCGGCTGTGCGAGCTGGTGGTGTTGGGAAGGTGTGGCCAGACCACTGGGATTTGCTGAGCGGCGGCCCTTCTCGCTCACTACGAGGGCGCTCTATGGTCAGCGATTCCCACTAGATAATTTATGGCAGTGTAGAATGACATACATACCTGCTCGGGCGACCTGAAGTCGCACCATATGGAGGGATCGCTCCGTAATGGATGCGCGATTGCATGACCGAGCCTTGAAATTGTGGTGTCTGCATGATTTCTGTCGTGGTGATGCATTGTGTACAGCGGCGGCACAATGCGACAACGGACGACAGCATGTTCATGGGGAAAGACTTGCTGAAATCCTGTCGCAGGGGCCAAGTTGGACTCCGGAGTAGGATGTACATACCTGATAAACACAAGGAGCTCTCACTTCGTTGCTTCGCCTAGCGCTGTGTAGGTGTGCTCTCGTGAACCCCCGTGTCACTTGGGAGGGTGAGGAAGTGGGCTGTGAGGGACCACCGCAACCCCATCGCTAGCTTTTATGTGGGCTGGGAGCGCTAAGCAATCTTGTATTTGGTTGAGGAGAAAGAAGTGTGAAAACAACGCATGGCTCAATTGTGCCTTCTTTCCCCATTATGCTGTCCGCTCGAGGGTGCAAAGGAAGCAAGCGCCGGAGGGCGCGTCCTGGGTTCGCGTCGACGCGTCGTGCATGTGACCGTACACGTCCCGCGCGTGGCCGATTTCTTGTGGCCGCTGTCGGCTCGTCGGAGCTGGCGGAGCTTGAAATGGTCGAACCTCATCATGGCGCCTCGCGGTCCCAACGTTTCTTCTTTAACGTCGACCTGCACGCGACGCCCCCCGTCTCTCTTATACCCGCCGTCCACGCGTCGTCTCCCACCGCGACACCCCTTCATTATACCTGCATTCTCCGTCACATCATCTCTCGACGTCCTGGAATCCTAATGGCTCCGCGTGCCTTCACCGTTTTCGTTGACGAGCCGTCGTCCCCTCCCGCCGTGGTGGACCTTCCTGCCGCTCACGAGATTGCCATTGCTGTGGCCCCCCCTCCCTCCGGTCCCCTATTGGTATACAACCCCGATAAAGAGAATATCAACCCCGCCACTGGCCAACGCGCCAGCTCCGAACCACTCGCCAAGAAGCGCAAAACGAACGTGCTCGCCACAAAGTTGCATGTGCCACCCCCCGCGAAGAAACAGAAGGAATCGAAGGAAGGCAGGAAGCGCGCACGATCCGACACAGTATTGAAGGTCGTTGAAACGAGCAAGCCACAAGAGAAGAAGGTCAAGCGGTCTTCAAGCTTTAAGCGAACCAACTCGTCAGCGCCCAGCCGCGCACGCCGGAGTCCCTCGCTTCCCCGACTACCGGAAGTGGCGGAAGAGGTCGAGACGGACAAGGCCCCTTTGGCCTTGTCGCAGGCGCAAGTCGATGCTCGTTGCTACGAGCTGACCGTCATGCCCCTGGCGGATCTCAGCAAGGCCTACGAGCAGGCCCCGTCACCCACCGACCACACTGCCCCGACGCAGTTTGAGAAGTCAAGCCAAGAGGTATGCACTTGTTCTATTCGGGCGCTGCTGTCTCTCACCATGCCTTGCCACTGTAGCTTGAGGAACAATTGGTCGCTCCAACGGAGCTCGAGCGTGTGGCGTCCCCTGTGCCGTCATCCACCAAGGACGATTCGAGGTCCCCTTCTCCTTCCGCGGCTCAGCGAGCCAACACCGTCTTTACCACCCCGGAGCGCAAACGTATCTACTCGGCGTTCACCTTCCGCACGCCGTCGCCCTCTGGCAAACGCTATGCCATGTTGCGAGGATCGAGCGTGGACCGCTTTTCCGATCCTGACTACGATTTCAGATCGTAGATGTCATACCATTTCCGATGCCGACACGTCATAACGACATGACCATCTCCCGCGGCAAGTGCGGTGGGACGTTCATGGAAAGACTCGCTGTATAATTGCAGGATATTCGCTATCCTAACAGCAACTAATGGCTCGCCTGTCCTATACGTGTCCTCATCATTGTTTGTGTTTTCCATCCTTCTGCACACTCTCCTATCTATGGCTTGTTCTTATTACCTTCCTTCATGTTCTGCTTCATTTCCTACGGTTCAACAGCTACCCTATCTGTTCCTGTCTTCCGCCGCTGATCATCTACATCCTCATTCATGCTGGATACTCACTGCATATTGTGCGCCATGTTCTGATTATCATCATTAGCTGTGCTCCTGGTCTCTTGGCTTGTGTCTCCTGCATTATCCATCTTCGTGGACTCTAGGCACAACAGTGTGTACACATACTACGTGTCGGGTGCATCATCCCGGTTTCGCGTCTTGAATAAAATTCACAATCCCACAATTTCCATGTGCGCAACAAATGAATGTCGGCATGATCTCGTCGCCCAAAGCTCTCGAAGCCTTCTAACTTGAACACCTGCCTTATTTGGCGAAGCACGTCGGAGTCCCAAACCTCATGGATCTATGAGCGCTTAAGATGTGCTCTCCGCTGACCGTCGAGCTCGCTGTCTTGTCCGTTGTCCAAAAGTCTCTTGTGCTCGATATAACTCTTTTCTGTTAAAAACATGGCTATGAACCATAACAAGAAGCCCTACAGTGTCAGTATGTCTGTGCTTGTGGCAGCGAACGTCCATACTGAGGCCCGCCCTTTCAGCGACCTGCGCCTCGTCCACGAGGCTCAGACGGCGAATGGCTGCATGACAAGGCCCCTGGAGCACCACGTACTGCTTCAGTACTAACCCCAAACGGAGCCTCCGCAAGCACAACCACAAAGCTCATCATCTCAAACCTGCATTATGAATTGACAACCAAAGACCTCAGTGTGCGTCGCCCATTTTCGACTTCTTCCGCCTCGAGTTACATGGCCTGACGCCTCGCGCTGCGCACAGCAAATCTTTGGACAGGCTGGCACGCTCGTTCGTGAGCCATTGATCAGGGTACGAAGCTCGCAATGCACCGGTTCACCTGAGAGACATCGATCACGACCCGTTTCGCTTGTTCGCCCTTAAGTACGACCGCAGCGGCCGGTCGTCCGGCGTCGCCATCGTCTCGTACGAGACCCTCTCGGAGGCCGCACGTGGGAAGGAGCTGTTCAACGGGAAGACTGCCAAGGGTAAAGGACATTCCTTGCTGCGCCCCATGCCTTCGTGACGTGTCCCTTCACCCCGCTCATGTATCCGTCTGCGCACAGGGCAACCGATGTCGATCGAATTCTACAACCCGCCGACGTCGGCGCCTCGACCCGGCCGACGAGGAGCTGCACCCGCATCTCTTATTGACCGGATACAGAAGCCCCCTCTTCTCGACCGGCTGAGCCGGAATGACACCCAGCGTCAGCCCAAATCGAGGTGCGTGTTTCATCTATCGCCTCATTTCTCCGTTTGGTTGATATGGACACCTTGTCCATCCACAGTGGACCTGGCCCCGTGAGGACGAAGAACCGCCCAGCGCCCCGTGTGCCCAAGAAGCCGAAGACGGCACAAGAATTGGATATGGAGCTGGATGCATTCATGGGCGACGACATCAAGCCCACGTCTGCGCCCGCGCCCGCAGCGCAGGTTGACAAGGACGTCGAAATGGCCTGAAAAGTGGATACGCTGCCCTTATTCGCTCTCCCCGCTCTCTGTATTCGTCTATACTCGCCTTGTAAAGTATGCTCCGCTCTAGTGTGATACGCACCTGTATCGAGTCCCGTATTTCTTGTACCCCGGTGCATTCAGGTCTGCCAATGGGACATCGTTATTTTCATCACCGTCCGAGGTCTTATACAAGGATACAATTATGTGTGTGGAATACTACGCTTAGAAAATCATGACTAAGATAAAGCATATTCTCCAAATAGTTAAAAGGCATGGCGCAAAAAGTGCGAGCGTTGTCCGTTCACCCGCATACTTCCCAGCGCCCATTCCCAACGCACCACACCCGGCCTTCGTTCTTCGCCCACTCCAGTGTCTCCTTCACGGTCCACTCACCAACACGCTCCCAACGCGCGTCGCGGCGCAGCCACGTCAAGATCTCCGCAGGCGTCGGGCCTGGCGGGGGCGACTGCACGGCAGCGCTTGCGTCCCATACGTTTCGCGGGCGAGGACGGGGCTTTGACGCAGCCGCTGCCGCGGCACGCGCCTGGACGGCCATAATGGCGTGCTCGACGGCGTCCGCGAAGTACTGCGGGGTGAGCGGTATGTATGCCTCCTCGTCCGGTGAAGGGTCGCTCAGTTCGCCAGCGTCCTCCTCCGCCTGCGAGCCCGCGCTGATGACGGACATTGCGGATATGGTGCTCACGTTCGCCTTCCAGAGTGCATCGAGGCTCTGTGTCCCAGACTGTGGAAGGGCGCGTACTGGTCCGTCCCATAGTACGATGCTGCCTTCCTCGTACAGCTGCCGAATTGCGAAGCGGAAAAGGCGCTTGATCTTCGCATGTTTGGACTCCCGCGAAGAGTTCTGTGGGCGCTGAACCGGCTTCGACTTGTTCTGGACCGCGCTACCGCTGGCTTGTTTGCGCTCCTCCCGCGCACGACGCCGTGCCTCGGCATCGACCACACGTTGGGCGAGAAGCACCAACTCGGGAACGCGCCGAAGGTGAGAAAGCGTGAAGCCGTGTATGCCGCCCGCGTCCGTGTCTTCATCTCTGAGGGGTACATGACCCCAGAATGGGCCAGAAGTCTTGGCTGCTCGTGGAGTGGCGTCCCCTTCATTGTGCAACATCTGCTGCAATTTATGCTGCAGGTGAGAAGGGCGAGGTGTGGCATCGTGGGGAACAGTTGAGCGGCTCTTAGTAGGCGTTCGCACTGTTGACACTTCCGCTCTAGTAGCAGGGAGGACGCTGGCTGCATGGTCTGCTTGGCTACGCCGTGGGCGAGGAGACGGCGAGACCGAACGAGAGCTCGACGTAGACTGTGAATGTCGATTATATGGGGCGGCATGATCCATATAGTGTTTGAGGTATATCCGGAATGTATTCGCTATGAGATCGCGCGTGTGCAGCCTGCTCGGATGTCGCAATCGTATCGGTGACTATATGTTGGGACTCGTCAGCTGCATTGTAAGCATGCTTCTTTGGACAGACGCTGACCTGTCTACCACGGCGAGAGCTAGACGATGATACAGATGATGGAGACCCTTGCGTTGAAGATCCGCACGACGACGGGGTCTTGGGTTCCATGTCTTCGATTTGCATAGCCTCGTCCAATTGCATTACTCGTCCTACCCCATTGACAGATCCATCTGATTTTGTTTCCCCCTTCGCAGGACTAGACTCTCCTCGGGCATGCTTCTTGGGAGAAGCTAGTGCGTGACGAGTAGGCGTGGGTATCACGAAAGGCCCTAGGTTCTGCGCAAAATAAACCGACTTATGTAGGCGTGTCACTGCTTGCCAGTGTCTTGGTTCGTCATTTGGTGACGTGCATGGAGCTTGACTCGGGGTAAGCGAGGAACGCGTAGATAGTATCGAATGCTGGACTGACTTATCTCATCGAGAAGTACAACTCTGCCTTCTCCCCTGACTACTACACGTCCTATAACGCCGACCGCAGACCCTATGGATGCCACGGGCTTTGGTGGACACGGCACTTCCGTGTGGAGACCAGCGAGGGGGACCCTTGATTGCTTGATGGGAGACCCGGAATGAATAGCTGTCACCGCGGAGGCTTTACCGCTGAAACGAACAACGGTCTTCTTAGGACTATTATTGGTCATCGCAGCTTGGTGAGGATGTCGCTGGATACAGTCAATCACGCCAGAACCATCGTCCACTAACCAAGATACACGAGAGGAGCCCATGAGGATAGCTACAACATGGGGTTGTAAGAGACCCACATGTGTAAATTGTTCGTCGTTCATAGACCTGTACTCCCACAAGCAACCCAAACAGTTGTACTGAACGGCATGGAACACGGCCGAGCCAAAAAAAATCAGCCTCTGTCCAACAAGAGCGATGAGTTTTCACGAGATCCAGAAGAATTCAGTTTGGAAGCGAACCTTTCAATCCACTCTCGCGCATATCCATGGCGTCCGCTATAAAGCATGGTGCAACCGCAGCCCTTGAAAGGGTCCATTTCCATATTTCGACCGCACTAGGTTTCTCGTCCCAAGTTGCATTATCGCCTACACAATTGGAGGAGAGGCCGCTGCTTGTTACAGAGTCAGGGAGATTTGCTGTTGACAACGCCTGTTCAATGTCTGCAATTCGTCTTCGCTTTGAAGGAGATAGGAGAAGAGATGAAGTGCGTGTAATCTTGCTAGTCGTGGCTTCATGCGCGGAGATAGTAGAAGTAACAGACATTTATTGACTAGATATGCGTTACCGTCAGTTTCGACAGTGAACGGCCATAAGTATTCTGATCAACCAGAGTCGCAGCGCGCAGCGGTTGGCAAAGGGGGTCGCGCTTTTCACGTGATCTCGTCAGACTTCCACGTGATCGCGATCCGGGCCACAAGCCACAGATCTCAGGTGGCTCGCAGCAGCGAACAATGCTGCCATTTCATTCCACATTTGTGGCTGTTTGTCCTGGTGCATATAAAGGAGGCTAGGGAGAACTGCTGCTTTTTGCAGAGGCTCTTCCTCCTCCCACACGGACACTGCTTTATTCTTCGGTCCCCTTTTCACCATGGTCGTTGCCACTTCCTCAGACTTCACCACTGTGTGCATTCCTCTGCCCCGCCGCGCATGTCCGCCTTTGTTGGACCTGCTCGAGCACTGGAATAACGAGGAAGCTGACGTGCTTTTTGAGAGCAGCTGCGAGCGTCCTTCATCGCATCAAGTAAGTTATCGACGACGAATCCTCAGATGAGACTAAGGACTCACCATGATGCCTTTGCAGGATGACGCCGACAGAGAACCCCCGTTGTCGTTGGAACAGTACAAGCAAGAAGTGGTTATGAGGCTGACTGGCCAGATCACCTCCAAGCTGCGGTGCCTGCGGAGCATGCTCAAGCACACTGATCTGTCCTGGGAAAAGCACAATGCACTGGATCGCTTCGCTCTTGAGCTGGACGACACCCTCCGTGCTCTTCGCACATCTGTAACGATTCATGTGACTGAGGATGATTCGGACGACAGTAGCGAATTGGACTTGCACGACGCCATCAACATTGCCGTCAACGGAGCGGAGGTGATTCCAACTCGTAACCTAGTCTCTTGCAGCACTAGCACTCCAAACCAGGAGTACGACTCTACGAAGGTTGCTACGACTGAGGGGGTCCATCTCTGCAAGCCCGGTGCATTCCACGAGGAAAGAACAGGCAACGTCAGGACTGGGTTCAAGGAACGGTGGCTATCCTCTACTCCTCACCTTGCTCGACTTGAAGAAGGCCAAGCAAGGGAGCCAAGGGAGAGGGCGTTAAGAGGATCCGCGACCCCTGGTAAACGCACCCTCAGGATCGGAAGGGGAAGATCTCGCACAGCCAAATTCCACAAGGCGCTGCAGGATGCCTCGCGGTTGCATATCTGAAGAATCCTGCGAGACCATGCGCACCTTTATTTAAGACTTCACGGATACTGGTTTTCCGATGATGCCTTGTTAGATGATCGTGTTGGATGAGCCTTTGAGAGGTATTTGATGTGGCATGTTGCTCGTTATTTTATTGCAGGAGTTGTGCCGATTCGTCGGGCAAAGTCGATCATTTGCTGTATATTTTATTCAAGAATGGTGATCGTGTTATTTTGCATCTGGCACTGTGAGCGCGTGATAGTTATGAAGATAGTACCGTCAGCCAGTGCTGAGGTCTAGCACGCTGAGCCCGGCACGATGCCTCATGATGGGGAATCACGACACCAGCGAGCCACACTCATCGGTGACTCTGGGGCAGACTATCTCAAGTCCATCTTCAGGCTGCAAGTGCTGTCGCCACCTCTTGAGCAGACACAATGGCTGACGCAAGTCAAAACCTTGCTAACTCCATCATGCAGTAACGGTGAAGGAACAAATGGCAACATGCACGTCGAACCTGTGGTGGCGCAGCGGTCGAGTTGCCTGCATTTTTATAAAGCAGTAGACAATGTACGCAGAAACAGATGTGGTAGAATCCGTATGCCTGATCTCGCAAAGCTGGCTCAGAGAAGATGTAGATTTAGGATTGCCAGGAGCCGATCGCACACCATCTATATTCCGCAACTCGCTTTGAATACTGTCGTATTGCATGAGGTAAGAACGCCTGTCGCACCGACGTTACCTTCGCTAATATCTGGGCATTGTTTAGATGAAGTCCCTCGAGAGGTACTTACACGATACCGTCGGTTTGGTATTTTACCCCAGGACGACATCCACATCAATAGACGAGGCTCAATGTTTTTTGTATCAAGTCGGAGATTCACGATCCGATCACGAAGTTATCTTGAATGTCGAGGTCATATTTCTGCACGAGTAAGCTGCTAACATTCAACAAAGGTTTAAATCCACACCAATTGAAAAGTTTGACACGTACGTGCCCTCCTCGCGGAAGGGATCCAGCGCTCGAACGTCTCACTTCGGAGATGGACAGGACCCTTCGGATCATTTCATCATTGGATACAGAGACTCTGGGGTCATAGAACGAAGGATACCCCGCCAGCACCGAAGAGGCCCTCGATGAGAACGCAATCGCACGCAAATAGTTCCCAATCCTTGTGGCGGCGGCATGATCATCGTCCGACCAGAATGGAAGAGACGAGAACAAAGGACAGTCGCTCGAGGAAGAGAGATGAGGTATGTCGCTCGCTACCTCCATGCGCGACTACGGACACATTCCAGCAGCGAGACAGAATAAACAGCTAGTCGTAAACCGCATAGCACGAGCATTTTCTCAGCCTCAACGCTTCCGATCACTCAGGTATGCCGATGCTTCAGCAGTGATGCGAGGGAGGTGGTCCTTCACGCTGGCATCCATATGATGATCATATAAATGCTAGAATGAAGGACCACCTCCCTCGCGCCCGTGTAAGAGCATTCTCTATGAATACATGAAACCTTCAATGTAGGCCGACATGGACACCATCGCACAAGCGGACACTGGCTACACGAAGGCATCGGCGCCCCCTCGGAAGCACAAAGCTCTGTTGAGAGCCGGAACGAGTCGGGAACAGTGAAACGACAGACATTGCGGCATTGAAACGACCGGAAGCTGCAAAATGGAGAAGGGAAGGACTACATAGAAGAAAATATAACGCATCACACTCACAAGGCGAGCTGTATCTCGGGCTGCTTGCTACGACTTTATGATTGGATAATCCCTTCCAGTGATCAAAAGTAGCATACATCGTTAGTAGACATCGAGCTTGCCTGGCTGTCCTGGTGTTGAGTTCACGAGTTGCTTGTGCCCGGGAAAGGGGTCCCATACTGTTTCGGATAGTGGCTTGCTAGATTCGGACATGTGTTGATCGATCGGACAAGTTGAAGCTCTGTCTCTCGTGTATGTCATTTCTCTCCTCTCAAACTGGTCGTGACATCATTGGTCCCGTCTCCTCTGTACATATATAAACCCCCGTCGACGTCCTGTAATCTCATGTTCCCCCTCTTTCTCGAACTACGAGCATCGCTTAGAAACTCAGCGACAAGTTACAACTGACTTTGTTGTCGTCTAGAGTTTGATCAGAATATTGGTCCCCCGCCGCTTCCTTGCACTCATATTTAGAGCTCCGCCCCATAAACCGACCTTGTGGAAGGCGACGCGTTGGAAACTGTACTAGAATCACGTGCATCAAGGGGATGTGGGGACGCGCCTTAGAGCTGGTCGCGTAACGCGTTGGGGGCGCTGCGAGGACGTTGTCTATAACCGTCGACAAGGCCATTGGTACACACGGCCTTCGATGGGCATCAACGTCAACCTTCAACCCCTTCTACACTCGACGAACCCGGATTATCCTCGAGCTTAAGTGACAAGTATTTTGTGCGATGCCCTCCAAGTTGCGGTCGCGACTTGTGAGCTGTTGTCCCGTCAACCATGGCGACGCCCTATTGTCTATGAATTGAAGCTGACGAAGTACTGTAGAACGGGGCGGGCCCGAAAGGCTCCCCGGAGCCGATGGACCCGGACAGCCCTGGCATCCCCACGGACCGCCTGACGCTCACATGGCTGGAGATACCTGCATGGCAGAGAGACAATGAGTTCATATTGACAGGCTATAGAAGGTGCGCACCTGTCTGTTTATCGAACTGCGACACGCTGTAAACCGCACAATGCCGTAACACGATGACCGCTCTCCGAGGTCTCAGCGCTCAGCGCTCAGCGCAGGGGTTGTCGGGATACACACGAGCGTTCGTAATGGAAGCGCAAATGCTCCTCTTTAGGTCCATGTGTGGCGTGCGCGTTTCCTGCGATGCAAACATGGACTGCGGTGACGTCCGAAGTAGTGCCCTGTGACGGCTCAGGTACATCTTGACGGTGGTACTCGTCAATCCGATCATGCAGGGCGTATATCGTGGCATTGCGATTTTAGTCGCAGGCCAGCTCCCGAGGCTACATCGCTTAATCATACTCTACGACAGGATACAATACAGCTGGCGAGGGTGTGCATATTCAATTTTCGGATGTATGTAAGCCCTGCTCGCCTCATATCGCGACCGGGACGGCCACTGACTCTGATGTGGTCCGCGATGGTCGCCATTGACGATAGACTTGCACAATGAAACCGGTATGCTACTAGACGTATCAATCTCATGCATGGTCGGCTCCACTGAACGTTGCCCGCGCAGTCAACATCCAGACACATCTGTTCGGGGCCGTCCTGTTCGGGGTGCTGCTCAGCACCTTCCACCAGGTGTACCTCGCGCGCTTCGACTCGACGACCTGGGCAGACTACGCGGTGTTCACCATCTTCCTCTCCGCCGCCGTATTCTGCCTGCTCACAAGCTCGTTCTACCATACGTTCTCGGTGCATTCCAGAGAGGTCAGTATGTGCCCCACGCGGCCTCGCTCTGCCCGGAGATCCCGGCTTGACGACCTGAAATATGCAGGTGGCCCTCCGATGCAACGCCGTGGACTATGCAGGGATCATCGGTGGGTACCTGCATCTGCGCCGTTTTCGCATCCGCACGCTAAGCTTCCACGATCGCTCCAGTCCTGACAGTGGGATCAACCTTCCCGTGCATCTACTACGAATTCTTCTGCGACACGCTGTTGCAAACGACGTACCTGGCCGTGATGGTGCTCGTCGGTACGGGTGCGCGGACCTCTTCACAGCTCGCGCGGGGCAGGCTATGACCGTGCCTTCTCAGGTGCCGCATACATCGTGCTCGACCCCGAGTACTGCAAACCGACGCACCGCGGGGCGCGCACGACGGTCTTCATCGTGCTCGGCCTGAGCGGCATCGTCCCCATCACGCACGGGCTGCTCACGCACGGCTTCGCCAAGCTGCTGACGGAGATGGGCTTCGGGTGGCTGATCGTGGCCGGCGCGCTGTACATCTGCGGTGCCTTGCTGTAGTGCGTCGTCTGTCTGCAGCCGAGAAGAAGCGCGCTGACTGACGCCCATGCTTATCCTTTATTCCTTATCCTTTGTGGCGCCGCGGCGATGGCAGCGCGAACCGCGTCCCGGAGCGGTTCGCCCCCGGCGCGTTCGATCGGCTCGGCGCGTCGCATCAGATCTTCCACGTCTGCGTCGTGCTCGCGGCGCTCGCGACGTACGCATGCGTCCTGACCGCATTCGGCCACTGGCACGGGCGACGCGGCGTGTGTCCGGCGTAGGCGGGGAACGGGCGGCGGTGCGGGGTTTAATATTAGAAAGAAGCCGTCTGTCAGTGCGTATCGCCCCCTTAGCATTGCGAATGGGCGTTGTGCTGACGGCAGCGCAAGTCTGGGTGGACGTGCGATGGTCTAGGCGTGCCAGGGTGTTACATTTGTGCGGTACTGGATATAGACAAAAGTACACGACGTCGCGATCAGCATGCAAATCTTATCGGGGTCAAGGATACGTTTGGAGGTAAAAGATGCGAGGGCGTCGGGCTGGCTGGCATCTTGTGTGGCTTGCTGACTTTCCTGTCGACCATTGTGCATGGTAAATGACGTCTTACCCGTTGATTGACAGGCGGGGCCGTCGGGCGGCGCCATGTGGCCACTTTATTCCTTGCCTTGTCATAGCGGGGACTCGCAAAGTGAAACTGTCTGCGGTAAGATTCCTTGTGGGACAATGATGCGAGTCTGTCAAAATTGACTTGTGTTTCCTTCGACGCATGTCTGATCTAGATCTTCTGTCTTGCACGAGAACTGGGGTGGCCGCGAAGCGCTGTCCCGCACTCACATCGTACCGGTGATTCGTCAGATTTGATGATGGGACTTTTGAAGTCACTACAATCTCAGTAAGCACCCCCTCGTCGGTACATGATCGCGCTTGGGGCGGCGATCTTCAGTGTCGGCGGGTGTTTTCTGAGCTTAACGAGCATTCATGCGGCTTGCACCGGGCGGCAAGCATGACAATGCGCATCATCAATGGCGAACCTGTCTTTGTGGCTCGCGATGTGACACGAGGGGGGACGCCCTGCTTCGATCGCCATCACATAGAGAGCTCCGCCGTCCGTCAAGGCCTTGAAAGCCACTCGTATTGACGCGGTGATATATTGGCGTCGCCGCGGGTTTCAGCCTGAATCAGACGGTCGTGTCAACGGGCATTGCGGCAAATTGTGCCACGGGACGGGGATGGTTGCTCTGGCAGCGAGCTTGAGCTTCTGCGTGCCAAAGAGGATTTTCGCGGGCTTCTGTGGGGCATAGCAACGGGCGGGCGAGGCACTTGCGATCGGACTTGCCATCAAGAATCGAGCACTTGATCGACTGACACCACGCACACAGACGCCCACCAAGGCGAACGAGCGTCGACAGCCTCCTCCTTGCGTCCACTCACGTCCGCCCCTTCTTCCAACTCTGTTTATCCAGTTTTGTCCTCCAACACTCCCATATGGATCTTTGGCGCTAAGCCCTGCCCTGGTTTTCTTTATATTAGACCGTCCACATTTCTCACAGTGACGGCACAGCTCCTCTCTTTCTGTCCGCCATGTACAGTACGGTGGGTTTTGTGGTCTTCTTGACGGCATGTCTTCCGTATGCCACCGCCCTCAAGGTCGCGCTCGCCATTCCATCCACCGTCTTCTGCCTGTGGCTTTCTTTATTGACCACTTGCAAGGACGACGACCCTGATGAACCAATGTCACTTCCTACTGGCCACTTTTCCATCAACACATCCTTCTTCCGGACGCGTTATGACTTCATCAATCGCGGCTTCGAGCTTACGGGCCAGTCCATATACAAGTTCAAGCTTCTTCGGGTGACTATCCTTATTATGCCTCCTGCGAGGCCTCGGCTGAATCTTGAGTTCGCAGAAAACTGTCGTCGTCGTTTCCGGTGCACCCGGGAGGGCAGATTTGTTCAACTCCAGAGACCTCGATTTGACTGCGGGCTTCAAGGCTCTCTCTGGCGCTGTACGGATCCTTCTGCTTCGCTCGCCGCGTTTCTGACAGCTTGTTCTAAGATACCCATGTTACCTGGTGTAACGACTGATTTAGATCCAAAACAGACGGCTACCATTCATAGACGCCTAGCGACCGCACAAAACAGCGATCACTTAGAACGATGTATGTTCTATAGTGCAGCAGGCCTCCACGCTCTCACTCACTCACGATGACACCATCTAGTGATCCCCAAGCTCCTCTTTGACTCTTGCCGTATCCTAGAGTCCTGGGGAGAATCAGGTGTGCTCGACCCTTTCACCAAACTCCCTGAGGTACGGTCTCCGGCAATGCCATCCCAGCCCGAGCTAATAGCCAATCGCTCCATGTGGCCCAGCTGACCTTCCAGACCAACGTCCGCAGCCTCGCATGCGCAGAGATCGCCGACAACGCTGCGACGGTCGCCCATCTGAAGCAGCTCTACGACACGCTGGATGCCGCCACGACACCGACGAGCGTGCTGTTCCCGTGGCTGCCGAGTCCAAGCGCGATCAGGCGCCTGCTCGCGACGAAGAAAATATACGACGTCATCAGCGCCGCCGTCGACGTGCGCTCGCAGTGCGGACCCGCACAGGACGATACGCTGCAGCTGCTGCTCGACAGCGGCGACGACAAGATGACCATTGTCGGGGTGAGCCGGCTCGCGTGGTGTGCAGCGGCGGCGCGCGTGCTGACATCATGGCGGACAGTTCACCATGGGCCTCCTGATCGCAGGTGCCCGCTCGACGGGGACGACATGTAAGTGCTGAACGCTCTCGGCAAACGTCGCCGCTGACCGCATCGCGCATGCGCAGCATCCTGGCTGATCACGTTCCTCGCGGGACACCGCCAATGGAAGGACCGCACCGCACGCGAGCTGCACCAGCTCCTCGCCGAGCACGCGCTCTCCACCGCCCCTTCGACACCCCGCGCTCCTGCGCACACCGCACGCTCTCCTTCTCCGCCGCCGCTCGCCGACCTCGCCGCGCGCCTCGCCGCGGTCCCGCTCGCCGCCTGGGAGGCGCACACGCCCGTGCTGGACGCCGTGCTCCGCGAGACGCTGCGCCTCGCGCAGCCGCACACCGCGCTGCGCCAGAACTGCAGCGCCGCGCCGGTGCGCGTCGGCGGCGCGGCGGTGCCGCCGGGCGCGTTCGCCGTGTTCCCGTTCAGCGACGTGCACCTGAGCGCCGCGCTCTACCCGGACCCGTGGCGCTTCGACCCCGCGCGGCCGGCGAGCAAGATGCCGTTCGCGTTCGTGGGGTGGGGGGCAGGTGCGTCGGCGTCTTCTTCCGCTGCCGCTGCGCGAGACTGACCAGGCGGCGGCATTTTTTTGGGGGGGGTGGTACATACACAGGCAGGACGGTGTGCCTCGGGCAGCGCCTCGCGAGAGTGCAGCTGAAGCTCGTCACGGCGCTCGTCGTTCTCGGCTTCGACCTCGCGCCGGTCGACCGTGCGGGCAGGGAACTCGCCGAGCTGCCGCGCCCGAACTGGAACGACGCCCTCGCGTGCAGGCCCGCCGACGGGTCGTGCTTTCTGCGATACGAGCGCGCGTGAGGGGCCTCAACACGACTGATACGACTGATACGACGATACGAGCCGATGGACGACGACCCACGAACGCCAAACGCGTGAATGTTGAAAGACATTTACGATCGCCCGCCCACGAAAACGTGATATTCTTATTCTTATTCTTGATAGCCGTCGAGGCAGATCCTGTGCGGCACGACACGGCTTTACGATACATACGCACTGTAGATTTTATGCGGGGCACGCTTCTGCAATGACACTGCTACCGCCCATTCCCGCAAGTCGGGTGGGGCGTGTCAAGCCCTCGGTCAACTAATACCTCAGCTGTTCTCATAAGGAGTACGTTGGGACAGCTCATAAAATACCCTAGGAGGACTATGAGACCCGCATTGTAATCTTGACGCCCTTGTGGTCTGGCCCCGTGCAATATATGGGGCATCGACAAGTCGACTGCCCATTGTCTTGTTCCTTCGGCCACATACGCCCACGTAAATGTGGGCGCACAAAGCCGGCTAGCGATGCGTCATTCTCCGCCCGTCGGTTCGAAGACAGTGCATCTGCGGTCGCAAGCAGAACCATAATCCCAACAAGATTGATGTGAGCACTGCACTGCATAGGGCCGTTGCCAGTTGTTACCAACAGGTTACTAACTTACCAACAAGTGACTAACGAGGGCGGGAACGGATGGGGTAAGCAAAATGATCGTGTTTGAGCCAACAAAGAATTAGCGGAGCGCGAAATCAACGTCTGGGTCACCCCCTTTTCCCCGTTGCAAACGTGACAATCCAGACTCATCGGCGTCTAACCGCACGGCAACAGTTGTTTTCGAGGCCAGTCAGATCAGCGGCGTTGCCGACAAGATCCAGAGGTCAGTTCTGCGATCTCGTTCAGACCCCTGCGGAAAGGCATCTAGTAACACTCGTGTCCCGCAACACCCGTTACCGCAATATTGAGATCGCTGTGGGACAGCTTGCCTAATCGTACTCAACATTGTATTAATATGTGTCATGGTAGACCCCCTTCCTAGAGACTCACTTCAGTTCTGCTCGCCTGCTAGCTATGTGTTATGTCGTGAAGTCGTAGTCAGAGATTCGCCATATGACCCGCACAATTTTCGGCTCGAAGATGTCTGCGCAGCATTGCTGCATTGTATTTTCTGGCTATCACACAAACAGGCTCAGGGGAAATAGACTATATGATTTTTTTTCATGCCCATGCCCTACACAATAGCGACCAAGGCCATCATCCCCACACTATGTCCATCACTATCACTCTACACGCGATTTCGTGCAGATCTCGCTATGCTTGTTGTGTGTCCGACGAAACGTCTAGAAATCAATATAGTATTTATCATAGTGTACTGGACCTGACCAAAACGCAGTTGCATCTACGACCACCCTACATTAGTAAGCTGCATGCGAGGAGGTGCTCACCTGCGAGCTCCTTTGTTGATGGCTCGGGCATGGGGGAGACAACAAATATTAGGTGGCGTGAGAGATCCTACCTCATATTATTTGCTCAAAGTTTGAACCAGGCCCGACCTTTCCGAGTTGCACCAGGAGGGATGCCCTTCGCTATCGCTGCGCCAAGCATCACGCCAGGCACGGCGATTGGGCGGTTTTCAGCCTGCATTAGACGGTCGTGTCACCAAGGAGTATTGTAGCCACATCTGATAGCGACTTGTCTGAAGGCGGGGCGAGCAATTGAGTGGAACAGACTGCTCTAACGAGACCGACCCATCAAACAGATATGCTATGTCTATGTATGTGCACGTGGAGAGATAATTGATATAGAGCTGCGATGCGACAATATGGTATTACACGACAGTGGAGATGCAAGATTGGAATCGTTGGTAATGATATGCAAGGAATTTGTACAGGTGCGAAGACGTTGAGACCGGATACACAGCATGACTCAGAGCGAAGAAAGCACGAGAAAACGAAAAAGAAGAGACGGAATATAGATGAACTTGATACGGACGGACGGCGGTTCAGATCACGATAGGGAGCGTCAGCTGCACTGAAGCATGCGAGACGCGACGAAGCGAAACGAGGAAGAGGTCTTCGAAGGCGATCTTCCTGCACAAGGCAGGCTCGCCACGGCGCACGCGTAACTCCTATAAAGAAGTATACGTCAAGCAAATAGGCGCAGCCGCGCCCCGAGCCTATTTCTCACCTTGCACGCTCGTTTCATGAGTCCGGTCAATTTGAGAGCAGCTTCGCCGATCGTCAATGTTTTGTAACCCGTTAGGATCCGCATCTGATATCCCCACGATTCGTATCCCGGAATCTATGTATCGAAACATATCAATATTTGACCGCTCAGATGACGACTGAGGCCTCATACCTCAAGACGCACTGAAACCTTTTCGCTATCCATATCATGGAACGCAGGTAGGTCCGCGTCTACGAGTTGAGACGACACGAGCGACGCGAAACGCTCAAGTAGATCGAGGCTTATTCCGAGCGCGGGGCAGTCTGCGATGTTGAAGGAACAGAGAGACTTCAATAGCGTAGGCCCCTGCCCTCCCTCGTATGTTTTCTGTGGAATCAATGCCTGGGCCATCGCATTCGGTGGTAGCAAATGACTGCCAGCAGGGACTTGCAGGGAGGGAGGAGTGACAAGAAATCCAAGAGGGATGCATGCTTGCTTGCGAAGGGGAGTTTTATACGCGTTCAAAAAGAATATTATGTTGACGGAGGGGTGGCTGAATATTGACATGATGTAGAATCAGACGCCCCCCAAACGCTAATAGCCAAGGCTATGCAACTTGAACAGAAAGTCTCCTCGAGGCAAGCGAGGTACTTAAGATCGCCATCCAAGATCCGATCAGGGAATATACGTTTTCCTCCGGTGTTCGGTGTGCAAGGCTGACGACGGGCAATGGCGGTTGAGGCGGTGCAGGCAGGACGGCGTGTTGGAACAACCGGGGGAGCGCGTACCCGATTCCCGCTCGCCGACGTGCAGCGCTGCAGCGCGATAGTAGTTGCTTCGTACCTGATTCAGATAAGAAACAGCTATATGAGTTAGAGTTCCCGTATTTACTTCGCGCGTTTGCCTCCCCGCCCCGCGGACGAGACAAACCGCTTCGATCTTGATCTTTTCCGCACCACTGACTTCCGTATACACTCGCGCTCGCTCGTTCACGCCTGACGTCGACGTTCGTTTCTACGCGACGTGCCTCGGGCAGCGCCTCGCGAAGGTGCAGCTGAAGCTCGTCACGGCGCTCATCGTCCTCGGCTTCGACCTCGCGCCGGTCGACCGTGCGAGCAGGGTGCTGTCCAAGCCGCCCAGTCCGAATTGGAACGACGGCCTCGCGTACAAGCCCGCCAAAGGGTCGTGTTTTCTGCGGTACGAGCGCGTGTGAGGCATGGGATGCCGCGCTGCAGGGTTCGAATGATACGACGATACGAGTCGATGGACGACAACCTATGAGCAGTGAACGATGAACGTTCAAAGACCATTACGTTCGCCCGCCCACGAAGACGCGATACTATTGTTCTCATTCTTGATAGCCGCCGAAGCAGATCTTGTGCCGCGCGCCGCCTTCACGATACACACGCACCGTAGATTTCATGCAAAGCATGTTTCTGCAATGACATTGCATCTACCCATTCAATCAAGTCGCATGAGGCGTGCGATTTGAGTTTGGACGGTCTGTCTGTCGTAATATTGCACAGCTCTGCCTGTAAAAGTTCCCAATCATTTGCATGGCATCACCATGCACAAAGCGCAAGACATGTCACCGTCTCGCTGTGCGAAGTCAATCCACCTATCCATCTATTACAAAACACGATCTATAGGCCCTCTACGCCAGCTAGGTCAATGTCGCAAACGCAATAATAAGGAATTACTAATTTCTGGATTTCGCCGCATCGGGCTACTTTTGTCATGAAGATGTCTGCTCGTCAAAGGCAAGCGGGTGGTGGTTGCTGATATGCACATAACGTCAGGCGATCAGGGTCAACGGTCCGTTGCGAGCGTTGTCCAACTGAAACCCTCCCCCACTGCTTGATGTCACGTCTCGCCGCCCACCCAGCTGAGGCTTTCAGAGCGCAGACCCCAGCCGACTCACGTAAACGTCAGACGGTCGTTCTTGCGCCCCCTCGGGGGGCGGGCAGCCTCCCTCTCGATCTCCATCTGCTGCTCGCGCTCCTCCATCCTGCGCTCCTGGATCCACTCCTCCTTCGCGCGCCGCTCGCGCTCGGCGATGCGCACGCGCTGCTCGCGCGTCGGCTCCCAGCGGCTCTTGAGGATGCGGCGCACGGCCTCGGGGCTGATGCGGAAGCGCTCCGCGAGCACGGGCGTGGCGAACATCTCGGGGTCCGCCGCGTGCATCGCGCGCAGGCCGTCCATCGCCTCGCGCGAGAGCCGGCGCGGCGGCGCCCAGCCCTCGGGGAACGCCTTCTTGAGCGTCGTGCGGTGGGCCTTGTGCGCGTGCGGCGTGGGCAGCTTGTGCGCGGTGCGCCGGAGGGGCGGGGCGGCTCCCGTGTCTGCGCCCGCGTCGGCGTCGGCTGCGCGGACGTCGTCGTGCACGGACTGTGGGGCGGGGTGGCTGCCTGTGCGCCAGGTGCGGCGGGTCAGGCCTGAGACGGTCGAGTAGAGGTTGGCGTGAGCCAGGCCGGCTGGAGCGGGTGCCTTCAAGGACCGGACGAGGGAGAGCATGCTGGTGTCGGGATGAGGAATTGGCAGGCAAGCGCCAAGGTCAATGTACGATCGACGACTTGGAACCCAGCGATCATAAGGTCGGATACTCCGACCGTCGGACAGTGAATGTTTAAGCTCCCGCACGATTCTTCTCGTGTGCCGAGTATTGTATACGCTACGCCCATTGCCCCCAATGCCTCTCGGTCGAAGAAAATACCCCTGGATATACTGCGAAGCTCGTGCAGAGCAAAATAATAAACCCACAAAATGCATCTGCGTCTAATTTGTCCCCGCGCGCGCACGGGCGCCTGATCTAGGCGATCTGTGATAAACGCGACACGGTACAGCACACTCCTCACACGTACAGCCCTCACCTCTCTCTCTCTCCCTCCCTCTGCCGCCGCGCCTGTCCTTTCCGCGTCCACCGCCCCGCTCGCTCTCCTCCGCCATGGCAGACCTCTCCGACCCGAACATTGACATAGGTACGCGCTCGTCGGTCTCCCAGGCCAGGACGCCGCCGCGTGACACAGGACCCACCCCCAGCGTACCAGGACGTCCGCGCGGACAAGACGGACACCAACTGGCTCCTCATCGACTACGAGGTGCGCCGCGTCTCGTCCTTCCCGCGCCCATCTGACGCTCGCGCGCGCGCAGTCCGACCGCTCTGACAAGCTGCAGCTGACCGCGACCGGCGCCGGGGGGCTCACCGAGCTCCGCGAGCACCTCGACGACACCAAGGCGTCGTACGCGTACGTGCGCGTGCAGTACGCGAACGACAAGGAGTCCAAGCGCGAGAAGTTCATCTTTGTCGTGTGGATCGGGCCTGGCTGCAAGGTCATGCGCAAGGCAAAGGTGCGTCGTCGTGCGGCTCCTCGCTGCGCCTGCGCGCGCGCTCACGCTCAATCCTGCGTGCGGTCCGTCGCAGATCTCGGTGCATTCCGCAGACGTCAAGTCGGTGCTGCGCGTGTTCTCTGTCGAAGTGCCGGCACGGGAGAAGGACGACCTGAAAGAGGAGCCAATTGTCGCGAAGCTGCGCAAGGTGTGTGTCCAGCCCGGTCTTTACGGCGTCCTTGATGCGAGGGCCTCACCAGGCCGGCGGCGCGAGCTACGACGGCGTATGATGCATAGTGGACTGGGGCAAGTGCTGCTACTGCTCCTCGGGTGCTTTGTCTTTCATGTCTCAACGTGCTGTCCCTGTATACTATGCCGCCTGCTTCCGTACCCGTCAGCATGCAGGAAATGGGAAGGATATACTGAACAAAACAATGTGCTTGAGAAAACGGCGGCGGGGCTGAGAGGCTGCAGCATGGCTCGCAAGTGCTCACTCGCGGTGCGAGCATGTGCTCGGCGGTACGTCTATTCTGGTATGTCTCACAAGACCTGAGCGCCGACGATGACTAAACAAGGTTCGCAAAGAAGCTAGTGTACCCTAATGGCCAGGCTAAGGACTGCTGATGCAAATTCTTGGGTGATGTTGCGGAGTGCACGTTTGTTTCGCGATGATCGCGCCCCCACTGGAGCGACAGCCGCTTGAGGAGCTAACGTCGAGCCAGGTCTGTGCCGTTTGAGCACGTATACAAGGTTTGCTGCCGTTGACGCCCCTACGTCGACTTCCGAGTTGGCCTATCTCCTGCGTGGCGTTGCGTCCATATGATGCGGGATGGCGACTGCCGGCGGCAGATGCTCCAGTGATCATCGGGTGCCTCCAATGGGACAAAGGAACTCGTTGGGTTTGGTGGCTTGTTGCGCGACCGACATGCGAATGAAGAGTCCAGAGGGGAGTGCGGGGACGATCGGTGCCAAAGTATTACTAGCGATCTTGCAGCGTGTGCTTGGATCGTTCGTGTGTAATCTCTACATCTGAGATCGACGCTCGGTACGCGCAGCTGGCGCGGACCCATGTGGGTGCCGTTACGTTGAAAGATATGAATTTGAAGTCTGGCGCTTTGTCATCGAGATCGCAATGTGCGCAATAAGCAGGCAAGTCCGGTTTGATGGCAGCGGAACGATCGAGAATCGAGACATTGGTCAGCACGCTGAGCACGACATCCTATCCCATACCCTGCTGCATGACGCCAGATTTCTATTCCCGCGGCACGGAAAACTCTCGAACAATGCTTGTGTAAGGCAGGGTGCCTGTGTATAAGAGCACTCCCCAGAGCTTGAGGGGACATCGCCATCTCCACCATCGTCAGCCACCCAAACTCAAGCTTCAAGACTTACACAACTACAATGGCCCAGCAGAAAGCAGTCGTGCTCCCCAAAGCAAAGGGCGACTGGCTCGTCGACTCCGTCCCCGTGTACACCCCCGGTCCCGGCGAGATCCTCATCAAAATCCACGCCTCCGCGCTCAACCCCGTCGACTGGAAGATCCAGGCGTACGACTTCTTCATCGACAAGTTCCCCGCCGTGCTCGGCACTGACATCGCCGGCACCGTTGAGGCTCTCGGCGAGGGCGTCACCGGGTTCGCCAAGGGCGACCGAGTGTAAGCTTGTCTCGTCCCTTCTCCCAGCCGTGTCTACTGACGGCCGAGCAGCCTCACGCAGGGGGTCATCAACGAGAACGCCCACGCTGGCTTCCAGCAGTACACGCTCTCCAATGCAGACGTCACTGCGAAGGTACGCCATCGTGTCCCTGCGCAGTTCCGTACCACTCACCACACCCCTCCCGGACGCACCAGATCCCCAGCAACATCTCCTTCGACCAGGCGTCCACCGTCCCCCTTGGGCTCGCCACCGCTGTCGTCGGCCTCTACGGCGGTGGGATCTCCCTTACCCCGCCGTGGGCTGACGGCGGTGCAGGCAAGTACGCAGGGAAGCCCATTGTCGTCTTCGCCGGCGCGAGCTCCGTCGGGCAGTACGGTGAGTCCCATCTTCCCCCATGCGCGTGCCACCGACTGACCGCCGCCGTGCCACGCGCAGCCATCCAAGTCGCGAAACTCTCCGGGTTTAGCCCGATCATCACGACAGCGTCGCCGCACAACGCGGCGTATCTGCAGGGCCTCGGCGCGACGCACGTGCTTGACCGCGCACTCTCCGGGGACGCACTGCGCGCAGCGGTCAAGCAGATCACGTCCGCGCCGATCGAGTTCGCGTACGACGCAGTGTCAGGCGCAGACACGCAGACGGCGGGCTACGAGCTGCTCGCACCGGGCGGCGCCATCGTGATTGTGCTTGCGAACGCGGTGCCCGAGGCAAAACAGACGAAAGACCGGAAGATCGAGCATGTGTTCGGAAACGTGAACGCGCCGCAGAACCGTGCGCTGGGCCGCAGCTTATACGCGAAGCTGACGGGGCTGTTGGAGACGGGCGCGATCAAGGTCGGTGGGAGTCTCCGTTGGATCTGGGCGGAGACCGGATGCTGACCATGCTCTTGCTTTGCAACAGCCGAACCGGGTCGAGGTGCTGCCGAATGGCTTGCAGGGCATCATTCTCGGACTGGCGAAGCTCAAGGCGGGCGTGAGCAACGTAAAGCTCGTCGGCCGCCCGCAGGAGACAGCATGAAGCGCGAGAAGACGACACAGTACGCACGACGTTATGTAACATTATCATTAGCAAGTAAATCATTGGGCCTCGTCGTGCATACCCATCGTGCGATCTAGTCTCTAAGGCCTTGTAAGGACGCAGCGCGGCTTCAAGTGTGCTGCCGACAGTGTACACGTCAGAAGTCGAGTGACAAAGGCAGTTCAGCTAGAATAAGATAAATCGTATGTTGTTGATCGACAAATGCACGAATAATAACTGCTTGTCTGGTACGTGCGACACTCGCGTCCGTACCGCTTTGCGAGAGAAAGACGAGGTAGGAGGGGAAGAGGAAACTTGCATCTCCCGGCGTCGAGGCTGGATTATAAGGCATACAGAGCCGGCGCGACAGGCATGACATTGGAACCGCCGAGAACACGAGGTGACGTACGTGAAAGAAACAAAAGTCCTGAGTGTCCGATCATGCACGTCAAATTCCAAAACGAGCAAGCTACCTTCCAAAACGGACAGGAACCACATCTCGACACAAACGGGCTATACTCGTCGCGTCCAGTTTGGTTGCAACTGCTCAGCTCCTCGCGAGTGGCTTGCCCAACGCGTCGTGTTTACTTGCGCGGCCTGAGCGTGACAGTGGGCTGCGATGTCAGGTTTTTCGGCCTTGTTCAGAGCTGTAGTGCCTGAGACACCGGTTTCATTAGCCATGCAACCGTCGAGGTCATGGTATGTATATGATGGCCAATAATGGCAGATCTAAGGGCCTTGCTGCAAGTCCGCAAGATGTCAAATTGCAGTCCGCCATCGACTTGGTTTGCCCGTCTATAGCATATCGCTGCAGGAAATTATGAAGGGCCTGACGCAGCCCTGGAAGGTGGCCTACGAGAGTGAATGGAACTTGGTGGAAACGACCCTAGAGTTCGTCAGTCGGTTCAGTAACATTCCCGCACGTAGCCGTCTCTGACAGAAGCGCGTGGTAGCTGGGCAAGACCCTCTTCGACGCGCCCTACGCGCACGCGTTCCTGTCGTTCATGAGGTGCAACTACGGACCAAGGCGCAGCCATGGCCATGGTCATATACTTTCACCAGTACCTCACGTGAACAGGTAAGCCTGGCGTATATGTGGACGGCGTGGTCGAGGAAACCGTGAAGCGCACGTTTGAAGCGCATCGAACGTGAAGCCGCGCTTCGCACAGCGTCGGTCTGTGCGGACAAGACTCCACTGGTTTTTCTTTATCTCTCTCACGAATGGTTCGATCATATAGTACGTACTTTGTTAGTCTTTCTGTTTCGACTCTACGGGTTGCGAAGACGTCGTGGCAGGCGAGGTCAAGCGGGCGTTGTGGGCGACTTGCCAGGAGTGCCGATTGTGTCTTGCACGCGCCGGTATACATGGGCTGACGCGGCGCTCGAGTCAGCGCCCTCTGGTGGTGGTTAGTAGGCCGTAAGACGCTCTGGGGAACGCTTAGAATCATGCTTCGCTTGCTCCCGGTATGATGCCCTATGGACTGCACAACGGCGTCGCACTGGAGAAGCTTGAAGGCAAGCAGGACTATTTATGGACGGTGAGCACCGAAATTCTACAAGAGCTTGTTGATTCAAGTAGCAGCAGCCATCCTGGGGTGTTTCTCGAGTGGGATCTACTTGCATCAAGTGATAGGTTATAGGAAGTAAATGTGCTCCGGACCTCTCACCGGACCGTGGGGTATTTTCAAACACATAGTGCAATCTCACGTGCGTGAGATCTTCAGCGTGCCCAACGAAGAAATACACTTTCTGGGCGAATCCCAAGTTTGTCCAGTAGTACAAGCGCCTGAAATCCTTCCCTCAGCTCGCAAGGCTTGCGAGCTTGTCTATGCCTTCTTCCTCCAGTCTCATACCAATCCAAGAAGTCATAGGCTTTGCACCGAGCTTCTTCTCGTAGAAATCTCTCGACGGCTGGTTCCACTGCATTCAAAATGAGTTTACGTGGTCGACCAATGTCAGGATGCGCAATAGACCACCACTCACGTCCAAGACAGACCAGTCCATCCGCGCACAATTCTGTGTGTGCGACATTATATAAGTAGTGTATTCGTTGAGAAGGAGGGCAGAGAGAAAGTATAAAATCGAGATGGACGCGTCGCTGACCTTTTCCTTCGCGATCTTGCCGAGTTCAGCGAAGAACGCCTTGCCGATGCCCTTACCTCTGAATGCCTCATCCACAAAGAGATCCTCCAGCTGGAAAGGTGTTGTAGTAAGAAATAAGTGCATGATGACAGTGTATCACGCACGTATAAGCCTGGTCTGCCGGTCCACGTGGAGTAGTTGTAGAAGTACATTGCCATACCGATGGCCTTGCCCGGAGCAGAGGGTGTTCCGGTCACAGCCAACAGCGTATGCGCGTAGGGCGTCTCAAAGAGGTTCTTGCGAAGCTGAGCCCATGTTTGTCAGAAAGGGCTGCACAGCTATATACCTCGTTATCGACTGACAAGCTCCGGCGTCGCCTTCACCATCTCTGGTGCCTTCTCGTATGTCGCCTGCGACTGCATTCAGCCTCACCGTTCCAGCGACGACCTTGTTCGAACCATACCAGACCTATGATCAGTTGCAGTATGGCATCCTGCAAATGTTCGGCTAAGAAGACTGCTCAGATACGGTATCACACCAAGAACCATACCACATCCTCCACGGTTGCTTGTCGAATAAAGTACCCGGGTTCAGACATGTTGGCAAATGGCGAGATACCTAGTGGCTTAGCTTGAGATACCCTGTGAATTTATATCAGGCTGGATGATGCCAATCGAGTCATTCGGTGGTCATGCGCTGACACGGGCCGCCTCACAGTCCCAAGACGCTCTCTGAATTATATTATGCGTCCTAGAGCCGTTAGACGGTTGAACAGATATGATATATGGACACCGACTATTACGGAGGAGATCTTCAGGCGCTGCAGCGGTAGAGAGCGATAGGCGTCTCGGTCGCGTGGCCTTTTATGGGGCTTGTATGGTCATGCTTGGCTGAACCTTAATCTCTTCACGCCGCCCAGTCCGTCCACCAAAAATCTACTGCCCGTCGTTGACCCCAGCTCACGACCCTACACACCATGGATCCCGCAAAATTGGCGAAGCTGCAGGCGCAGGCCGCGGCGAACAGGATCGGTGATTTTTCTCCTGTTTTTGTCGCGAAATTCCGCCCCTGCAGACGTGACTTACCCCCGACGCGCACCCCCAGGTGGTAAGGGGACCGTGCGCCGCAAAATCGTGCGGAAGACAAAGCCCTCGACGGCGCAGGACGACAAAAAGCTCCAGGGCGCACTCAAGAAGCTCAACGTCCAGCCGATCCCTGGCGTTGAGGAGGTCAACATGTTCCGCGAGGACGGGAATGTTCTGCACTTCACCGCGCCAAAAGGTGCGTCCTGCGTTTGTTCCCCACGCGTACTCGCACGTCGGAAGGCGCTTCTGCGTCCAAGCCCTTCCCGCGAGCCAGTCTGCGTGCGGTGTTTGTGCACCCATATCAGCTGCTAACGAGAATCCTCTACGCGTCCTCCCCGCAGTGCACGCGGCGGTCACTGCCAACACGTTCGCGGTCTACGGCACCGGCCACGTGAAGGAGCTCACCGAGCTCGTCCCGGGCATCCTCAACCAGCTCGGCCCCGACTCGCTCGCGTCGTTGCGCAAGCTCGCAGAGTCGTACCAGGCCATCCAGCAGAACCAGCAGCGGCCACCAAACGCGGCTGCTGACGACGACGATGACGACGTGCCCGACCTCGTCGAGAACTTCGACGCGGTCGAGGACAAGCCCACGGAGAAGACCAGTGAACTCGAGGACCTCAATTGAGCGATCGCAGACGCGGAGGTGAGGAGGGAAGGAGCGGTGTTGTGAGTGACAAGACGGGCTGTTGCTGGTCGGGGCCAGGAGCGGGTCCGGGGGCGGACGAGGAAACCCATGCATGCCGTTTGTATTCTCAGTCACGTATTCGCCTTTCGCCGCCAAAATTCTTCCGTCTCGTCTCCGTGATATATGCTATCTTGGCTCTTTTACTCGTCTCTGCTTCATTGGTGGTTGTCATCTATAGCGTTTCTGTTCTCTCTGCATATGACGCGAATGACTGCATTGTAATCTGATTGCACCAGGATTGACAAAACACTCGGCGATTATAGGCGATGGGTGTGCGATGAACACCTGAAAACAGCCTACGCGCACATCGTATAGCAATCGAGGTCAAGTATTCAACTGTGTATTGTACAAGATTATTACTTCCTTCAGCAAGCAGCAATTCGTGGGTCCAATCCATGTCACATTTCGTTATCCAAATCCTTCACCACTCATGCATGGAACGTGATGCCCCATGTCCTGACACATCCATCCGCCCCCGCGCTCGCAAGCTGCCCGTCGCCCACCCAGAAGACCGCACTCACGCCGCCCGGGCCCACATTCTTGATTGCAATATTGCGCATCGGCTTCTGCACACTCCACACGTACACATGGGTGTCGAGGGAACCCGATGCGCAGTGCTGGCCATCTGCTGTCCACGCGAGCGAGTTGATACGCGCGCTGTGGAAGGACCAACGGGAGGTGACCGACTGGCCCAGAGTGAGTGACGAGCTTGCGCAGAGACGAGACGGGCTTACCTCGCGCTTCTTCACGTCAAATAGAATGATCTTTCCAGATGACTGACGAGTCTTTAGTATGGGCCATGAAGCCGGGTTCAAAAGCACTCACGTCACCCGCCGCCAGCAGGGATCCGTCCGGTGAGAACGCCACTGCGCTTACGGTGCCTTTATTGCCCTCGAGCGTAGCGGCCTCTGCCAAGGCCTTGCCGTCCCACTCGTAGAGACGCACCTTCTGGTCCTGTAATCGGGTTGCGATTAGCGGGACCGATAAAGCCCTTGGGCTTGTCCATCGCATACCTCACCGCCAACGGCAATGGTCATGCCTGCTGCGGCCACCGAACTTGGAGTGAACTTTGGCTTGAGTTCGAACACCTTCTGGTTTGACCGGACCGCTTCCACCCCGCTGGCTTCCGCGACAAAGACCGTCGAGTCGCTAGCTACGGTAACTGCCCTGGGCTGAGATGCCGTCGAGGATACGGCTGGGCTGTGTAGTATGTGCATCATCAATATGACGGCGAGTGTGAGGGAGGGTATGCGTCTTGACTTACACAAAGCTCTTGCCGCCATCGATCTCCCTCACCCGGTCGTCAAAGCCAACGGAGTACACCTTGCCATCCGGAGCAGCAGCGAGGCCGGAGACGAGGGCAGAGTGCCCCTCGCCCTCCAAGTGTACGTACCCTGAGTCCGAGTACGCCAATATACGCCCGTCCGCGGTACCAGCAAAGAAAGTGCCAGGGGACGAAGCAGCTGAAATTGCCGTAGTGATCGACTTCTGCGGTCCCTGTAGACACTCAAGGTCAGTGCTAAGATCAAGTAACATCGGAGGCACAAGTACATTTAGAACCCGCGCGGGCTTGTCTCCCACTCTCTTATCGAAGATGTTCAAGTCGCCGGACATTGACAAGGAGACGATGTCGTCGCCGCCTGTCCAGGTGTTTCCAACTTGTTGGTGGTTCACGCCAGAACCCAACTTCCACGTCGTGATGGCTTTCCGAGCCTCGACGTCCCCTATATGGATCGGATTAGATAGGCCACAACTACAAGGTAGAAGACCGCTCTCATAGCACATCACTTACATAGCTTCACCGTGCAATCAGCAGAAGAGGTGACCAATGACTTGCTATCTGGGCTCCAGCCACAGGCCATCTAATCCGCAGTGAGAGTACATCCTAATTTCCTCATTGACGTATACTCACGACGCTGCCTGAATGCGGACTGTCAGTGAACTCGCCTAGCGTCTCACCCGCCTTTCCTTCATAAAGGAAGATCTTCGCATCTGAGCCCACACTTGCAAAGTGGTCCCCTGATGGCGCATATCGCACATCTTGGACAAACTTCACATGCGTCTTGATTGTCTGCAGCAGTGGTTGGATCTCGTGAGCTCCAGGCACGTAGACTAGTGCATACCTTCTCGTATTTGTATGGGGCACCTATGCAGCGGCGTCAATATCGACAGAAAAGTATTGTGAAGTGCAAGTCTCACAAACCTTGATGGAATATGATCGTCGCATCGTCTGCTGCTGTAGCTGCTCGGAAAGGTCTCTGGTGGCGGATGGCGACAGCATTGATGACCTACGGACCTCAGAAGGTTTACGAGTCATGTTTGCACTTGAAACGAACTTGGGATACCTTTGAATGTCCGATGATTTCTCCCGTTGACGATCCGCTATCCATCATAAACGCGTGACCGAATCTGTCGCACTGTGTGTTAATGACGAGTCGTATAGGTACAGTATGAGCGTACTTGTCTCTACCATCGCCAACAGCAATGATCCGCTTGCTCTCGCCATCCCATTCGAGGTCGTTGCTTCATGTACGTCATTCGTTTATTATCTAGGACTGAGATAACTGCGGTGGCTCACATCCGTCCTGAGATGACTTTGTATTCCCCCTTCAAGCTCTGGTCTTCCCCTACAATGTCCCATATGCGCACTACACGAGAGACCTATGTCAGCACTCTCAATGCCGCTCGATTGAGAGCTGCCTCTGAACGCGTACCCGTCCCGGTAACATCCCCGGATGCACAGTAATAGCCAGACGGCGAGATCCGTGCAACAGTGGTGTTCTGTACATGGCCAGCATATGTAACCGCCGCTGATGGGTTCTAGATGATACGTGCACAAAATCAAAATCAATGTATGTGCACTTTCCACTGCAAGTGCCAGGAGTACCTTCAAATCCCTGATCTAGTGGCCATGCGCCGACGTTTCAGCTAAACACAGGAAACCGTGGCCCACATTACTGACCACTACAGTCCTGCCGTTGGTATAGACGACCTTATCGCCACTGGACGCGAGCTTGGTCGCTTCGCCGCGCGCCGTCGCGGGGTTGCACGGGTACAAGTCTTGTTTCTTGAAGGACATCTTTGTGTCACCTATGTGTAAAAAGAGTAAGGACCCCTTTGTTTGGCTATTGCTGATTTCACTGGCAGTAGTATTGCGAATGTATGCTGCGACGGCGCAGTTGCGCAGCGACTTCGAGCAGGGGAGATGGATCTCGATTAGGAAGGGGACGAGGAACGATCACGTGTAAGGCGCGTCTCATCACAACGCGATCGGTTTCCCGTGGCTTGCATTTGCTCAGATGCAAAGGAGCACAAGACCTCAAATCATGAGGAGATACAGTAGAAAAGAGACTCACTTCATAGCTAAAGTTTTCTCTGCGTGCTTATTCCTCCCTCACGGGATCCAGGGGTACTTCTCCTGAAAACCACGAATTGGTTCGCGCCAAGATGAGCACCACCCTAAAAGCCAGCCTACGGTAGAGACGTCATAGAATCTTCAGAATAACAAATGCATAGAGTAACTAGGTGTCCGTGGAATGCGAAGGGTGCAGGAGCGGCAGGACAGGAAGTTTCAGTACAGGAAGCGGGAAGGTGGCAGAGGGAAGGGTATCCCACTCATATCCTCCCAATCTACGGATGCTACAAAATGGACGAGGAGAGGTTGAAGTTGGTAAAATACGCCCCATCGGGTTCGCTAGATTGGCGGATGGGCCAGGAGAGAGGTTGAGGGAGCAGAGGCCCAAGAATGGTTTGCTCAAACCGCTTGTGAAAGCGAGCGCGGGTCATTGAGCTAGTGTACGAGAGCGTCAGCGCCAGTCCAAATGATGCAAGTTAGGAGTACAGAAGTAGAGGAAAGGGGAGTGAGATGGCACCGTCTCGTGCTGCTCAGCGCGAACACGATATCTACTCATAGCGTCCTCGATACACCACGTAACTTATAGAGAAGGATGATGGTCGATATGCGATTTACCGACCGGCGTAGTGTAAGTATGTGTGTACTTGATACACGGCATATCAGGTGGGTGGAGAAGATGGGAACAGATCGAGCTGGGAGAAGTCCCGCACTGACCTTCCCACCTATCCAACATGAGGTCAGATCCGAGTCAGTGCGCATCGGCCATGAATAACGACAGTTGCCAACAGGGCCAGGTTAGCTAGCAACATTGATAATGAGAATGAACTCATGTGCACACGAATGAGCACAGATGTGACATTAACTGAAGTAGGAAAATGGTACATTGCCTTTCCGCAGCAAGGTATCGTTTAAAACCCCTCCCCAAGGTCCGGTCCTTCATCATCCAGGTCGCCGCCCTCCGCGATCTCCTTTGCGAGCTCCCTCTCTCGTTCTCGTGCATTTTCCGCCGCAACCAGATCCTTACGATGAGCATTGAGCGGATAGCGCATAGCCTGAGTGCGGTACGCCATCAGCGGATTGTCAGTGAATTGTCAGCAGATACAACAGACCTTCACGCTTTCATTGTGCAAGTTGGTGCAATATTGGATGCGCGCGGTAAACACGTCGCTGACCTCCGGCCCATACCCGCCTTTCTGTCCTCCACACTCCATCCAGCCCTTCTCATGCACAATACGGCCCTCGATGACACCGTCACGGATCGCCTTACCGACGATGTACTCCGCATCCTCTTCCGAATCCAAGTGCAGCTTCACGCAGATATCACGCAGCGAAATGCGAGAGTACGAGAGCGACAGCCGCCGGATGCCCGTCTTGATCACATTCTGACGGAGACGCACGATCAACGTGTACGTTTTGTCCTTCTCGAAGTCTGCCGCGTACTTTGACAGCGTCGACTGGAACTGCGACAGCGAGCCGTTGCGAACGGCTGCAGCGATGTGTCAACGAGACGGGCATGCAGGCGAGACGCGGAACACACCCTTTACGATCTCGAAGTACCCAATCAATGCCTTCTCGAGCACCGGCTGTCTGAATAGACCACGCTCGGGTATCTCGCCCATGAGCAGCTTCACCGCGATACTGAGCTTCTGCACCGCTTGGTAGAAGCCTGGCGCTGTCCTCTGCGGCGGTGCCCGGCGTTCCGCCTGCTCGAGGTCGTCGTGCGCCGCACTGTACTTAAGCTGTACCGCGTGAATACGCCCCAAGTAATAGTGATACCGCGAAAACTGTGCGTTCGCCGCGCTCGCAGGGAATGTTGTCTTCGTCACGAACTTGTCCGCCTGGTCGTAAAGATTATATAGGATGTAACTGCGCAGGATACAGTTAATCAGGGTCGCCTGCGTCTCTGCGTCGTGCCGCAACGATGCGGTGCGCTGGGCCGCGAGGAATAGTCTGTCGTACGGTTAGACGGAAAGGGGGATGAGATGTCAGCACTCACGGTCTTGCGCCTGCGAGTTCGCCTAAGAGCTCATACGTCCGCTCGACCGCATACCACACCTTTGCGGCGATTGGGTCCATGCTACGCCTGTTCAGCGCCTGCATCCGCTGTACAGTCTCATGCGCGAGAGTCATAGCTTTCTTGTAGTTGCTTGGCGACATGAGCAGGTGGTGCAGGATGAGCAGGCGGAAGTAGATCTCCGACTCGGGTACAGGCTCTGGCTGGGCGTGCTTCGGGTGTGTGCTGGGTACGTGTGTGGTGTCCACGTCCATTGTGTGGTCTTGCGGTGGGGCTGCAGGGAGCCATACAAGCAGCGCCTTCTTCGCTTGAGAGTCATCTGGTGCACGTTCAGCAAACCCGAGCGGTCTGCAATGGCGTACCCATACCGTTAGTGTAGATTTCCCCAATTGCATCCCTCAAAACCGCGTCGTCCAGCCTCTTTCGCAATGCTGTGAGAGTACGGAGAACTCGATGGGTAAAGCGAGGTTCGAGAGTGGACACGGCCCTCTCGATGAGCGCGACATTCGACCTGATTTCGGCGACGGGGGACGACTTCTCGTCGTGTTCTTTAGCTTCGACGTCGTCGAGAGGCTTCATTTCAACATCGGCCATGGTGGTGTTTCTGATGTAGTAAGGGAGGAGAGCGAGCAGGACGCGTAACACGACGCGTACCACAGTGATGTCTTCCCACGCCTGTAGGTATAAAACATTGCGATACGTCACCGAAAAAAGGTCCCAGCGTGGATCGAACACGCGACCGTACGATAACAGGACAGCTGCAATCGTATGCTCTACCACTGAGCTATAGAACCAGCGCTCCTTGTTGGGAGCAGCATCAATTCACCATCCTTGCGTACCCCATTGCGCACTGCAGACTCGCGACGGAGAGCTCGACTTCAGCACCATACCATGCAAGTTCTCTGGCTGTTCGCCCTTTCTGCAGCAACGAGGGCATATGCAGCCTCTCTAACCCTCCAAACTCCCCGCGTTACTATCACTGGGCCCGATGCAGCAGAGCTGCTTTCCGAGTCGTGAGTCCGCACCCACCGCACCCACTGACACGTACCCATACCGCCTACCAGACTGTCTCTGAATGCAAAGGCCACGCCGTCGCTGGCACTCGGGCCCTCAGATGTCCTAAAGCTCACGTTCCAGATAGTGGAGAGCGAAGAGGGCAAGGGCGTGCAGCCGCACCAAACATTCCTCCGCTTCTACGACGAGGTTTCGGGCGAGGAGGGCGTGCAGCCCGTCAAGGTGACGGCGGGGGGCAAAGCCAAATTTGAGCTCGTGCGTCTCCCTCTGCTGTCTGTGACCTAGCGCACCTATATGCTGACGCATACATCTGTGCTCTGCAGAACATGGCGCGCCCGCCGGCGTCGCTCCCCCCAACGACGACCAACCCGCTCAAAGTGACGCTCCTCCTCGGCTCCTTCGTGCACTCGCCCGCGAAGTATGAGCTCTTCGATCTCACTGTGCCCGCCTCCCAGCCGCTCTCACAACACCCGAGCGAGGCCGCCTTCCATCCCCTCCCCGAGATCACACACACGTTCCGCCCGGACCAGAAGATCCCCGCCAAAGCCGTCTCCGCGTTCTTTGCTGGATTCCTGCTATGGCCCTGGTTTGTCTTACTGGCCTTGGTATGTACCCTTCCGGGCACTGGATGACGAAGTGAAAGCTAATGCAATGCTGCGCATGACAGTGGTCTCAAGTCGGTCTGCGCGTCCCGCACCTACTCTCCCCGCACATCCTCCCCTTTGTCGCAGGCATTGGGGCGTTTGAGGTGCTTCTCTTTTGGTACTGGGTCGACCTCAAGCTCGGTCAGGTGCTCCTGTATGGTGGCATCCTTAGCGTGTTCACCGCGCTCTCTGGCAAGCAGGCACTCGCGAAAACGGCCCAGTGGCGGCTGGGCAGAAAATGAGTGGAAGCGGATGCATATTCGTCGTTTTGTTGTTTACTGCATTGCTATCTATTATCACCTGATTGTTGCCACAAGCAGAGGGCGTGACATCTGGCGGCGCGTTCGCTAAGACGTATAGCGCCTGTGGAAGGATCCCAAGATATCATTGATACAGTCCAATATACATCCGAATGACAGCGTCTCAAGCGTTCGATGGAGCAGAGACCTGCACTCGTAATACCTTTTTCGCTGCAGACCAGTCCTTACAGTCCTGATGCGACTGGCTTGGGCGCAACTGCCGGGGCAGGGCTGACCTCCGGCAGAGGGCCGCTAGTGGACTTGAATGCGGAGGGATTCGTACTAAGCGGTGTGCCGCTCCCGTACACGGGCTTCGCGGGCGGCGCTTTGAATGGGTGCGCCTCCGTATTGAATACGTCTGCGAATGTACGCAGTGAGCGGGCGGCGTGCCTCGCAGGCGACGGTGTTAAGACTCACAGTCATCAAGGCTGATGTTGCTCGGGTCGTCGAACGTCAGGTAGCTGCACGAGGATATAAGCATCCGGCGTCTGCGGGGCAGCCCAGAGACTCACAGATACTTGAGTACCTCGGCGAACCAGAAGCTCTGCATGTCGTCGATGAACGCCGAGTCGGTCGCGTCGACGTCGTCGATGCCCGCATACGAGGACGGCACCTCGAGGTAGTACATGAAGCTGTCGAGCGCGGAGGCCGCGCGCTCGACGTACTTCGGGTCGCCCGTCACGCGCCACGCGTAGAAGTTGCTCTCGAGCACCTCCGGGCGCAGGTAGTAGTCCGACTCGCCGGGGTATATGAAGAAGCCGTGCTTCTCATAGAACGCGATGTCCCCGTCCGACGGCGACGAGCCGGTGTAGTTCCCATCCGAAGAGAAGTAACCGAAGTATTCGGGGCCGATGCCGGTGCTAGCAGGCGTAAATGGGGCAGTGAGCGAGGCCGCCCGGGAGGCCGTGAGGAAGGAGAAACGCACGCAGTGCTTGCGTAGGTGTTCCAGCAAGATTCCATGAGCGCGAGGCCATAGTTGACGATGGTTTCATTGTTCAGCAGTTTGCCGCCTGTTGTCCAAGGCCTGGTGGTTAGTGCCTCGGAGAACGTGGATGGTCAAAATTCGTTACCGAGCATCCAATTCCCGGCCAAGTAGCACTCGAGGTGAGAACCAATGTGGATGATAGTGCCATCGTCCCAATCAGCCATGTATTGCCAGTCCAGCACGGTCGATGTCTCCAAGAATGGTGAGCTACTTCGAGCTGTCCAAAGACGGGCAAATACTCACCCGTGCCAGGTTTTGGATGGAGGAGTCGACAGCAGCGGCCCAAGCATCTGCGAAGATGTTGTTGTCCGTGTTTGAGAGACGCGCCCATTTGATCAGGTACTCGAAGTAGCTGTCGGATCCTCCGCCCCAGCTCTGTTGGTCGCACATGAGCCCGAAGCATGCCATATCGTTAAACGAGTGGCTAGACGCACCACGTACGATCCTACGAATTGGCCGGTGGCAGGATCAATGCCTTGCGCAGGCAACGCCGGCAATGGAGGAGGCTACAAGAGTAAGTTAGTCAAAATCAAGTGTGCAGCGTGTTAGAGTGACCAAGTTCGCGATCCAAATAACGGCCTTCTCAGCGAGCTCTCTGTATGTCTGGTTACCGGTGAAGTTCCTGTAGGCGAGATTCAAAGACCATGTATTGTAGTAATAACCTGGAGCGACCTACGATAGTGCTCCCCATTCCATCGTGAGCTAGGGGCACACATCAACGTAAGAATTCGTGCTCTAGATCACATGATATTAGAAGCTATACACACCGTGCCCGCTTCGGCGATGTTTGACTTGTAACACGCTGAATAAGAACCCACAAGCATTCACTATATGAACGCACCGTTTGTCCAGTAACTGGGGTCGACTGATTCCAGTTCATGTAGCCATATGGCACAGCGTTATCCTGGTACAATTTCGATAGTCAACAGAGCGTACACGTGCATCTGATTTACGTACCCCAACCCAGGCATAGGCCATGTTGTCGACAAGCACCTTGGCTTGGTCTACGAGGCCGGGGTATTTATAGCCACTGAGCTCATAGGCGCAGAGCGCTGCAGCGACGTATCGGATCGTCGTCTCAAATAGACTGCGGAAGAGCGCTGTCAGGAATTTGTCTGTCGATCGCCGGGATGACAGGACTCACTCAATCTGATCGTCGGTGGGAGTAACGGTGAAGTCGAGCGCCAGCGTGAAGTTGACGGCCTCCTCGAAAATATCCTTGTAACTCGCCTCATGAGCGGTTTTGCTTGCCATTCGTAGGCGGCAACCCTCACCGTAAGGCCCATCAACCACTGTGGCATCCGTTCAGAAAGCATACAGAAGCCACAAATCCGCAACGCACAATTGTATCCAATGCATCCACAATACTTGCACCCCAGCCACCATACGCGTCAGAGTAGCTCATGCTCACTGGACTCAGATCATCGTGCCCCCAAGCGTACTCTCTGCACAACCGGCGTGAACGCGCGCATCACCATGAAAACCGTGCTGCACCCACTTGTATGCATTCCAGCTCGTCTGGAAGACATCGACCGTGTTTTGGCGGTACGTCGCCGCCTCGGGTGGGAGGACTAGCACAGGAGCCTGGACAGCACCTCCGAGGACCCCGCGGATGTCCCAAGAGCAGGCAAGAGCGAGCGCAAGAGCCCCGAAGCGACGGCCAACCATGCTGGTAGCAAATTCCGATGCGAGCCTGCTGGGCGAGGGACCCGGCCTAGCGCGTCGGGTCCCGCTTTATAGCAAACTTGCCCGAAAGCCGGGGCAATCTATCTGGAGAACAACAGCATTGACACCGCTTCCCCGCTTCCCTGGACCTGAGGAAATAGATGGAATGCCTGATTGCTGACGGCCAGACACATGAGAGAAAGGCTATGGCACCGGCGGAGAGTATTTTTGGACCGTGCTTCGTGTCAGAATCCACGTACGTACGGACGAGACGATGTCGACTACTCACATGATAACGCTGCCGAAACCATGCGGTCCGATATTGAAAATCTATCATATCAGTCAATAAGTCCGGTTGGTAGAATGGGAGAACGAGATTGGGAGGGACGTTCGGTCAGTTTCAAGACCAGGATACGGCCTCGAGTGTTATATGTAGCACAACGGAGCCTTCGGGCAGGCCTCTTTGAGGAAGCCACAGCTCGTGTACGTCTGCACCAAACTAGAACGACCCTCGAGCATTGATATCGGTTGCACTTGCAAGAATCGAGAGCCCCGTGACAACCAGAGCGCATGGAAGAAGCAACAAACGAAGTGCCAAGAGAATCACTCTAGCGCTGAGAGCGCAAGCCTTTCTGATGAGTCGAGTCGAGTTGCCACAATTTCTGCTCGCGTGCCACAAATTCCTACTCGTTTACCACAACCTAGAATCTATGCCAAATTGAGGGTGTAATATACAGGATAAGAACGATACAAGTGTGGTGTATACCGTCCGAGTTAGGTGAGGGATCGTGCTCACGCGGTCTCTGAATCTTTCTGACAGAATACATCTTCGTCTCCAATCTCAGTGATACCATGCCTGCGAATATGCGGCGTCAGTAAGGCTTCTTCACTGAGCAATAGGACTTCGCACTTCTCTTTCACATGCGATCGTAGTCCATTGAAACTGAACAATTTCGCCTCGGGCACCCCATTCTTCCTCCTCTTTGTTGTCTTTGTGGCCTCTGTGCTGGTCTGTGCGGTGCCTGTCTGTTCATCGGTCTGTTCGTTGTCGGTCTGCTCAGAATTGGATTCTCCAGATGCGGACGCAACAACAGCGGCCATTGCTTGCATTGCACGGCAATGTCTGCAACCGTAGATCCTCAGGCCGCATCGCTTCTGGGCCTCCTTGGACTTGCCCATGACCTCGGCAACGAGGCCGAGCTCGATGGCATCCCCATCTGCTACTTCCGCAAGGTCCTCATCCACAAGGTCAAATCTAGGTTGATCGTGCCTCTTGCAATGCCGAACCTGATGCATCATCCATGAGATGCAGCTATTACGCCAGCACCTGGGTGATAAGAGGGACTCACGGCATTATTGAAGTCCATACGGAGGGAGTGTGGGCATGCGACGCACGCGAGCCGCGTGCCGACATCCTTAACAGCATCCAGCGATGCTGGGTCTTCTGCCGTTGTTCCCAGCCGTATCAGAATCTGTTCTATGGCTTGGATGACCTATGACGGCGTAGATGTAGGCGATGAACAGACAATACACAACTGCAGGTTGCAGCAAACCTTTGTGTCCGGCTCGAACTTGTGTGGATTCCACTCCTCCCTGGCGCGCTGCTTCTTGTCCAGATGGGGACACCTATGTCCACAAACCGCGGCGAAGTCCAGGGAGCGCTCTTCTCCGTGCTTTCTAGGCACCTGCGCGCACTTCTTGCAAACAAACCGTGCGGTCAAGCGATCGACAGGATGCAGCCTTTTCTTGCTCGCCGTCCGCCACCCAGGAAAGCCCAGCACAGCAGCAAGCCCCGCGCGCGCGCCCTCGCGCCACCGCTCCAGGTCCTCCTTGAGCAGCTTGTCAATCAGCGGTGAATTTCGGAGATCCTTTGAGATGTCGGTCGCGTCCGGGGCGCGCTCCTGCATGACCTTCATGACAGAAAGCTTCCGGAACTCCGGGAGCGTCGGAAGCACCTGATTCGCGTCCGCAGACTTGAGGCGGTCGTAGTGCTTCTCAACGTCATCACGTCGTGATTGGTACGCACGCTCGGCGATGCTGCGCTTGCGATGCTCTTGAATGGCGATGATCTCTGCTTCTAGCGTTGCATGGATCGGCTCGATGTCTACCACGACAAATCAATGTGTGCGCAACAGCTTGTATAGCCGATATACATACCGCCCTTGGTGATCTTCTCCAGTGCCGCGAGTCTGGACCAAAACAAGGTGCCATAGGTTTGCGTTTGCAGTAGCTCATACATAGACCATCCCATGCGCATCGCATACGACTTTGTACTGTAGAATCTAGGTGAGTTAGAGTCCGCTATACACCATGATGAATGAACAAACAAATCTTTGTTGGCCTTCTTGGTGATGTTGGTTGACTTTAGACGGTCGTTCCGCCAAGTTAGGAGCGTGTTGGCATGCTAATTGAGTTGTCCGTTATGATATACCCTGACTAGCTCGCGAGTCGAAGTGTTAGTTACGCACCTCCATAATGACAGGTAACCGGTCGGCGAGTCGCTGTTTCTCTTCGAGGTATGCATCAAGATCCCCAGCTATATAAACCCTGTTGAGCTCGTCCACTGCCTGCTCCCAATCCGTCTTCCTAACGCAAACACGACTTGATTGACTGAATATCATAAATGTAAATTCAGCGTCTACAAGGTTTCGTTAATGATGACCTTGACGAATGAACCGGAAACTTACATATGTCGACCACGACGGGTTGCTCCAGTCGAGGTATCCACGCCACGACATCTTTATAGCGCTCTTCAACCGCTGAGTCAATCGCGCGGATATTCTGTCCCCTTCAATGGGAGCATGCTTATTGACGGTGCTCTTTGCAAACAGAAGAATGAGACGTACGTCCAAACTTTCTGACACTCCTTCTGTATGTACAGATTATTTGATATAATTACAGCTACACCTGGAGTGGACATACCTTATCGCAAAAACGTATCCGCGTAGTGAATGAATAATACGGCTCTTTGGTCCTCTTGCCACAATTCTGGCAGATGCGACGTCAGGAGCGGATCTTTGTCGACTACTTATCTGAACGTACATCGCAAAGACCGCCATCAAACAGGAAGGCTGCATATGAAGCTTCCGTGAAATTGGGCGTGGGATCAGGCACCGCCATGGGATGACAGCATTCGCGTGCACGCCTCCAAATGAAAGCCGTATCGGGGTTGTTCACCAGTGTATGGCAGAAGAACTTGTTGCATCGGGCGAGCGAGATAACGTCTCTGGGAGAGCTCGCGTAAGATAGGATCTCAGCTAGGATTTCCAGCGGCAAATCTTGGAGGTAGCATGGAATCAATGTGGTATCCTCAGGTAGTTTCTTCTTCCCTCTACGTTTCTTCGCCAAAGGAGGGACAGGGGCTGTCGATGCGCGGACGGCAATAACGGCCCCTTGCCCACTTTCTGAAGAGGAAATAGGCTGACTGCCTATACGCGGATCTACCTCCATCACTTGGAAGTCTGTGGGTGGTGTGTATAATGGCTAGGTGTGCGGTAGAAGGTATAACCTGCGAGACAATGTGTCGAGTAAGTTACAAAGCTGAGACAAACTAGAAGGACAGTCCCAACGCGGGGAAGGTACGGTCACGTGCACTCTCTCACGCTTGGGGTAAAGAACAGAAACAAGACTGCTTGTTGCTACTGGTCTTCCCATGCTTAACATTTATCTATTGCTGTTGCATGAACCGTTGCGGTACCACCTGATACTCATGCTACTGGTGCTGTCCTCCCAAATGAGCCTACCCTGTGCCCCTTTGCCACATACACGTCTACCATCAGAACAATGCCTGACGTATAACAGCTGGCACAACGGGCCTTCGATGACAGGGCATGACAAGATCTTCTCCTCATCCTGATCAGCACACGCCTGGTGGCGACAGAAGGAAGACGGCAGCACTGATGGACGCGCATCTAGTTCGCCTCAGTCCTATTGAGTACTGCCACAGGCAGCCGAATTCTTCGGACACATATATGCAAGTATTTATGGGGTGTCACTCATGCTTGACACATGGTAACCTGCACCCCATCTATCTCGCCCGCACGCCATGGAGTCAAGGAGCCTCGCTGTCGAGCTCATCTACCATATCATCGACCACCTCTGGGACGACCGAGACACGCTCGTCGCCTGCAGTCTGGCCTCGCGTGCGTTGCTCCCTGCCACGCGTTACCACCTTTTCCATACCGTGAAGCTATCGCGGCCGTCTGACAGCACCCGATTACGCAGTGTCCTGGACGGCTCCGCTGTCCGAGGCTCTGACGTCGCGTACTACGTGCGCGAGTTGCGTATCACGCCTGAGCTGACCTACTATGGCTCCGACAAATGGGAGGGTTGTAACCTCTCAGAGATACTGCAGAGGGTCAAGGGAGTTGAATGCCTTCGGTTGGGGCCGCTCAACTGGCAATCCCGCTTCATAGAGGGTGCTGGGCAATTGTTACTCTCCTTCACACAGCTGGAAACACTTTTCCTGGAAGATGTCTACTTCGACGAGCTTGACGACATGCTCCACTTTCTGTCAGTATACCCGAATCTAAGCACGCTACACCTTCTGCGGTGTCTTTGCAAGCAGATCACGTACCCTTCGGCATTCCCAGCGTCCCCGCAACTCGAAGCTGGTACAAATCGCCTCCAGGAGCTGGTGTTCCACGGGCTTCCGCCATGCTATTCCAGCAGGGTAGTGCAATGGCTAGACAGCTCATCTCGCCTCCGCCTGCGCAAGCTGCAGTGGCTGTGCAACAAACACGGAGACGAGCAGGCCGGCTTGGTCACGCTGCTCCGAAATCAGCGCGTCGCCGCCTACCTCGAGCACTTGTACATCGAGGTCATCCATTTTGACGGGAAACCCCGTATCACGTCTGACGACGGTATGTGCCTCTCCCGCAGCGTTCTCTGCGGTCTCTGACAGTCATCATGCAGATACGCTCGATTTATCCAGCCTCACATCTGTGCGCGACATCTCCCTCGAGATCGGGCCGTACTCGCGCGACGTGTTGTGGCTCCCCCAGATCGGGGCTATCCCCTCCCGCATGCTACGGCAGATCCGCTTTGTTGTCTGGGGCCGCGATATCCGCTACTGCCGCTCGTTCTACGAGGGCCTGACTGACTGGGCGTCCTTGGACGCGGCGCTAGCAGGCGCTATCGGGACACGCTGGCCGGAGTTGACAGTGGTATTTGAGGTACGCTGGTATGGCGCTGGGGAAGGCATCACGCCTAAGGTTGTCGATCTGTTTGGCGAGCTCCTCCCAAATACGCATGCAAAGGGTGCGCGCATTGAGGTGTTGTACAGCGGCCCGCGCGAGCAGTTGGTCGGGTACCGTGCGTAGAATGCAAGCATGCTTAGCAGGCCCGACGCATCATTATCGATGACATCCCACTTCGATTGCCTTGGACTTTCTTGTCTGAATGAGTAAATAAAATATGCAGCGTATCTCTTCGTATGTCTCACACTTGAGAATAAATATCCGAGAATGTCGATATCACTTGATCGGGCATGAATTTGTTGATCGATCGACATTTTTGTCCTTTGTGTGGCGTAGCATCTCTTTCATTCTCGCATGCAGTATGTAATTGCTCTTAACGACATATCATAGTGTCCCATACTGACATAACATATTAGCCATAAGAGTGTTTCAGCTTCTATGAACATGAGATCTTATATGACGTATAGAACAGTCGATCATCAATGAGGCCTCATGCGTCATGTTTTACCAGGTGCACGCGCGAGGGGTTACAACATTGCCGACGCAGAGCTCACGGTTGAACCTGGGCCGCCATCTAGATGGAAGAGAGTAAACTCCGTTCGAACACCGGGGAGGCGTGGTCGAGGTGCGCGCAAGTTTTGAAGGAGCACGATGACGGTCAAGTGAGGGCATGGAAGGAAGAAATTGACACCTTGCTTGTGTTCGTGAGTACATTTTGCATGTCTTAGTGCCTAGATCTCGCGAGGTGCCGCAGTTTTACCCTCAATACATTCACTGCGTGATGGAATGATTGCTCATCTTCGTCGCAGGCCGGTCTTTTCTCTGGAGTGCTTACTGCCTTCAATGTCCAGTTCTATGCATTGCTGCAGCCCGATGCCACAACCGCCCAAACCGCCATGCTTCTGCACATATCTATGCAGCTTGGGAATAGCAATTTGAATAGCGGCGAGGTCGCGCAGGCGTCCCGCAGCCATGCCACGTCACAACTTGAAATGTTGGCACTTTCAGCCACAGGGACCAGCGTCCCAATGTCGGCAGTGCGAATAAACGTTCTCGTGTTCGCGAGCTTAGTCTGCAGTCTGGCCGCAGCTTCCATGGCCATCCTCGTCAAGCAATGGCTCGCCCAGTACACATACGGCCTCTCCGGCACATCGCGCGACAGCGCACGGCTGCGGCAGTACCGCGACGACGGTCTCCTCAGATGGAAAGTGGCGAAGATCATCATGCTGCTCCCCATGCTGCTGCAGGTCGCGCTGCTGCTCTTCTTCGCCGGCCTCCTGGAATTCCTGTGGACCCTGCACGAGACCGTCGCCCTCGTCTCGACCGTCTTGGTGGGCATGCTCGTGCTGTTCTTCGCCATCACGTTGATACTCCCCACAATCTCGCCCGACTGCCCATACCAGAGCGCGCAAGCCTTTGGGGTGTTTGCGATGATCAGCATCGCGAAGGCCTCCCTGCAGATCGTCTGCGCCTTTCTCCGCGACAGGCTCGACCCATGGCTTCTCGGCTCGTCCATGCGCGCGTATTGGCGCGCACATACGTTCCAGTCCCTCTCCAAATTCATCCGCGACCCTACGTACTACCGCTGGGAGGACCGCGAGCGCGCGCACATCCTGAACTCCACCGCCAGGCTGGACGAACGCACGCTCAACACCGTCGATCGCGTCCTCGCGGACGACGCGTTCCTGGAGGGCGTCATATCGCCGTGCATCAGCGACATGGCGCCCGGCGATGCCCTGGCCGTCTTCAAGGGCGCGATGGCGCGCCGCGCAGAGTACCTCCAGGACGGGCTCGCAACCTGGCACTCGAACGTCGGGAATAGGTTCATGGTCACCCTCTCCATGATGCACGTCGGGCTCGACATGCTCGTCAAGATCGACGAGGACGACAACCCGGACCGCCGGCGGGACGTCTTCCGGATCGTGACCTCGATGTGGTATAGCTGGCAGCGGCCGCCCGTCTTGCAGGCGGCGACGCTCGCGAGGCTGCGTCGTCTCTTGGAAGTGCTCCCTAGCGAGCGGTTCCGGTGGCGGGACCGCTATTTCCTGTTCTTACAGATCTACGAAACGCTGAATCAAGCAGAAAACCCAGGCGACTTCAGTTGGGAAGGTTCGTGTGCAAGCCCGCGCATATCATCCATTTAGATTTTGACGTCTTCCTCCTGCTACGAACAGTCACGACAGCACTTAGCTCTTGTTTACCTTCGTTGCAGACCGCGTCGCCGGAGTACAAGTCAAACTATCTCTGGTGTCTCTTCGGCGTCGCCCAACTCCTCATCAAAATATGTGTCTCGTGGCGCATATCCCCAAGCTCGGACCATCCTGCAATCCATACACTCGCCGAGATACAGGAACAGGTCAAATCGGCAGATTGGTGTAGCGTGCCGCCATTATCGCGGTTACGGATGTTGTCCATGCTCACTGGGTCTCTGTCTGCGTCGGCAGAGAAGAAAATCTATATTCCACCAGCCACGTTCGTCCAGATCTTGGCAGATGCCACGATTAACTTGGAACCTCCTGGAGAGTCAGATCAATGGATCACAGAACGGGCGTCGCTGGAAAAGGCACTCAATACCCTCAGGATAGCCAAACGATTTTGACGCTAATGTCCCGTAGAGTAGAAATGTTTACCACTTGTCATTGCTGTAAGCAGGTGAAGCCATGTTGGGTGCAAGAGACATAGACAAACATCCAGCGCGCCCTGTGAATGCCACCAGTACCATCCAAGCTTACGATTGCCACATTAAAGTGATAATGAGCGATGTAATATTAGCCTGGTATCATGTGTAACAGCATGCATGAAAGACCGAGAGAAACCGTAGAATATCCAGGTGAACAACAAAAAAGGCAACATCAGTTCCCGCCAGGCTTCCTGCAGACGGCGAGATACATTGGCGTGAAGAGCTGGTAGAGTAGTCAGCGCATGGCAATGAATATTTGTTGGTGCCGCCATACCTTAGCCCTGCCGCTATCGACTAATGAGTCTCCGGCAATTTTGAGCGTCTCACCAACCTCCCAGGTGCCCTTGGGGACGACACCAAGCTGCTCGATGAACCATAGCCCGTAATGTGTCACGAGCTTGCCGCTCCAGCTACAGCGCCAGACAGTGAGCAGGTCCCACGCGGTCTGCGCCTTGCGGATGTCACCCTCGAGTGGGTAGTACCATGGGACCTCATCTGGGCGGTCTGCAAGGTCCTCCTCGTGCTCCACAACAAAGCCGACGTTGCGCATCGCCTGACGCGCCTGCTTGAGCGGGCGCATTTCGGGAATGCCGTTGCCGATTTCGATGCGGTTGGCGAGCTCCTTGTGCGCGGGGATAGACGGATCCCACGCGTCGGTCATGACCCACTCGTACACACCGAACTACACGGCCAAAACATGAGCGCACAGGCCACGTTTGAGAAATCTCATGACATACCACTCCTCCCGGCTTGAGCACCTTCATGATCTCGCCGTACACACCCTCGAATGTAGGCGCGTGGACGGTCGCCTCGATAGCGTACACTGCATGCATGTCAGCTGCCTGCTGCCTGTCACGTGGGCGTGACACTCACCAGCGTCGAATGAGTTCTCGCCGAACTGCTCAGACAGCTTCATGAAGTCGCCCTTCACGAACGAAACCTGGTTCTCCAGGCCCGCTTGCTTGGTGTATTTGCGCGCGCGACCGATTTGGAAGTCGTTGTTGTTCAGGCCAACAATCGTCACGTCGGCGAACCGCGCGATCTCGCGCGCAGGCCCGCCGACACCGCAGCCAACGTCAAGTACCCGCATTCCGGGGCGAAGGCCCATCTGCGCCGCAAGGTAGTGCTCATGACGAGCAAGGCCTGCCTGGAAGGCCTCGCCCTTGTAGAAGCGGCAGAAGTGGAACGACCGTGCCCAACCAAACTCGTAGAGCCCGGTCGCACCATCGTAATAGCCTTTAGTTGCACTCGCATTAGTACTAGGGTGACAGCAAGCATGCGAATCGAGCCCACCGTTGACAACATCCGTGTAGCTGTCAACACGGTTGTCGGTATCTGCCTTGCCATCCTTGCTGATGTCCTTCTGCCAGAACTTGGTGTAGTTTTGGATGCGTTCGTCGACACGACCGTCAGCGAGTGCGGGCATTTTGGGAGGGCGTAGAGGGGTATAGTCGGGCGAATGAAGGAGCGTCAGCAGGTGAGGTCGCACAGTGGGAGCCCTGGCTACGGATTTTATATTTTGAATTCCCGGTGTAACCGAGAAAGCGCGCCATGTCGCGCCAGCCAATCACATTCGTCTCTGTCACGGCATATCTTCAAAGGGCAACATCTATGCCGCTCTAACCAATATCTATATTCAGTACCCCTGTGGATGCGTCGTGGCGTGGTGGCATATCAATCAACCTGTTCTCGACCGGCCTTACGGGGCTGAACACATAAATTGTGGTGGGAACAGCTCCAGAGCCCCTGTCACGAAGACTGAGTACGTACTGGGAAGGAAAAGACAAGGTCATGAAGAGTCGTAATCAACTAGGAGATTTGTCGACAGGATGTGTGGGGGAAAACGTGACCAAGTAACAATGGTGGAAAGCAAGGAATGAGATGAGATTTGAAGCTAATGTAGAGATCACGAGAAAAGCCCTCCTGCCGAGTCAAGTGAGGTAATGGACGAATAGATGTCTTCTTTCGGAAGACCGGTATGGATGCGATATTGGTGCGAAAACGTGGACGGAGTAGCAGAATGAGTGAGTAGGAGATAAAGCGGCGAGCCCAAAGCAGGCGAGACCATGTGTAAAATGCAGGTCGATTATTTGCTCACGCGAGCCTGGGCAAGATACGCCTTCTCTTTGAACACGCTTGGGTAACTGTTGAGAACATGCGCCAACGGACGCAGCTCTTCTCCGTCGAGAAGCGCAATCGTGACCTTGGGCTATGAGAGCAATGCATGAGAGGTTTCGGCCCGATAAAAGATCATATCAACGTACCGCTGACTTGATACCATAAGTCTTCACCATACGGAAGCTGGATAGAACGGTCAGCAACGGCGCCGGAACACAAGGCAAGAGAACACGCACATCTTGTCGCCCAATGCCTGCTTCTGCTGCTGGACCGGCTTGTCCTGCAGACTATCCATGAATTCGTCCGTCGCCTTCACGACTAGAGGATCCGCTTTGGGCAGAGGCAGCCCCGTCGCCGACGACGAGCTCGCCAGCTTGACGATCTCTGCCGCGGGCAGGCGCGCGAGCGACGCGATCGTGTGCGTGGTCGCCGTAGTCGTCATCGAGTGACTTGGCGTCGCGGGCGCGGGTGACGCATTGGTGGACGGGCCGCGGGAGGACAGATCTGGCGTCTGCGGCGACATGTCGAGCGGCGTCGATATCTTGCGTGCCTGAGGCGTCACTGGCGGCTCCGGGATCTTCGCCGGCTCCTCCTCGTCGCAGTCGTCCACCTCCAGCACCATCTTCGCATCAGCGATCTTCGCTCGCAGAACTTCCACATTGAATAAGCACAGCGCGCGTTCGCGCTTCGGCAGGCTCATGAGAAGGTCCGTGAGCTCTGCAGTTTGTGTCGACTCCAGTCTCGAAACAGCGGCTGCCATGCGGTCTCGTTCGGACGCGGGCGCGACAGACCCAGAGGGCGACTCGGTGCGTGGCGGCGTAGACAATGTTGCAGGCATCGAAAGAGGGGTCGACGGGTGGTCAGGGGCCGAAGCCGTTGCATTGGGTGCGAGATCTTGGCCCTGCGAGTCCTGTGAGGCCGAAGGGGAAGGTGACTTGGCTGGTGACGACCGTTTTGAACGATTAAGGTTGTTCTTCACCACTTCTACCTGTTCCATGAGCCTTGTGGGATCTTGGATACCTTGTACAACGTCGCTCAGTGCGAGGGCAACAATCGAGTCAACGACTGCATCGAGCTGCTCTGGCTCCACCGCGTTCATTTGCCTGATTCGTCTGTTCAGCTCGCCTGACAGGACTTCTTTGCGGACGACTGGCGAGAGCGCCGACAGATCGTCATACCGCATAGGTAGGTTTAAAGTTCCTGACAGCGCAGCCTACGGAAAAGAATCAGTAAATTGATAGAAAGACCAGTATCATGCCGTACGTGGAAGTAGCTGCCAGAACTTCTTCTGGCTCGGTCAGGGCGATCGGTATGACCCATGATAGGCGATCCCAGAGCAGAAGGACGTTGACTAGGGCTGGGCCAACCAGCATAGCTTTCGCCGGCTTCACTCGCAGTAGGACTCGTCGCGCCACTACTGCTCCTGGGATGCCCATTATGCCCTGCGAAGCGTTGTGCGAGCTTTTCTTGCCGCAATTGCTTCGGCTCGTGCAAACGGACCACCAACTGCTTATTGCCAAGCGCCATTCCATTCATAGCATGCATTGCTGCGGCAGCTAGAAGGCATGTCAGGAGACTGAGAACGCATACACGGGTAGACAGTGGTCTCGTACATTGATCGGGAGTCTGGTACGACACGAAGCCGAAGCCACGGCTCTCGCCATTCTCGTTACGCATCACGCGTGCACTGCAATGACATGAGCTTTATGGCCATAGCAAGCCACCTGCTCACACACCTGACAATTTGTCCGAACTAACATCGCACGGACATCAATGCTACAATGTGTTATGAACAGCATCGACAGACTGACCTGGCGGAAATGGGTGAAGAGACCATTAGAATCGATCGTCGTATCGAGATTCTGAACAGCTATTAGCATGTACCAGAAGCATCAGGGGTGAGATGCGCACTTTGATGAACAAATTGCATGGATCGATCAGCCCGCTATGGCTAGTTGAACCAGGCCCAGACAAGGGCGCTAGCTGTACCTGCTGCCCCGGCCCATGCACGAAGGCAGGCGATCGCGGATGAGGGTACGGGGAGGTTCGCGGTGGCGAATACTTTAGAGATGAAGAGTGAGCATGGACGACCGAGTCCGACCTGAACGTCGTACCTGTGTAGGGTACGGGAAGACCGAACCAGACGGGACGAACGCCGGAGCGGCCACATTGAACTCGGGCATGGCTGCACCCACGCCCGCACGACGAGGCTGGTACACCTGGACCGCGATGTTTTGCCCCTCAATTTCCGCGCAGTGCATAGCCTCCTCGGCATCCCGCGCGTCTTCCTCCCGCCAAAACTCCACCACGCCCGTGTCCTTCCCGAACGGCGCCTGCGCGCGCACCGAGGCAAGCGCACCATACGGACGGAACACGTCGTACAGCTGCGAGTCGGTGTAGCCGGACGGAAGATGCTTCACGAGGCGTGGTGAGGCAGACGGTGGTGGTAGCGGCGTCGGCGGAGTGGTCGACGGGTACGGCGACAACACGAGGAGCACTGGCGGCTGCAAACCGGGTATCGGACGCGACTGCAGCGTCGCAAGGGCCTTCTCCGCTGCTCTGATAGTCAGCACGGGGTTCACAAGACCATGTTAGGCGGCACCGCAGCGCCGGCGCACCTTTCTCCATGAACTTGAACTCAATCGTCCCCGAGAGTAGTTTGGCGGATGGGTCGCGCGGGATCTGAGGCCTAAATGGCGCGCATGTCTGGAACGCTGCAGCCAGATCCTCGTCCCGTATGTGAGGCGGAAGGCCAGTGATGTATAGCAGAGGCTCGTGCAAGTACGGATGAGGCTGGCGAACCACAGAGTCGGGTGGTGATGATGCGTCTGTCGCCATGGTTGGTCTACAAGCTCAGATACGAACGTCAAGCTGGGTATCTTCACCGCCGTCCGCGACGTCGACGGGGACGAGAGCAAAGACGCGACGGGACTCGAGGGAGAAAAAGGACAGCTTATGTAAGCAGCGTATGTGAGAAGTCGCGGCATCAACGTCGATTGAACGCCGGAAACCTCGCCAAAACAGACATGTTAATTCACAGTTTAATTTCCTTGGTGAATTTCGAGGAGATATCAGCTCGAACACCGTGCTCGACTTCGGGCCTCGGTAGCTAACTAAGGATATGCGGTATAGCCCGAGAATTAATGGGAAGGAGCCGACTGGCATCAGGGAGATCCCTGTACATGTGGGTTCTGCGCACTTGTCAGATGTAAGGCGCAATCAGCGGAGCTCATTGATGTTGCCCCAAACAAGCTCCGCGTGAACAACCTTCTTTTAACTTGCTAACCCTGGCAAACCTACTAGTACGTCTTGGCTGTATATCCAGGCGCAAGATTCAGCACGAGCTAGGATCTGCTCGAAATCCCCCGAGTAATTTCCACGATGAACGGTCTTGATGCTTCATGAAAAATATACAAGTACAACGCCACAAGAGGTATCGCCCAATACTCGTACACCAGGATGCCACCCAGTCATTGTTTTTCAAGGGACATACCGGAAATCAGGCGCCTATGAGCAGTCAGTTCGCAACCGGAGCCGAGGAATATATATCATTGACGGCCTTACATTGTCCGCCAATTCCGACGTATCGACGGTTGCGTCCGGGTCTGGCCGGCCGTACAGTCTGTCTCTCCGGACATTCTCTAGGCGATAGGATATCTGCGGTCGGGTATGAGACTGCGCGCTACTAAAGTTCATGTCATGGAGACGCACCGAGAGAACGAGCGCAACGAACGCTGACAGGAACAATAGCGCACAGGTCACTGGGCAGTGCGACACGCCTTCAGATAGTGTGACATATAGCAACCCTGATATGCCTCACCTGAGAAGCCCTTGCTGTATGGACAAACAAAAGACAGACTTCAGAACGGGACCAGGAAGATCAACGGTTGCCTCGTACACGTATTGTGGTCCCTCCGTTGACGGGAAGATCTTGGAGCCCAGGATACTCCCACATTGACCGATCGCCATGTACATCGGGATACCGGTCGCCTTCTTGGTCTCGGAGCCCAGATTATGCGCGACTGCACAGCCGGCAGTTCAGTAGGCGACCAACATGGCACAACCAACATCGCTCACACCATGCGATCACGACGCCGATAGTCGTGTACGTCCCGCTCGTAATGCAGAACACAGCAAAATAGCGTGCGTGCACATTATCTTGCACGGCAAGGAGCAGCCTGTTGCCAGATGTCAGTTCTAGCATCTTTCCGCGCCAGTTCGAAAGCGTCACGCACACGTAGCCGATGCCACCAACGATGCCAGCAGCGGCGACGAACGTGCCGCGACTTTGCAGCCTGTCCGATACATACGAGCTCAGACAGAGGTACACAGCAGCGACGGCGTAAGGCGGGACTGTCAGCAGTTGTGCCAGGGCATCCGCTGAAAGAACAAATATAAGTATATAACGAAACAAGTGATAGCGACGTACTGTAACCGAACGTGGCAATGATAGTCGGCAAGAAGGCCGAGATGGACGCAAGAGCACAATTCGATCCGAAATACAGCACACCAGCGGCATAGATCTGCAGGCGGCGGTAAGCGGCAGGACGGCATGCAGCGCAATTGGAGACATACCCGCCAATCTTTGAAGGCTGCCAGGATATGCTCTGCACGGTGTTGACATGAGATAATGCAATATTATGCTGGTTTACCTGCGTGCTTACTGCTGTTCACTACCCGTCCTGTGTCGCCAGAGAGACCTCTATTCATCCTCTCGACAGCCAGCTGGCGCTCCTCCTCGTTCAGGTATGTCGTCTCCTCCGGTCTGTTGGGCAGAAGAAACATGGCCACTATACCAAGCACTATTGTCGGTGAACCCTCGACAATGAATAGTAGCCGCCAATTCTCAACCGAGGCGTGCACATGTTGTATCCCGAACGCGATAAGCCCCCCAAAGGCCCCTGCCACGGCAGCAAAGCCGAACCAGTACGCCATGCGCATACCTATCTCATCCTTGGTGTAGTACAGCGCTGAAAGAAATGTTAGTATAGGAGGATTTCTGAGAGCAGAACCGCGGAAGTACGTACACATATAGAGGGGGATCCCAGGCCCAAATCCAGCTTCGAAGAAACCAAGGCCAAGCCGCGCACAGACGAGACCCGCAAAGTTGAATGCAGCAGCCTGTCATTCGGCCCTTCAGACGACGCAAGGCGTCTAGTCATCAGCACGTACCGACAATGTTGCACAAATCCCCCACCCAACCGCAAAACAGCCTATCCATATACGCGGGGGAAAGAGCTTGGAGATGATAGTTGCGGGTATCTGGCACAGAATCTGCGCGATGCCAACGGCAGTATTCAGCAAAAACGGCCTTATATGAGTCGGTGCACACGTACATATGAGATAAAGAACACAGAGTTGACCCAGCCGTAGAGCTCGCCAGTCGGGTCGCCGTTTAAAGCATCCTGGGGCAGACCTTGAAGCCGAGCATTCCCCAGGTTCGATCTGTCGAGATCTAGTAGAATGCGATCAGTCCCTGCGCGACCCAAGTTTACAAGGAGCGTACATGCAAAGAGGTAGAGGATGCAGGCGATAGGCATTATGCGCACGTCCAGTTTCCTGACTAGCCTCTTCTCGAGAGGCGAGGGCACTGAGGCGCCCTTGATTGACGGGGGGTTCTCAGCCTCCTCAATCTGGGCCGGCTTCTCCGTCGCAATTGCCTTCTCGTCCACATCCATCGCGGCAGGTTCAGTGTGCGAGGAGATGGGGAGGAGAGAGTAGCGGTACATCACCCGGCAGCGAGCATCAACCGTGACACCTCCCAATATGATGAGTGCCTGTCGTTCGCGTCCAGCAGCCACCTGAGCATCCCCACCGTGACCAAAATACCCCAGCGCCTCTCTATATTCTCCCGCCTATGGGGTGGCTCCGCATACCAATATTTAATTAATGTCGGAGGAATCATTCGCTACGATTCGCCTCAGCTTGGATGGGTGACGGCGGAGCGTAAGCGTGGTCGACAGCAAGCAAGGACGCATTGCCTCCATAATGCGAGCATGCCTGTCCAGTCCAGCAATAGACTCCAGCGTGCCAAGGTCCGGCAGGCGCGTCACAGTGGTTGGTGTGATCGTCGAAGCTGCCGTACATGCCAGTCACTTGACCACGGTGGTAAGTACTAAGCGTCCTCGGCGCCCTCCGGGACCGCATGCCAGCCTGCAGGAACCCGAGCCATGAAGACGTAGTAGTAGTAGGAATATGTTCAGTTTTGGAGTGCTGAGAGCCATACGAAAACCCAGAGGGAGAACTCGGAGGCGACAGTGATTGTGTGCAATCGATCGATCACAATGCGGGGTAAGTGATCCATCTCAGTGTGGGGTCCACATTAATTCCTGGCTGCTGGCCCCCAACAGCAGAACCAGTATTCGAGCCCGCCATATTAAGTACTCGTACACGGACATGACTATTATGCTGTGGGAGAATCGCCTATTTATTAATCCCGTCACAGGTCGACCCCACGACTCATGAATTGCGGTCAATTTATATAAGTTATATTTGGATATAGTACTTGATGAAATGACGGCATTCAAGCGACACCATTGTAGCGCAAGGATAAGAAGCATGTCTGCACTATCTTCATGAATACAATGATGTGAGCGAGAGATAGAGCATTAAAACGTACGTAAGGTTGCTTCGTGCGGAGAGCGCTTGATCCTGGCAGACCTCTGCTTCCCATTCGTGATCCCAGCATTCTCGAGTATCGTCCTTTCTGAGTTCACGACCAAGAGGATATCACCCTGAGAAAGCAAAATTGAGTGTACTCGCGAATGTAACTGGACAGACGTCGGGAGAAACGCGAATTCTGGGTATGAGGAAGAGAAAGTAGACATTGTTTCTACCGCTCGCACTGTCTTGCACTTCCCTCGTAACGCGATAGCGATAGTGTGGACCACTCATAACATCATCGAGTAGAATCGCCTGTGAGAGTAAGCTGGTGTGTAGTGAGTGCCCTCTCACGATACAAATACTGATGACGCCGTCAAAGCAACTGTGTTTGATCTCGACAGCCACCCAATGGCACTACAAAGTAAGGCGTGGCATCGACGCTCTGCCGGATGGTTACATGCTCGTCAACGCCCTGAGAAACCGCAGACAGGCCACAAGATTGGCGGAAGCCTGTGCTCCGAATGCCACAAGCTTAACATGCATTTACCCGCTCACATAATGTCCACCGCGGGGAACGCTCCAGTCGTGTTGACTAATGCGACCGTACGGCCTACGCCGTAGCGGTATGTCAGCCTCGACGTGTGCAGGACGATAACTGAGCCACTTACTTGCTCAAGGTTGCAACAGTCTGCGGGCCTCAGATGTCCGTGACTATGGTTGCTCCAGCTCTCCATGGCAGGCCTCGGCGGAGGTGGGTAGATGATATGGACAAAGATACTTGTGAAGCCGTGTAGGACCTCTCCTGGCCAGACGCGACAAGGCGGCGCCGGAGGGACGGCGAGCTCCTTGAGAACATTCGACTGCGACGGCTCGACCCCTTGAACTGTTAATGAAGCTATCAGATCCATGCACGGCAACGATCCACTCCAGCATCGCATTCGCCAACCCATACGCCACAGGTCCACCGCAAGTACTCTACACCTTTGTTGGATAAGAGCATAGACAAGGGACCTTTGCGTGAGGCCAGGCGTTCATAATCCCATGATAAACGGATGGCAAGGGACTCCATCGAATGGCTGAGCGATCACAATGGCGCCTCATGGGCCACAGCAGAATAGAGACGCAGATACACACAGCACATATTGAAAAGCGAAGACATGCTCTGCAGACTGGAGAGCACATCGACACGCCTTTCAATATACGCCATCCAAAGCCACAGTAGCATGATCCATCAAAACCACAGCTCAGCCCAAGAATATCTGTGGGGCTTGATGGCGAAAAAGGCGGGCACGAATGCGCAAGCTTGCGACTGGACCCAATCCCATTCGTCTCGTCAGTGAGGAGGGAGGACAGTGGTGGCCGGCCGCACCCATAGCCAAAGACTGTGGCCGAGCACAGATTCGCAGGGACATGAACCGATGGCGTGTAAATGGAGACGAGGAAAAGGGTTGGGCAAGAGTGTATGTGAGCAGAGCAAAGCGGGATGCAGTCAGCGAGACTCCAGATATCGGAGCTCAGGCACTTAGAGTTCGCACTCCGCTCGGCGTGTGCCGGGTGCTGTGGCTGAGACAATTACCGCCCCACAGGAGAGCAGAGTAGACATTCCCTTCAAGCTCCGGATCTCCATGTCTGATCCGTTCAAACATATCGACTGGAATGGGGCCATGACGACTTCCCATCGCGTTTGCATGATCATGCACATGTCCAGTGGATGCAAGCGTCCATAAGTTACACAACAAGAGGCTCCCGTCATGCACAACTTCGACACGGGACGCCCGCAGTAAGTACACCCGCTCTACGTCACGGATCTTGGTCGCAACATGATTGTGGTTGTACGACGCATGCACAGCCGCCGGACCTACGGACCTGTCATCGCCAAAGCTTGGACCACAAGAGTGGACTCTGTCCTACACTCCGAATCGGCTCGGTGTGCCGGCCAACATGCGAGCAGACCTGTGTACGGCGTGTCACACAGCTTTCATCTCACGACGTGCCAGCGGACCTCTATACAATGTCAAACGCCTTTCAAGTTACCGGACTTGGTGCCGTCAGGGTCGGGTGTGCAAGCCGTTGTGAACCCCGGACATCAATATTACGAACTGTGTGCCGTCGGATCGTGAAGCCGCGCAGCACGAGTGTTCATTGCGCTGTCAGCTACGAGGTCGGTCGACGGCCATGAACCGACAGCCGTCAGGACGTCTCTCAGTCGGCGGAAGTCGCGACGAAACGTCCGTAAATAGCTCGGCCTGAGCCTTGTGATATCTCAGGCGACACCATCTGACCCCCGACATGTTGAGTGCAAGGAGCGGTGTGTTATTTGTTGTTGAGACTGAATGTCAGGAAAACAATTGTCTTCTTGAACCTTGGAGCACATGCGCAGTTAGCCTTCCGCTGGTGGAATGGTATTCACGCTTGCACGCGAATGTCCCACTGACGTTCGTGGGCGAACGCCCATGTAAAACTTTAGCTTGACAGGGGGATACGTCATTCTAATTCTGGTCGTTTTGATGGGACGAATGCGGTCTTCTCGGGCGCACGCTTGCGTCTAAGGCATCCTTTGGGCATTCTGTGAGAACGCCGGCCTCGCTTCTCACCGCGCAGTGGGGGAACCGCTGCCATCATCATAACCTAGGGTCCAGGTCAACTATGTGCACACTTCCGCCATATCGTTCATGATAGCGGGTGAACCGAAGATCCCCACGACCTCCTGAACTGCATACATTCCGCAGAGCGCGCAAGGTGACGGCAGACGGGCAGCATCTTCGGCGTCGGATGCAGGGTGAATCGCCGCCAGGGGTAGACAGGCCGGGAATGTGAGGCAGATCAACCTGGGGAAATAAGGCTGGTCGATCAACGAGGCGCAGGGGACAAGGCACACACTAGACAAGTGCCCCCCCACCCGAGGAAACCTCGGCCTCAAACTGTCTAGGACCCGGTGTGGAACAGGGCGGGAGCAGCTTGGCTGGTGATGCCCTAGTGGCAAGTGGAGCGATCATGACAGGCTTGAGAACCGTCATATAGCTAGTAGTGACACCTTCCGGCCAAGAAGATGGGGCGCAATTTCAGCTCACAGACTCTAGAGCGGCTGGATGAAGATGATGTCTCGCATGGCAGTGAGAGAGCCAGTGCCTTCCGAGCGCTGCGGAGTCTAAAGAGGACCGCGCCAACTCCGCGTCCATACGGTAGACCCTTGAACGCCGTCGCCTTTCTGGTGCAGAGATTGTAGGGCTTCCTTCCAAAGCCACTGGCTACCTGGCCAGGTTCTCATGTCCGACGTTTGAATTTGATGTCCATGTGCATGGCGGGGTCATCCACATGAGTCTTTACATGGAGACGGGACGAATGACGGCTCTCGTCTGCGGCAGAACGTATGATCCAGCATGACAGGAAGTGGCATGTGCATACCGGCGCGCCACAGCAACAGCAAGGCCGGAGAGTCAGGTGCCCGCGCCCAGGGTCCGACGTCGTCGACATCGTGGTCCGGCCATATGCTACGGTAATATTGATGCTCGACGTTGAGTATCCTCAATTGACCGTAGCTCTCCTTCTATCATGCGCTAAAGTCTGCCGGGTGCCCGGGAAGGCGCAGTATGTAGGGAAATACCGACAGCACAAGAAGCAAGAAGCAACGTGGTAAGCGCCCGTCGAAGGCTTCCTGACAGAATTGGCAACAGTTTAAGATTGCCTACTACTGCACCCCGTCTCGGGCAGCTGGTCACCAGGTGCCGCTATATCTGCATATTTCGGTAGCCACTCTACCACCGCTTGTTCGTTTGCCTCAACCCGAGATACGAAAGATCAATGCCGCCTTTTCAACCAATCCCGGCTACTGCTTCAAGTTGCTTCGTCGGGGATGACGGGCTCTTGGGCTGTACTCGACTGTGGCGGTGACCGGTGGCAACCAGCCTCGAGACTGCGGTCGCCTGATTCTTCATTTCTACGGCGGCCCGCCTTCCACGGTGCACTGCGTTTCCGGGCTCCGCTCATTCGGCAGCGAACAACACGACGTGCCTGGACATGGCAGGCACCTTGCTCGATCAACTAGATCCGGCGGGGAAATGTGGGGACGAGTGCGGGGTTTGTTTGGGGAAATGCTTCTTTCTATGGGTCACATGTGTACTCCCACTTGTGTCGCAACACAACGCGATGCCCGTTCGCCCCTGACGCGGCTTTGATGCGTACATATATAACTTCCATGCGCGCGCAGTGCAACTTCGTCCGCCCCGACGCTTTCCTGCTTCCCCGCTCTGAACTTGAACAACTGCGCCCCTCTCCTCCACCATGGCCGGCGGACTCGTTGCAGCAGGCGGTAGCGCCCCCGGTATCGAGCATCTCATGAACCCGAAGAGGAAGTGGTACAATAACTGGCGGTGAGCTCGTTGCCGCTTCATCGTGCTGAAGCTCCTCTGACGACGGGCTTTGGGGCTGAAGGCTAATATCCCTGCACGCCTGGATCGTCCTCATGTAAGTGCACCCCTCATCCGGTCTATTTTGAGCGTACCACTCATGCAACTATCATTAGGCTCATCACGTCGTCTATGAATGGCTTCGACGGCAGTCTCATGAACAGCTTCCAGTCCCTGGACCAATGGGAAAATTATTTCCACAAACCCGAAGGCGGCAAGCTGGGTCTCCTAAATGCTATTCAGGTGCGGTCTGCTCGCTGGCGATACCCAAGGACGCGCTGACGCCGGTGTGTGCGCCCATAGAACATCGGCTCCCTCGCAGCCTATCCGTTCGCACCGTACCTCTCCGACGGGCTCGGCCGGAGAGGAGCCATCTGGATTGGTGCCGTCATCATGCTCGTCGGCGTGGGCGTGCAGGCGGGTGCCTACAGCTTGGGCATGTTCATCGGCGCAAGGTAGGCTATCGTTCATCGATGCTCCTCCGTGATTCCGTGCTCACCCTTTCGGCTTTTAGATTCTGCATTGGATTTGGTCTGACGTTCGCAGGTGAGCACACTCGCAGCCACATGCTGCCCCCGCGATTTTATCTGACATGCTGTATGTCATAGCAAATGCATCGCCTATGCTGGTAACGGAGATCGCCTACCCACGATACCGTCCACAGCTCACGTCCCTCTACAACTCCCTTTGGTATTCCGGCAACATAGTGTAGGCCGCCCCGCATTCTCGCCCCCCTACATCGTTCTGACACCTCACAGAGCATCATGGACGACGTACGGCACTCAGCACATCGCCACCACCTGGTCGTGGCGTATCCCCTCCATTATGCAGGGCATCCCCTCCGCATTCCAGTTCGCCCTTATTCTCTTTGCGCCCGAGAGCCCCCGTTGGCTCGTCTCGAAGGGCCGCGAGGCACAGGCACTCAAGACGCTCGCGTACTACCACGCAGATGGCGATGAGCAGGACCCGCTTGTGCAGTACGAGTTTGAGGAGATTAAGGCGTCCATCAAGCTTGACCGCGAATGTACGTCGGGCGCTGTGAGCTGCCGACGGAGACTGACACAACTTCTACCTCGCAGCGAAGCGCAACGTCGGCTGGAAATCACTGGTCTCGACGAAGGGCAACCGCCGCCGCATGCTCATCATTGTCGCCATCGCGTGGTTCTCGCAGTGGTCTGGCAACGGGCTCGTCTCGTACTACCTCAACAAGGTCTTCGACACCATCGGCATCACAAGCTCGACCATCCAGCTGCTCATCACCGGGTACGTGCGTTTCCCCGAGATCTCAGCGCGCCACGGGTATCGCTGACGCCGCGTTGAACGTCTGGCCCGCACTAGTATCCTCGCCATCTGGAACCTGTTCTGGGCGGTCTTGGCCTCGTTCCTGGTTGAGCGCCTCGGCCGGCGGTTCCTCTTCCTGACCTCGGCCGCGGGCATGCTTCTATTTTTCACGCTGCAGACGATTTGCTCGGCGCGGTATGCCATCACGCAGAGCCAGGGCGCGGCACACGCTGTCATTGCGTTCATTTTCCTCTTCTACGCTGCATACGAGTGAGTGTGGCACATGCGTGCGCGACTGTATCAGAACCGCTAACGCACTACCCTCATCGACAGCCTGGCGTTCACGCCGCTCATCGTGTCGTACACGGTCGAGATCCTGCCGTTCTCGCTGCGCGCCAAGGGCTTCAACGTGTTCAACTTCACGATCTCCGTCGCGCTCATCTTCAACCAGTACGTGAACCCGATCGCGCTGGAGAACATCGGCTGGAAGTACTACGTGAGTCCCCGCACCGCTCCCGCCTGAGGTGCCTGCGAGCATATATTCATCTGTGTGCCTGTGTGCGTAGATCGTGTATATCTGCTGGATCGCGTTCGAGCTCGGGTTCTTGTACTTCATGATCGTCGAGACGCGGAACCTGACGCTGGAGGAGATCTCGGCCATGTTCGACGGCACGGACCTCAAGGAGAAGATCCAGCATGCTGTCCCGGCGGCGGCGGAGGTCCGCACGGACGACCTCGTCGACGAAAAGGCGTCAGCGTAAGCTGCGTCCCGAGTAGGTAGATAGACGATGTGTACGATACGTGCTGCGTCTAGGGGGTGGGAGCGGTTACATTTTTTCTTCGGCTTGCCAATCGGTGCTCGGTTGTTTGTTCGTTTGGTTTTGACGATGCCACGGGTATGATATTCGGTTGCGGCCTTGTTTTTTGGACAGGCGCCCTCCGAAGGGGCTGTATTACTATTTCTGCATATACCACGACTCACGACTATGATACAATTTACTTATAGGTTCACGACTTACACGTTACAACTCATATATTCCTGTACGCTACGAGAATGACAATTTCGACTTGCCCGTCTTGATCACGCGCGGCCTTCCGGTACATACCTGACTTCTAAGTCAGAAAAGAGCAGATAGATGAGGTTGTTATATGCTGTTCATGCTCAGACTCTGTCACGGTGAGCATTAGGGTGCGGTGAATCTTCTGGGCTTGATTTACCTCAGTTCCACATCCAGAGTGCAAATGCGGGTAAGTATGAACGATCGGAGTTACAGTAAAGCGAGCTTGGCCGAAGCTTGCATTGAGAACCTGGACTGGGATACTTGCCAGTAATTGACGGTGAACTGTTGTAGTCAGAAGAAACAGCGGATACGGTTTTGGTTGTTATTTCAAGTCCAGTTTTATATCCGCCTGAGGAGCAGATGTGTTGTTGTCATCATACGCTTGTTTATGCTATTGGATGAAACAGCTCCGCGCCGGTGGGGAAGCGATCAAGGGTTTGCTTTTGCCGCCAAGTTGCCGCTGCAAGCCAATGCGGGCAGGCAGCTGCGGTCGATCAGAAGGATCTCCGATCGTAACTTGTGGTCCTCCCGCCACCATCCAAGGGAGAAGAGACCTTCATCTAAGGTCTATGCACATTCTAGATCCTGTCCGTTATTCAGAACCCAGTGGGCACATACATACACCCTTGCATACATCCTCGAATTGTGGAAGCGAACTCGGGCGACCGGCAGGAGCTCATCTTTCTGTCCGCTTCTCTTACATCAAAGTATGTCCACCGTCCATCTTCCAGCCGTACAGAACTCAGCATAAGCTTCTGTTATGAACTCGCGTGACCGAAGTACCTCGCTACGACGGCATTGAATCTCGTAAATTTGCAAATTGCATGAGGGGCAGCGCTTGAGGGCATGCCAACGTTGACAAGTATGTTCTCATGAGGTTCGCCAGTGCAGCTGGGACAGGCAAAAGGGCTACCGACTACCACACGTGCAATTTGTCACATCCCGACCCGATGTCTTACACCAGTCCGATGGCGATAGCCCTCCACAAACTCACGGCATTCGCGACATTCGCCCCGTGTGACCTTTTCTGATAAGTAGCCTCTGCTTCCGTCCGACCCGACGCAAGCATCCATATGGTAACGCCATCTTATCTCACTATCAACTCGCTACAATAGGCCACACGGAAGCAGCTCCATGGCCCAGACAATGCATCTCGAAATACATCATGCTAGTATGGGCAGACGGCCCCGAGATTGGGAGCACCGTTTGACGATAAGTGCGCCGTGCTTCGCTATCGCGCCTCCTCTAGGGGACCCTCATCTCCCGGCCTCATCATGTCCACGGTCGCTCAGCTGCCTATGTATGACGACGAGAAGCACTCCTCTGAAGGCTCTATCGAGAAAGAGAAGGCCGCGGAGGAGGTAGATATCGTCGATGTCCAGAACTTGAAGGAGGTAGAGGAGCTTGAAGAGCGGCTTGCCAATGATGAAGCTGACGAGGATGAGTATCGCGTTGAAGCGGCATACGAGGTCGCCACGAAGGTACAGTCTCCGTAAAAGTAGACCTTGCGTATATTTCAATGTACTGATTCCACCACGACGCTTAGGTTTTGTCCACACGCGACGATCCAGATCTGCCCGCAGTAACATTCCGCACCGTCTTCCTCGGCCTGGGGTTCTCGGCTTTCGGAGCGTGAGTGGATCCGCAGTTGGACCGCTATTGATACTGAGTTACATGGTAGGGTTCTGGCGCAGATATACTACTTCAAGCCGCAAACACTCTCCGTGTCGGTGCTGCTGTTGCTGGTTCTGTCGTACTGGTTTGGCAATGCCATGCACATGTGTTTACCCTCTCAGGGTGTATTCAAATGGCTGAACCCTTGCCCCTTCAACAGTAAGCATGTCTCACAAAACATTTTGACCACGACGCAATAGACTGAGCGTTATTCCCCTGATAGTCAAGGAGCATGTCGCCATTGTCATCATGACTTCGACGGCATCTACCTCGGCGACGGCCATTCAAGTCATATCCGTGCAGGAGTGTGCGTTGTCTTTTACGCATTTCGTCGGCTGAGACTAATTGCCTTGATGCGACACGATACGTTTCAGTATTTTACAACAATAACATGGTATGCTTTGTGATAATGGCAATGCGAGAGTTCTGACGCATTTTACGCATAGAATCCTGGCATTGCGATCTTCACCTTGATTGGATCGCAGTTGATTGGCTATGGGTATGCTGGTCTCCTGCAAGACGTGCTCGTGAAGCCGACCAAATGTTTCTGGCCGAGCAACAGTGAGCTCTTTCCGTCACAGTACCACTGTACACGCAAAGATGATTGCTCGTCGCAGTTTACACAGCCAATCTATTCCAGGCGTTGCATTTCGACAGCCAGATGACGTCCAAGCGCGTGCGCCTGTTTTGGACGATCTTCGCGATCATGTTTTGTTGGGAGATTGTGCCCGAATGTGAGGCCTGTCGTTGTCTCCGTCCTCTGGCTTTCCTTACATACCATATCCAGGGATCTTCCCTGTGCTCACTGGCGTTTCGATCTTCTGTCTTGCGGATAACCACAGCGTGGTGATCCGCAATATCTTCGGTGGAGCGGACAACAACGAGGGCATGGGCCTGCTCGCGTTGTGCTTTGACTGGAATTATATCGGGAGTAGTAGCATGTGGCAGCCTCTCTGGTTCCAGGTCAACTCATATATCGGCATTTGCTTTACGTACATCCTCATGAGCGCTGTGTACTACGGACACCTGTGGAAGGCGCAGCAGTTCCCGTTCATGAGCCAGGCGATCTTTGTGAGTACCTTTTATCGGACAAGGTGGTTGGCCTCGGTGCGCTAACTGGGTTGTGTGCAGGCCGAGGATGGCACCGAGTATAACCAGACCGCGCTTTTGACGGATGGAAAGTTCGATCCCGTCAAGTTTGCGAAGCTTGGGGTATGTACCATGAGACGATTCGCGATGACATGACGTGACGAGCGCTCCCAGCCCGCGTACTTTTCTGCCACGAACGCTCTAGGATTGATCACGTCGAATCTGTCGCTCGGTGCCCTTGTCACGCACATCGCCATTTGGCACTACCATGACCTCAAGCCATTTGTTCAGTCACTCAACCCATGGAACAAACATGTTCACATAGTTCACGATGTGGTAGGCTGCATGATTTCCCTCCTGAATTTGATGGTGATAGATTGCGGGATAGCACTGGGAGCGCATGAAGGTCTACAAGCAGATTCCACGTTGGTGGTATATTGCCGTCTTGCTCGTCGCGTACGCTGTGGCCCAAGCCAGTGAGTCCTATCTGTGCTGAATCGTCTGCTTGTTAAATGATTCATGATCACGTCAATAGCCAACTACACCGGTAACTCGGGGCTTCCTTGGTGGGCGCTGACGGTGCTACTTTTCATCGGTTTCGTGCTCTGCGCCCTCTATGCTACTCTTATGGCTACAATCGGATTTTCGAACAACCCGGCAGGTTTCTTCGAGATGATCACAGGTTGGGTGCTCCGATGCATGCTGTTCAGTGCTTCGTCGCTGACTTGGCGGGAATATGAAGCCTATATGGTTCCAGGTAACCCTGTCGCCAATATGTACGGCGCACTGTACGGAGGCCAGCCCATCACGCAGGGGATCAACTTCTTGTCGGATCTGAAATTAGGACAATATACCAAAGTGGCGCCTCGTGTGACATTTTGTATGCAGTTGGGCGGTCAGTATATCATATATCACGAATGTGCTCAGTGCTCACAGCTTCGCTCTAGGAACAATCGTTGGGGCACTTCTCAATTGTGAATTCCAGATTCTTATTGCTGTAGGCTCTGGGTTGACTGAGCTTCTATAGACGTTATGATGCTGTCAATCATCGACGCCCAGAGACCTGGTATGTGTATCTCTTCGTAGAGTTAACCCACGATTGGTCAAGCTTTATCCTAGCCTTGCTATCGATCTCCGGAACCCGGTACGTTCACCGCAAGTGCGCCAACACATCCCACTGACTGGATATCATTCCTACAGCCTCTGGTCGGGGCAGAATGCACAAGGATACAACTGTGAGAATACACCCTTTCATACGATGGTTATCTTCTGACAGCACGGCCCTCAGCTAATGCTATTGCCTGGGGGGCACTTGCGCCGCACATGTTCAGTCCTCATGCCACCTACCACATGGTACCCCTGTCGCTCGTGATAGGGGTATTCCTTCCCTTCCCCTTTTACATTGCTGTGAGTTGCGACTGAACCAACGACTTGCATTTCGCTAATATGGACTCTACCGTCCTAGTATCGCATTTGGCCTAAGGCAGGCTTTGAGAACTTCAATACATCTATCATCATGCTCGTGAGTGTGTACATTCTTGTCATTACTGACTGCGCTCAATGAAACATTCCCATGGAGTATTCGTGCTGGCTGGCTGTCGGGATTAATACGCAAGTAAAGTATGTCTGTGCAGCTGTCATATACTGCTAGCACCATTGACCATTTCGTTGCAGTACTACCATGGCTATTGGCATCTTCGTGCAATGGTGGGTACGTACTCGGTACCCACGGTGGTTCACGAAGTATAAGTATGTTTCTGATATGATCATACTTCAAACCCACGAAGGTCTGACCATTTTTCACAGCTACATCGTTGCGGCGGCAATGGATGGTGGCACTCAAGTCATCATGTTCATTCTGAACTTTGTACGTAGCCTTACCGTCTCGTGCAATTATGGTCGAATGAACCCAAACGTACACACAGGCTTTATTCGGTGCTGCAGGGAACGCGCACACATTCCCGCAGTGGTGGGGCAACGGTACGCCCTCTCCAGATCATGCTCCGCTGCCTAATTCTCATTTCCTCCTAGACTTGAGCCTTTCCGCAGACCGTTGCATAGCGCCACCACAGTAGGGGTTAGAATTTATAGGTCAACTATGTATCACTAGTGTAGAGGGGACGTGTAGGAATTGGAGATGATGTCAAGAGGATAGAACGAGCTTGTCCACAAAGTCCAGTGTCTTGTCGTGTGGGTCAACACAAGTACATTCAAGTATACAAAATACAGAAACATTGCCTTTGGCGTTAAACCGCGTATCCATAAGCCGTTTGTCCCGTAGGACTCCACTCTGTTCCCGACTGTCGTCCTTGCGTTGTATTCAAACCACGCGGTTCTACAGCTTCTCGAAAAGGCAAGGTGTCGGGAAACCTGGTCGGACCTGGCACCGCACTGAGACGGAAGGTGTCACAAGCGATCGGCGCGAAGCCGATCGTGTTGGACGTCGCATACGTTTCGTAGGTTTCGACGTCGTCTTCGTCCACGGAGTAGAATCCATGGAGATTGAGAAACATCCTTGAAATAAGAATGGTGGTGAGCCTGTATACATGGGTTCGGTCAAATTGATGAATGCGCGCATGGAGAGCTACCGACGTCGTGGTAATCGAACCTATCCATATGAATGTCTGCGCAATATTGGTCAGAGGCAAATGAGATAAGAGAAAAGGCACTGCTGACTGGATGTTGAACAAGTATAATGTCCAATATACTGAGCACGGCAAGGGCGCTGTAGTGAAACGTTGTAACGCGGCATATTATGCAACTTGCAATATTGAGACATACACAAAATACATGCTACCTGCGAGCAAAGAGAATACTACGTGTCAGCTAAGTGTGGACATGCCTCCGGGTAGACTAACCATCTCGAAGAAGCATTCCAGCCACGCTAAGCCTAGTGCGCGCGATATTGGCCAATCTATGAATCCCGTAGGTAGCCCTCCATATCACGAGCACAACAAGGGCCTCGGAAACAATAATACACGCTTGCGTGAATATGGTGACTAGGTGGAAAAGTAAGAAAATGCAACAGAACAGATGTGAATTCAGCCGTTCGTACATCTAGGAAGCCTGCTTAGTATTTCTGACCTATGGAAACGCAGGGGGTGAAGACTGACTTGCTCAGGAACGGGAACGAGAGGTTGTACGAGATAATACATCCGACCCCCGGTATTTCTGTGGACGTCTGTCGAGCAGCCTGATACTGTCATGTAAGGAGCGACTGTGAGTTGTGTTTGCATGCTCCGTCTTACGTACAGGCCACCTACAATCCATTCAATCATATCTGGGAAATATAGCAAAGCGATTATCAGAGGAAGAACATATTTTCGATCATTCACTGCAAATATACGCAGGGCAGATATTGCTGTCCTCGTCTATCAGAGAATGACGTTGCAAACGTGATGAAGAACTTACCGCCGTAGAGACCACGCAAGACGCCTTCTGCGATGTACATGACGATCATCCCCACTGCGATCCTGTGGAATCCGTTCAGAATCAAGACATGCGAAGAGAATTCGGAACGCCCAACCCCTACGTGCTCAACTCAGCATAGCCAGTCAGCAAGCTGTCGACGAGGACTTACTTTGCAGTTCGTCAGAATACTTGCGAATGAAGCACCGAATAAAAAGACTATTGTAGATATTTGCATTGAAGCGTAGAGGAAGAAAGCCCCTGTAATCCGTCGGTGGGACAGAAATCTGAGCTGTCGGTCGAATGTGACGGCAAATTCATATAGGTACAGAGCTACAGTGGACCATTGGATCCGACCTCACATAGATAGTTGTAGTCCAACTCACCAACACAGGTAGCGGTGGACAGATTCTGGACCCATCTTCGTAACAGTTAGCCGAGATCTGAAATGTGGAGTGAAGTGCAAGGATTAACCCACTGTTCCTGCTGATACGTAATGGCATTTGGTGCCATCGCGAGCGGACCAGTCCACATTTTGGGTCTCGAGGGGTAGAGAATCTCCACTTCGCTGTCAAGTAGGTTTTACGTTGACAGCGATCCTGCAGCCGTTATATGGGACCAGAGCCTCGCGCAGAGACGCCGTTATACAAAGCTACTGATGGTCCGCCCATCATGCGACGCGGTGATAGAACTGAAGGTGCGCGAAGAAGTGCCAGAAGAAGCCTCGAAATCATGATGACTCGGGATGAATTCCGATTTACGCGTCAATGTAGTAGGCATCTTCGCGAGAATTACCTTTCTGCATACCTTGCTTCCCAGCGCAGTCCACTGATGTTCGCACGTTAGCGATGTAGTCGATGTATTGAATCAACCCTCCGCCCAAAGAATCATACCGTGCGAGCACGAGAGCGGGTTTCGGAAGGATTCGTGGTTTCGTAGAAACATTCATCAAGTTATAATTAGACAGCTTGAAAACCGATCATCTGTCTATCAGCCCGGCGGCGCCCAGTGATAATTGCAATGATGACATACTCATCGCCCTCAGAACTAACGAGGAATGAAACCACTGTCACAGTATCCCATACCTTGGAGTATGTGGGCGCAAGTTGCTATGATTTGTTATCGTCGCAATGTACAAGAGATGCAGCATGATGAACATCTGCATGGCTGGGCGTTCAGAAAAAGGCAAGCCTGTTAAAAAGCAAAGTTTCCCTCAAGTCTGGCTCGGGGATTTTCAACGATTGTTCACAATAGTAACGACGTGTGTAGAAAATAGGCAAACAATACTAAAGACGGAACGTACGAATCAGAAGTCTATGATTGAGAGTGAATTGAGGATCATAATCTTTGTTCGTAGCTGGTGGATAGAGTCAGCGAGCACCATGTTTTAGCCTGCCTGGAGTAGGGTATACGATGGTCAGAAAAGGACATGCTCAGCAGCAGCCCTCCACTTAGTATCGGTGCGAGAGCGGTGGTAGTGTGGACACGGGAGCGTGAAGACACATCAGGATGTACCAGGGAGTGCCTAACTGCACCACCACCACCATAAGATTGCTGTAGCAGACGTCTGTCAAGCTGGAGCGCGGTAGATGTGCTGCGAGGCATGCAGACACCACTTCCATAGCCGAGTTGGTTTCTAGTTACCCCAAACCGATATCATTCACATACCTGCAAGCTGAGTCGAGGCATAATCTCGTACTCGGATACGTAATATCTGGAAGGAAATGCGGAAAGCTTATTCACTTGGAGCAGAAAAACTCTAAGGGCGCCTCAGTAAGGAAGGATTCTGTGGCAGCCTGCAGGAGGCTCAGGAAACTCGTCGCGACATGAGCACGTGGTACGCGTCACTTCCAATTTTGGTAAGTCCTCCAACCTGAAAGTTTCTGTCTGGCCTTCAATAGTGCGTCTCCTTAGTCGTCTTCTACTCATCGTCTGCCACTGGAAAGGGCTTCATTCGTGTATTCTATCCAGGGTTTCACTTCTGTTATAAGAGTTTTCTCTGGGTGCTATCTCTGTCTGCCAGTATCGCTGTGGCCGATCGCCGCGCTTGTGCCCTACTTTGCTTGGGTGCCAAAGTGCCAAAAGAATTCGGTCTGCGACTATGAAGGCGAACTTTCAGGCAAGTCTCTCCGAGATGCCATCAAGAGCACTCTTTAATGTCGTCTGTAGTTTTCAAACCTCTGCGGAACGGTATACAGACAGGGAAACATTGTCTTCACCCCGGATGGCAACTCCGTGCTGAGTCCTGTGGGGAATAGGGTATCGGTGTTTGACCTTGTAAAGTAAGTCCGTTTCCATCTGACAAACGAGCATGTGGAGACTGACCATGCATAGCAACAAGTCGCGCACACTGCCGTTTGAGAACCGAAAGAACATCTCTGCTATTGCTTTGAGCCCAGATTCAAACGTTCTGGTCAGCGTAGACGATGGTGTGTTGGTATAGGAACGCAGGGTCCATTGAAACGCTAACGTCTTCACTGACAGATGGACGTGCGTTGCTGGTCAACTTCCGGCGAGGCGTGGTGCTGCATCACTTCAACTTTCACAAGCCTGTGAAGGCCATCAAATTCTCTCCAGATGGAAAGTACGTACACTGTAGCATCTGACCATCCATGCGCCTGACTTGACATAGATACATTGCTGTCTCGCATGATTCCCATGTGCAGGTCTGGCGAACACCAAACCACCTGATACGCGAGTTCGCCCCTTTCGACCTGCATCGGACATATACGGGGCATCACGACGAGGTAGTGAACATTGAGTGGTCACCGGACTCAAGGTATGTCTTCGGTCGAGTCCTTCCGAAGGACTGGCGTAGCTTAACACGATATACAGATGTTTCATTACTGCATCACGCGATATGACGGCACGACTTTTCACTCTCGATCCTCTTGAGGGCTTCCGGCCGAAGACCTTCGCAGGCCACAGGGACATTGTCATCAACGCGTATTTCTCCGCGGACGGCAAAACAGTCGGTACTGATTCTATCTTCTGGATCATGCACTGACTTCTGCGATGTGTAGATATACACCGTGAGCCGAGACGGCGCTGTTTTTACATGGAAAGCAAAAGTATCAGGAGAAGAATCAGATAGCGACGATACAGAGCCCATAGCGTCTTCGTCCAGTCTCGGCGACACGATCGCGCAGACGCGGTGGGGTGTGCACAAGCGCAATTACTTCAACCAGCCGGGAACACGAGTTGTCTGCAGCACATTCCACCGCGCCTCGAACCTCCTCGTCGTTGGCTTCTCCACCGGCGTATTCGGGCTGTGGGAGATGCCAGCGTTCTCCAACTTGCACACCCTGAGCATCTCACAGGAGAAGATCTCGTCTGTCGCAGTAAATGCATCGGGCGAATGGCTCGCGTTCGGCGCGTCACGTCTTGGGCAGCTCCTCGTGTGGGAGTGGCAGAGCCAGTCGTACGTTCTCAAGCAGCAAGGCCATTTCTCGACCATGAACACGGTCGCGTATGCTCCCGATGGAGTCAACTTGGCCACAGGAGGTGACGACGGGAAGGTCAAGGTCTGGAACAGCACGTCTGGCTTCTGCTTCGTGACATTTTCCGAGCATTCTGCGCCCATCAGCGCGGTGGAGTTCGCGAAGCAAGGCCAGGTCCTGTTCTCAGCATCCCTAGACGGCACTGTTCGAGCGGCCGACCTCATCCGCTACCGCGTCTTCCGTACATTCACCTCACCGACTCCAACGCAATTCGCCTCCCTTGCTGTCGACCCCAGCGGCGAAGCCGTTGCAGCTGGCTCGCAGGACAATTTTGAGGTGTGCCTCTGGAGCGTGCAGACAGGCAAGCTGCTCGACGTCCTCGCAGGGCACACAGCGCCGGTATGCGCGCTAGCGTTCTCCCCTACTGGCAACCTCCTTGCCAGCGGATCGTGGGACCGCACGGTGAGACTGTGGGCCGTCTTTGGGCGCAGTCGTGCAGTCGAGCCGTTCCAGCTGTCGTCGGATGTGCTTGCGATTGCCTTCAGGCCGGATGGGAATGAGTTGGCGGTCGCGACCCTCGACGGGCAGCTCGTGTTCTTTGACGTGATCGAAGGTCGACAGACAGGGGCGATCGATGCCAGACGCGATGCTGCGCCAGGACGAAAAGTGGGTGACCTCACCGCGGCCAAGGGCGGCGGTGCACACACGAGCCTGTGCTACACTGCCGATGGACGCTGTGTCCTCGCTGGAGGGCGCAGTCCATATGTCGCACTGTATGACGTCCGCGCGGGCGTTCTGTTGAAACGCTTCCGGACGTCGGAGAACCTGAACCTCGACGGGACGCAGGACATGTTGGACAGCCGGCGCCTCACCGAAGCGGGGAATCTGGACCTGGTCGACGAGCGCGGGGACGAGAGCGATCCGGAGGTGCGCAGGCAACGAGATGAAGAGCTGCCGGGGGCAAAGCGCGGTGATATGGCGAAGCGGCGCGTGCGTGAGGAGGTCCGGACGACATGCGTGCGGTTCGCACCCACGGGTCGCGCGTGGGCGGCGTCGACGACGGAGGGGCTGCTGATCTACTCGCTCGATGAGGCCGTCGCGTTCGACCCGGTCGACTTGGCGCTGGACGTCACCCCGCAGTCGGTGCTCTCGCTACTCGCATCAGGCTCTTACCTGCCTGCTCTGATCACGGCGTTCCGACTCAACGAGCGCGCCCTCATTCACCGTGTGTTCTCAGCCATACCAAGAGATGACATCCGCTTGGTCGTCCGGGGACTACCCCAGGTCTATGTTGCCGCGCTGGTGCGATGCGTGGCAGAAGCACTTGAAGGATCGCCGCGAGTCGAGTTCGTCATGGTATGGGTGAAGGCTGTTCTGGGCACGCATGGCCGATATTTGCGGGAGCGTGCAGGAGAACATGCAGGCGTCTTGCGTGCGTTACAGAAGGCTCTGGGCGAATTTGAGGGCCTGCTTATGAAGCTGTGAGTGTTCCACTTCTAGAACGCAGCGTGTTGGCTAAAGGGAAGGACGATGCAGGTGCGAAGAAAACAATGCAACGCTCGCGTTTCTTGTGGACCAGGTGAAGTTGAAACAGAATGCCCAGGTGGATGATGGGCACAACGCTGCCATGCAGGAGGTATAGAGCGGCAGGCCGGGCATGCGCGGTGAGAAGGTTCCTGGTAAAAGTACTTTATTGTACCGCTGATAATTGCATAAAATTGTTGCCACATCCAAACTTCCTGCATTCATTGTTCGAAATTCTACTTCCGTGCCTCGTTTAGAAAAGCGAAATTGGCATATAAGGATGATTGTAGAAGACGCGAGAGAGACGATCACGGTCGCGCTGCAATATCAGCATGTGACGTCACCCCCCAAGTTATGACGTCCTGGTGCGCTCCCAGTCTTCTCCACCGTCTATCAACATATCATATATGAAGGCTCACCTTGGTCTGCTTCGTGCAAACGTCCCGTCTTTTTCGACTTCATTTGCATTCGGAATTTCGTTAATACTACCACATCTGGACTTATACGACCATGAGCGACATGAACCAGATGCCTCGCAAGCCCGTGCAAACGCAGGGACAGATCTCGCGCGGTAGTCCGAGGGTAAGCATTCGTATTCCCTTCCGGCGCAAACCATCAATTGAGCTAGCTTTGGACACTGTAGACGCTTGCCGTCGGCGTTGCAGCGGTTAGCGCCGGCCTTGGTCTCTTCTGGTACTCTCAAAAGTGGTCCCAACGGCAGAAAGAAGAGGATCCAAGCCCTGGCCAAATCCCTACATGGGAGTACCGTTTGCAGCAGCAAAATACACCCGAGTCGAGTGCGAACGACCCATTGGCCCAGCGTGTGTCGGGGACTGAGCCAGTCGCACGCCCGAAGGATATTCCGCTACCGGGTTCCGACAGCACTGAGAGTGGCAGCAGTGCGCTGACCGCAGCACATGTGGGTAATGTCTATTCTGCCGGTACACAGGACTGACGTGCGTCATGCGTCCCTCTAGGGTGGAAAGGGCTCGGACGCGACGCAAAGCTCATCGGAGCATGTTGATCAGCCGCCACAGCAAGCACGAACGAACGACACGGGTGATCAGGCTTACACCAAGGTGATATCTTTCGAGGGCTGCATGAGTTTTTCTGAACGCGATTCCTCCTACATCGACAGCTTCGGAGTATGTAGAGGGCAACGAGCCGAAGAAGCAATTGAGATAAACTGCTTTGACGGTGCAGCGTTCAACTTGTCTGACAGCGGCGTGGACAGCCCACTGGACCCTAAGCGTAGAATACTGCCAGTACAATGTATCATCTTGTCCGTCGATTTATCGGGGCATTCTAATATGTAACAAGTTGCCGTATTGCTGGCCATGCAATGAACAATTTGAAAAAAGGCTTCATATCATAAACCATGAAAAGCTATGGACATGTCCGGGATCGAACCGGACCCCTCTCGCACACGACCTTGCAAAGGCAAGATGCTAAGCGAGCGTGATAACCAACTACACCACATGCCCATGTTCTGATGGGTGCAAGTGGTATATGTGATACTCCGTCCCGATTCCCACTCGCGAAACGGAACCGTCGTATGCGAATTCGACGCAGTGAGAAACATCTAAGAATAGCTTGTATATGGTCTTACACCCCAAACTAGGGCACCAGAGATGGTCTTCCGTCACATGTGTTGGCTGGCGAAAAATGGATCCAAGTCCATCTTCGACAGTGCGAGCTGTAGTACACTGGAGCAGGCACGGATGATTTCCACAACTGCACGGTAATTGAGTTGCGGTATCTCTGGAGGAATGTCATCAATGTACTGGTTCCTAGGCTTGAACACTTCGATGTACACCCACACGCTCTTGAGGTCACTTAGGGCATCCTCTTTCCATTGCACACTGCATGGGGGAGTGACGTCAACCGTGGCGAAGGTCATGTAGAGACATGAGAGGTTTGATGATATCTATAGCCGAGGGCCTCTCAGATCTAGGTCGGCAACGCAGCTATTAGAAATATGCTGCGTAGAGAATAGAAACCGAGTACTAGGGCGGGGAAGCAAAGCCTCCAATGAGGAGTATTTGCAGACGTGTTGTTTTTCGCTGTGAGAGACGTCATCAATATGTGTATGAAAACACATACTAAATAAAAATAGCTCACAATAGACGAGTACGGTAACGTTCTTGATTCCCTCCTCGTTGAGCCTAGTAATGAACGCGCACTGCAAGAGATCTCGCCCGCCTTGCACGCGTCTGCAAAGCATTCTCGCCTAACGCGCTTTACCTGCTCTGGAAGAAACAGCGCGACGCGGCGCATATGCTGAAACTACTCTCTGCTAATGAGAGATATTACGACTGAAGGACATGTCGCTTAACACATGGACCTAGGGCTTGGACGGAATCCCAAGGTCGAGAAAGTAACGGGAGAGATTAGACACCACGTGTCAGTGCAGTCGGCGCATGGAGCGACAGAAACTGTGACGCCCTGAATATGCATGGCTGCGTTGACGAGCTCCTGTGTTTTACTCAAGGCTGAGCGAGTAATCTATCTGAGAGATACATCTCAGCCTTGACTGGTGTGAGTAGCCGCTGGGCACAGTGTCTCGCATGCATGCTGCAAATATTATGCCATTTGGGATGATGTGCAGCACGGATGAGAAGCGCATGCGCGATTGTTCGACACTCCACTAGCTTGTGACTCACGCAGGACGCAGCAGCAGAAACTGTGCCCACATGGGCACATCCGCGGGCAGATACGGGCCCCACAACAAACGGGGAAGTAGCTGTAACCTCCGTGACAGTGCACCATGGAGCCAGATAGGGCTTGAAAGGATGTCAATGTGCTGATTCTGAGCCGTGATGACGATGTCTTAGTTAAGATATATCATCGGCCTCTGGTTGTCACTGCGGTAGGGGATATATAGACGTAAAACGTTGAAGCGTTCCCTTGCAACAATGTCCAAACAGGAAATGAAAATAGCACACGAACCTGGTTAAGCGATTGCTTCAGGACTGCACGCATCGACGTGACAAATGTGCTGGTACAGTCTGCATCCCAGAAAAACGACCACTGTGGCTGAGTGAGCCTGGACCATCCAGCCTTAACGACCAAGTGGTGATGCCATGAGTGACACGAAGAGCGAAGCATCTAGGATCGTTGTTACGATGTGGCCGTGAAGGCTAGTGAGTACTTCATCGATCATAACAGTCTTCTTGTACCATGGAATAGGAGCGGCGAACATTAAGATCAGACAGAGCGCATTCGACTGGAAGCTGGCGTGACGCTGAACAGCAGCCACCGACGAAAGCAGAGTCAAACATGTGTACATGCGCACCTCTGTGGCAGCAGCGGAGGTTTCTCTCATCGATCTATCGTTTCCTCCCTGCATTTGACCTGGACATCGCCTGTCTACCACAAAAGACGTCGATCGCCATGCATCCGTCGCTTATCAAAGGGTACGAAGCAGCAGAAAATCAGGTTGATTGCAAGATACGTCGCGACGAGCGGGTGAGGAGAGGATATAGGATAGTTAACCGTGGAACTGGTGAGTACCGAATACACAATCTGATTGTGGAGCTGAAGACGAGAACGAGAAAGAAAACAGAGAAAGGTAGAGCTTTACGAAAGGGGTATCAACGCTCACCGACCTGGGCCACCTCCACGACCGCCTCTGCTGCCTTTCCCGCCTCTTCCTCCTCGCCCGCCCTTTCTGCCTCGCCCGCCTTTTGCCCCTCTCCCGCCGTCTCCCCCTTGCTCACTGTTCGACTCACCTGCCAGAGACGCCTCCAGCGCTTTCTTCACTGGACATGTGTCCCTCAGGTGGCGCTTCAATGCGTCCGGCCTTGACAACTGTGCGTCGCAGTAGCTGCAGATTGCCACCTTCAGCAGGCTGGGATCTCTCGCACTGCAGTCCCACTCCCAATGCCGTTCCATGTCCCATTCGCGCGTGAAGGTCCAGGTGCAGCCCGGCTCGGGGCACTCCCAATTGCCCTTCGCCGCCTTCCTGCGAGCGTGTTTCTTCTTCGGCGGGATGGGCTGGTCGACATCGTGCCCGTCATGAGGGTTCTTGCGCTTCTTGCTGTTTTTAGACGACTGTGCGTTGTGCTCGTTGGGCGGCTCTGGCTTCGCGCGCTCTTTCCCCTTGTCATTCTGCTTCACTGACGTGATTTTGCTGGATGAAGAGGCGCATGTCTGTGAATGAGTGATGCGCTTGTTAACAGTGGGAGTGATTAGCTATGACTTGGTATCTACCTCTACATCCTCGTTAGCAGGTGGAGGTCCGTCTTCGATGGAAGCGGAGTGCTCCTTGTCTTCATTGAAAGCGAAAACGTCTCGGTGGAGTAAGGAGGCCCCCATTTCAAAGTTGTCTTTGTCCCCGCTGTCTTGCAGCTCTTCGTCGTGGAGCGTGGTTGTGTGTTCTATTGTTGTCGTACCCTGCTCTGCATGTAGCAGACCAGGGACGATTGCATAGGATACGGAATCTCCGATCCTATACGATGACTCGGTACTTGAGGGCGTGTTTCTGCCCCCAGCCGTGCCGCCTGGGTGTCCTAGGGCACCCGGGAATGTGGAAGGGCCGGCGAGGGTGGCGTCGAATACCCAATGCCTCGGATAATCACACAGCATCGGTGCGTGTGTATCGGGTGGGATGTACTGGCAAAACACAAGTATATCAGTAACACCTTGACAAGGGCACTCAATCAACATACCAGTACATCATACTCATCGTCCCAAGGATACCCACTCACGATTGGGGAGCTGGTTGCAGCTCGTCTGTTCTCATCTATCGCCTCGTCTGTAGATGAGTGTAGTGTGGTGCTGTCAAAGAGGGAGCGCTAGCATGGAGGGAAAGACATCAGCTCGTATAGCCAGTCTCAAAGATGTCCCACATACCCAGCTTGATTCAAATACCCATTCATCTTCCTCAAATGTGAGACCCAGCGCAACCTGCTCATCGTATTGTACAGCCGAGCTGCGCTCTGCGTGAGTATGTGCCTCGAGGGGGCAGTCGCTATGGTGTGCGTCTGTGTACAAGGCTTAGTCGAACATGACAAGGGTGTCCGCGAAGGGCTCCTTACTGAGGGTCATGTCCTCGGCTGCACGCAAGGATTCTGTGGCCGGGCAATCAGTGCCTATCGTGGCCGGTAAGTCAAGATGCACATACTGGAGTGCCCCCGTTGGTTGACTTTATTCTCGAGGTTTAGCGCAAACCGTGCAACGATTCAAAGAGTTCTTATATTGTGGGTCACCGGCATCTGTCGTGCGCGGGCAGGACGGGCTAGACCGATGTGCAGTCCGTCGGCAAGCCCATCTATCAGATATTGCGGTGCTTCTTGCAGCACAAGGCTCATCAAAGGAGGTGATTGATACAGATTTAGAAGGCATCGTCGCCTGGGCATTGTGACGAGAAGAGCTCGTTTATAAGGATGTCCATATAATGCAGTATCACCAGACAGATCAGCTTGTCCTCTGAATCTCGGACGCCCTAGCAGCATAATTGACGCATAATCTTCATTTGTTTTATAGGGAACAATGCGGGTTGCATTCTGCAATTCCCGCGGTCGATGAACAACGATCAGTGGGCGTCCCTCCAGTTGCACTCCGCCGAAGTCATTCCGCTTGCTGCATCACCCGCACAACGTGCTGGAGCAGCAGCGGAAGTGTGTCCCGTCGAACGGCATGGCTTACGCCAACACTCTACTGTGTCGCCCATGTCACGTCGGCCGCACATCGCTCGGCGCGTTTCAGCTCTTGCCTGATAGCTGGAAGTGCCACCGAGGAATATGGGCTTCGGAAACAGTCAGTTCCTACAAGCTGCGATCCCACGGCCATCTGTCGCGGAGATCAACCTCATCGCCCTTTTTTTTCAGACACTTCCCGAAGGTTGTTGAACCGTTCCTCTTCCCTCTATCCCGAATCTTTGATATAACGATGTGTGCGCCGTTATTATAGAGCTCGATGGCTGGTAGTAAGACGCGGTAGTGAGCGGCGCACCGTTTAGACATCTCGTGCGAGGTGGCTTGCGTCTCTATCAGACGAAGCCCAACTTGGCGGCTGCGGCGAACCGAAGACAACGCATACGCCGTTACCCCCCTCCCAGACATGCGCTCGGAATCGCCAGAAGGTCGGCGTCCTCGGTCGCCCTTGGTCGACACGCCCAGCACGACCTGGCCTGAAGATCACGGATGAGATCGTCTTACTTCGCAGGCGAACGACACGGAAGCCATCATACTCGGCGATGTCTATATTTCTCTGTACCTAGACTACGCCCCTTACTGCAATCACGACGCCTTGCGCACCATCGAGCTCTACTGTAGCCTGCCTGACATACAGGAAACTCCGCCTTCCCTGTCCAAAGTAAACGGGTTACACGACGTGTCAAATGCCCGCCGGCCGCTAGAGGTTGTCGCATTGCTTAAGCCTCCGCATATTCTGTCGCATCTCAGTATCGATGAGCTCCGCGCTGCCATACAACGGGTACCCGTTCTCGATTGCTCAACCTCAGTTAATACCCTACGCTGGTGTTCGTCGCCGTCGGCTGCGAAATTTCCTGTCCTGTGCTTCAGCGCCTCGTACCGCATCTGCCAATCCTGGGTGCTTCTCCTTTTCCATAGGGTGGCTCACAACAGTTGACAGTCAGCCTGTCTGGCCCAATCTGCCGTCTAAGAGTGCCGAATGTGCTCACTCTTCTTTCCCTCGACGAATTGTACGCCCACACGATTCCGGGACATGATCAAATATGCTCTCCGCATCCATGATCAAGCTTGTCCGAGTCAGTCCCGAAACGCGGAAGGGTCGAGCATATCCATGCCCTAGCTGTTCACGTTCCGGCAACATTGACGTTGAGGCGAAGGCAATCAACGGTGCTCATCGAAAACTTCGCTATTCACCATACACCTCCTCGAATTGACAGGCATGTGGGCAAGCCCGCGCCGACTCGACAGTCTGCGTATACATCCCTGCAATTCCGTCTCCCGGTCGCTGGGACATGGCGGCGTGTCATTAATTCAACTGGGTCGTGCATGACGCTTCAATTTCCGGTCGACTTCCGTGCGAATGGCGGAGTTTGCTTCCTGTGCGCCTTGCCGCACAGCCTTGGTCCACGGTTCACGCACTTGATATCTATACGAAGAACACACTCATACTTCCAAGGCTGACAATGAAGTGGCCCATTGGCTTCGATCAGTGCGATTGCAAGGCAGCATCGTGCGGCCACGCTGATGGGCTTCTTTGTGACCTTCAACAGGTGACAGATGAGACCTCTCAGTGCATATTTTGGCGGTATAGCCACCGACTCGCCGCAGCCGCATGTTTCTGGTCGCATCGGAAAAATCCACTATAGATGCCAGTAGCTCAGTCCCATGAAGCCATCGCGCGACTACAGCCACTTGCAGCTTAGACTTTGGGCACTGGGGTACTGCAGCCCTGAAAAATCTGGTCAATAACGGTTATAATGAGTCGTGAGCAGTGGAGGCTGTATGCGGCATGGCACACACAGAGTCCATCGCCTGTACACCAGGATCATTCAAGCAGAAGTGGACGAGAACTGACCTGTTGATAGTGACAGCATCAATACGGTCGCCCGATTGATGCAATATTCCCGCGCACAGCCTGTTGTTAATACGTAGCAATGAGGTCCGCTCGCAGTGCTTGACTTTTAAAAGGGTACATAACTTCTCGAGAGCGTTCATGCGTAGGCCTGATGTTCAAGAAAAGCCAATGACGTACTCAGATCCAGTCATAAGCAAGTTAAATGCATCATATCGACGTACTTACAATAGGATTGGTTGAGCGCGTGTGGTATCTGCTCGCTTACTTGACCCCTGACATCAGTAAACCTCCATTCTTCCTCAATATATATTCCTTGATGACAGACGTGAATATTGAGCGTTGAGAATGAGCGAGCGAACGGCGTCACTGAGGCGGTATAGCATGTCAGCACATTGGAGACGTAGAACACTGGAAAGTTGACACACAGCTGGGTCTCAGGCGATCTCGAGGAGTCGTGGCCAGGGCGTTGCGATGGTAATGTCTTCCAAAGATTGTTGTTGGGATAACACACGGTAGACGATGCATGAGCCACATGTTAATGCTAACTGTGGATTAGCAGTACGTGACTGCAGACATGCCTTCGAACAGAGTGATACCGGAGTCTCAGTGCAACACATCAGGCGTTACGGCGATCTGGCAAATAGTGACAGCCGAGATCGTCAGAAAAGAATCACATCGACGAACATCATACAGTAGTCGGAGTTTTCTTACATACTCTCTGGCTGTAAAGCAACGAGTAGAATGTTAGCAGCCGCGAAGGCGAGCATATGGTGTTTTGGGGAATCTGTCTGTCCGCATCATGAGTCACGGATGCGAGCATCGGCAGTTTGAGCTGGAGAATTGTAAGCTTGTACATACAGGTATGCAGCGTGTATCTCTCCGCGCAAAACTGTATGGAGAAAGATAACAACAGAGTCGGGTCAGGACGTAGAATGCTCTGTATGTGGGGCTAACAAGTAGAGACATCAAGTCTACATGCTGTCTTCAAGTTGTTTGACTGGATGGGCAGCGCACCGTCGAGATCTACCTGCGAAGACATATAACTGGTTCAGACAAATTGGAGGGGATGTTCACATTGCATTCAAGTGCAGACACTCGACGCACTACAATCTCGTAAGCATGATTGTGCAACATCATCAGCCACTGGTATAAGCGGGGTCAAACAGCCATCCTACGGTACTTCCTTTTCGCGTCGACGGCAATATCACTCTTATGCCTCTTATTGATCTGTTGCTCAACCCTCCTTCCCTCTACGAAGGACACCACGAAGCGCACACAGCACGAGGTCGCTCGCCTTAAAGGAATCGCATCTTGTCGCAGAGCTGATGACGGCGGGAGGGATTTACATCACAGTGAGGGGAGGACGAGATACAGCTCGACGCAGAACCAGTAAGTGTTGCATTCAATGCACAACGGCCACAGCTCCAAAGAAATGCACGTAGACGAGACAGAAAGTTAGAAGAGGAACGGCTACCTCTAGCCACGACGAGCACGCTTCCGACCACCGCCGCCACCTTTGCTCCCTCGACCGCCGTTGGACCCTCGACCGCGCTTCGGCCTCGGCCTCGCCTCATCATCTGCGACATACCCTTCACAAGCATTTGGGTTTCTGTGGTGCCGGCGCATCGCATCGCCCCTCGCGAACAACTTGCCGCAGCCCGGGCAAGGGATGGACTGAGGGTCGGGCCTCTTCTTGCATCCCTTCCAGTGGCGGACCATAATCTCCAAGGACGATAACAGCTTGCCGCAATTGGGCGCGGGGCACTCCCGGCGTCCGTCTGGCCCAGCGGTAGCGGTGTCACGGAGGTGCCTCTCCTCCACATCGAATCCGCTGTCCTCCTCAGCCTCCTCAATCGCGTCGCCTCCCTCTCCCTCATTCTCCTCATCTTCTTCTTCGTATGCGCTCTCTTCGTCTCGAAACCCATGCTGCCCAGGAAGGTCTTCGTCGTCGTCTGTGTCCAGCGACTTTCGCTTCTGACCTTGCGGCGCCGTCGATGGGCCTGCCGCGGACATGGATGCCTGTGCAGATGAGGAGGCGACTGCATTCGTCATCGAGCGGGTCATCCGCGGCTGCCATGTGATCCATTCGGACCGCTCAATCCTCCTGCTGGATATCACCTCACCAACTGTCCGCGGGGTGTCGTGCTCGGAGTCGTCGAGTGATTGGTTGGTACTGGCGTTGTCGATTGTCGAGGGAAGCATGTATAAGGGAGCGGCGGATGACAGCTCGGCAGGCGTAGCGATGTTATTAGTGTGGCCAGTGGCCTCAGACTCGCTCTGCTCCGCGTCGTTGACCCCAGAGTCGGCCTCGGACTCGGCATCAGCCTCATTCGCGAGGCTGGCGTCGTGACCGATACGGTGACCGGTGTATACTATGGTGATTGCTCCCTGCTCTGCGCGCTGCAGACCAGAGGCATTCGCGTAGGATACATTGTACCCGTACGCTGCGTCATCGTTCGAGGGATCATTACTATCGTGATCCCGCCCGGTTGCCTCAACATCGTCAGAAGTGGCTCCTGGCGTAATAGCTTCGTAATACTCAACACATGGCAAGGATTTCAACCACTAGTTTCATGACAAGAACAACCCACGTACCATGCCAGTCCCGTACCCCAGTGTGTAATCCTCGATGGGGAGACTAGGCGCAGATTCCGGTCCTTCAGTCTGGCCGTCCGGCCAGGGCGCCCAGATTGGCATGAAGAAGCTGGTGTCCGGGTGTATAGCCGGATCCAGTTCCAATCCGAGGACTCCGGCCGAATCCTGGATGGTTGCGCCCCCGATGATGATTTCATGTCCTTCTACCTGCATGGCGAAGGAGCTTCGTGACCAGGGGATCAGTGCGTGTAGTATCAGGTGAGTGAAACTATACATACTTGTGTGTAAAGGCTTAAAAAGTTCGTGTCCGAGTGTAGATTGGCTTTATAAGCTGATGCCTCAGAGCGAAGATGGGGAGGGCGGGATGGTCGGCGCGACATTATATATTGCGGGCTACCAGCGCCTGTCGCGCTTCGCAGTGGGCGGGCCAGATAGGCTGTACTCCGGTGCAGAGACGCGCCATCAACTCTTGTAAAGCTCCCGGCACACGAGACGTTCATTTCCTCCTGACAGCAGCGTGCAGGCAGTCCGAATTTGAGAAGCATCGTTGTCTAGGCATCACGGCCACGCGTTCTTGTTCATAAGGGTGTCAAGAATAATGCAGCGTTATCGGATGAATCATGACAATTCGAAGCCCCATCAGCTTACATTGTCGTTTGGTATCTTTGCTAACATCGCTATTTCAGGGAACAATGCGAAAATGGATCAAGTAAATTCCCAGTGCAGAGACGCCCGGCAGATGATGCCAGTGCCGCCTTCCGACCACCTCTCTGTGTGTTTTTCTTTTCGAATCCTACACCGTCAGGCCACTCGTTCAAATTGTGTCTACAGGGCGAGATACGCGATAAGTATCGTAGGCCGTGGGAGGAGTGACGGTCCTACCGCTAAGTACCAGCGGCACATTGTCACGCAGTGGTTTCCAGAAATGGATATCCCCTTCCACCCAGATTTGGGCCCATGGTGCGCTCTCGCGAAGTCATAGCCACTTCTCCATGTTTCCGAACCTTCTCTGCGAGCTAGATCTTCGCTCTAAGGGGCACGCTATGTCTACGCATCGTTACTGCTGCTGCGCCGTATGTCTGGCACGCCAACGCGGCGTGTTAACACCTCCATACTGCGAGACTGGCGGGAACAGCGGTTTGGACCACTCGGTCTCAATGGCTGTACACTACGTATACGGACGCGTTGAACCTTTTCGTTGCAAGTAAACGACTACACCTGCGCCCCGTCGCAAGCGTACAACATGCGAGGAGTGTGCGCTTGCTCGACATCTTGGAAAGGACACAGCTACGCCCAGTCCTGCTCGTTATCGTCGCTTCTTGCATGCGATGAGTTCACCTTGCCTCCACAGTATGTTCGTACAATTCTTTCGTCCCCAGTGTCGGACGCGCTGACCGGGTAACAGCCCCTTACCTGCCGTCTGATGTATAACCCCCTATCCGAGTGGCTTTTCAGTTTCCAGGGGCGCAGTCCCCCACGTCCTTTTGAGCTCCATATCGTCAAGCCTGGCAGATGCACTCGCCGTACCGTATGTCGCCGTTCAAGCATACCTCGGACTGGCCTGGCAGACTGGACCCTGAACTGATATTACTAGCCCTCATCAATTCGGTATACGTCGACGCATTGCGGTTGCGGACCCAGGGCGTACATCTCTTTCTTTCGACGAATGTCTGATCGCGTCAGCTTCTCGGTTCGTTTCGTCGTATTCCCGGGATGATGTCAAGGAGAAACTTGGAAGTACGAATTACGCCGCGACCTGTCTTACACTACTCCCTGTTGCCCCATACTTGTGCCTCTCCGTAATAAGCCTTTAATAGACCTGCCCAGCGCCATTCTCTTCGCCCAGCTTCATCCGTTCCTGCGTTTCCAGCAGTCCCGTCATTGACACACCCCCACTTTTCGTCTCGCTGTCCCAGGGTCGGTCTCGTCAAATATACCACTCTTGGTTCAATGCATCGTATACCAGGCTCCCTACTTTGACCAGTTTCTTCATTAGAACTTTTATCCGTGTTGCACCGATTTCGAGGCCCTCCACCACGCAGACGTCCGACTGGTCGTTCAATCACCTTTTATATCGGAACATGCGGTCAGAAAAGAGCTCGCAAGTTCGGGCGCAATAGTGACCGACGCCGGGGAGGCTCTCCTGCAGTGTAAACATGACCATTCGTGGTGTATGTACCTCACGCGGCAGTCCCTTACGAGCATCGCTGCGCCCGTGGACAAACGCGCTCGTCGACCAAATCCCCGGTGCTTTAACATCTATGTATCTCTTTCAACGATCTGACCGCTTCGTGGGTGACTCTATATCTGTCCTTATGTGATTTTTCCTTCATCATTCAACTGCAGATGGGGAGAATGAGCCACAGTACCTCGTCAGTGCAGGGTACACGAAAACAGAGCAGCATGTCCCGCGTATGACCGTAGTTTACGAATTCTCTCATGGTGGGTAGTTGTGGTGACCCAGAAAAGGTTCAGATACTTCCGTAGTCCAATTCATTAGCTAGAGATATCTGTTCTCTTCCGATGTTGATATAATCTTCAAGCAGAGGCTCCAAAGCCAGGGCCTGGGACAACGGGGCTGCACCTATATGTAGAGCCATCTGCGCTGATGAAACCGAGGTCGCTCACCCGGACTGCATATTCATGGGATTTATCTCGCTCATGTGTATGCGTTGAAGAGCAATCTTGCGATATATGCCCTATAGAAACGTCAAGATGGTGGTTGAACGAAAGCCGCATCGTAAAGGGAGGGCGGTACACCCTCTTCCTTCACATCTGGTTTCCATCAAGATATATAACACATCTTCAGATGCGGGCAATTTCCTCAGTACGAGGTATCATGTCTCCTAGTCATCGACTTCTCCTAGAACAGCTCGACAGGTCAACGCATGAAATACGCTCATCGAATTGGCAGTTGTATATGATAGATACTGTTGAATGAGACCCGCTGACGTGGTTCATTAATGACCGTATCGAACGTTCAAGTCGATGGCCACGAGTAATCAGGCGGCGTTGCAGCGAGTCCGAATTTCCGTGAAGCGGTAGATAACCTCGTGGCGGTGGCAGATGCGATCGATCACTGTTTCGCTTACTTCTGCTCTTCCGTCATGGCTCATTCAATCGCACTGCTTAATCACGTCTTTTGCAGTCGCTGGGGGGTTTCAAGCTCATTCTGTATGGCGACTGATATCGATTGATCAAGAAAGGTCGAAGACGACGGCAAGATAAGATGGCTACGACAATGTCGAGAAGACTAGAGCCCACAGAACTATAAGGCGGCGGAAACACTCGAGTGAGGAGTATGGGAGGAAGAGGGAGAATGTGGTGACGACTCCCCGATATTATGTTAGGCATGACCGCCCCTTGCTCCACCGCGACCACCCTTTCCTCCACCGCGGCCGCGCTTTCCTCCACCGCGACCACCCTTGTCTCCTCCCTTGCGCTTACCGTAGTTCCCGTCACTCGATGCTCCGGACTCCTTCGACTCTCCAGGTGACTGTTTCAAGACGGGACACGCACCCTCCTCGATATGTCGCCTGACCGAATCGCCTCTGCACAAGGGCTCCTTGCAGTGGGGGCAGGGGGGTTTCTCGAGGTCGTCTGGGTCTCTCTTCGGACAACTGCATCTGAAGTGGCGGGAGCTTTCGCTCTGACGTCCGAATGTCTGATCACAATCGGCTTGCAAGCATGGGAACCTTTTTTCCTCGCTCTTGGTGTTGCCCGCCTCTGCCTTGTTCTTCGTGCTGCTTGCCTTTGCCTTTGCCTTCGTTGTACGCTTCGCTTTTGGCTTGGTTTTCTGCTTCTTCTGGCCAGTATCCTTCGCCTTTCCCTTCCGGGCCCTCTTCACTGCCTTCTCGTTGTCATCGTCGTCCTCGCCGTCTTCGTCAGCCCTGCGCTTTTGCCCACGCGAGGCATCGGGCATCGCCAAAGCGTTGTTATCAGAAGACGCGCGAGTCTGGGAACGCATTATGGGCCTGGCGAGGGGAGGAGTGAAGAGTGGCAAGTTGGTGGCTGCTTCGATGGTGACGTCGTCGTCAAACATTGCAGACTCGTCCTCGTTGGACACAGGAGGTGCGTCGTTGTCCCCGCTATCTGCGTGGAGAATGGAAGTGTCGTCGTCATACACCTCGTCGTCGTCGCCTTCCTCGAGGACCTCGTTCCCCTCGGCATCCTCGTCATCGAGAGAAATTGCGTATTCGGTTGCAATGTGGTCCTGCTCTGTCCATAACAGACCAGGATCTATTGTACGGGATACAGAATCTCTGCTCCCGTACGTGGTTTGAGCCATTGAGGGAACGGGGTCCCCTTGAGCCCAGCTGAGTGTGTAGTCGAGCGCACCGGGGAACCTCGATGGCCCAGCGCTGAACGTGCCGTCTCCCGGAAATGCCAATGCCATAGATGACTGGTGCATGGACGGCGTGATGTCCTAAAGAGACGTTAGAATCCCAGGATTGCGAAGAAAGGATGGTTGACGTACAAATTCTGCACCATCCCCTTCGATGGTGCCCTCGTCCATGGCGATGCTTGTGGCTACTTCCTCATCTACACTGATTTCTCTGTTGTTGTGGCACAGCAGCAACATAATTGGCCATGCTTCCTCGGTGGTGGACAGCCCTGGTGTACCGTCCGAGTCAATTGAGATGGGATCCTTATAATATATTGTCATCATTAGAAAAGCCCACAGAACAATCCACAGCAGTGAATACACACGAACCATTCTGGATCCGAGGTCCCATGCCTCATTCTCCTCAACGTACAAACCGAGCGCGACTTGCGCGTCACGGTCTACATCCGGGTCGTTGTACTGGTACGACCCTATCAGCTCATCGAAGTTCGTCTTTATGTCTCGAGATGCCCCGAGCATGTCGACCACTCCGGAAGACACAATTTCGTCTGCTTCCCACACGACAAAGAAGAAAACAATGCTTGGGCGATCAGCGGCTATGGGATGAGGTAGGTGAGGGTTGGACATACTTGGCTTGGATCTATCTGGTTTGCTGTTGAAATAAAGTGAAATCTATAACCTTGACAGGTTGTAAAGCGGAAGCGATGCGAAGGGAGGAGGGAGTACGACAGCACAGTTTGTATTGTGCAGGCATCCGGCGCCTTCTATGCTTCGCCGACCGTGGACTGGCGGGCTAGACAGTTCTTCGCGGCAGAACGTCCCCATCAAACATTGTAAAGCCCCCGCTGCACGAGGCATCCATTTCTAGCCGATGGAGGCAGGTAGACAGGCTGGCTGAGCATTGTAACTGACGCGTGCTTGTTTATACGAATGCTGAGAATAAAGCAGTAATATTGGACGGATAATGCTAACTGCGGCCTCCGCTGATTATGCGTTGTCTTGTCTTTGCTAATGTTTCCTTTTCAGAGAACAATGTGATATCGCTCTACATTGGTTCCCCACGCCAAAGCGCCCATCAGGCGTGCTTTCTGCACTGCGGTCGCCGTCGATTTTCACCTTATCTTCCCACTCGTACACTCCGTGTCTACAGCACACGCCGCGAGAAGTCTGAGACAATGTACGGACAGTCTGAATAACTGTCTGCATCACTTGTTCCCGCGTGCTCGAGTATTCAATCGGTTCTCATCATAACCATAAGCATTTCACTGTCAAACAGATACGTCCAGGATTGGACATCCCCTTCAACCCAGATCTAGTCCTACGGTGCGCTCACGTAGAGTCATAAAATTTCCGAATCTTCTTCGCCGAAGTGGCCTTCCGCTGGCAGGTGCGCCCCCATCTCTTCGTTTGGGGTCGTGCATGGCTGACCGGCTCATAGTACTCGCCAAATAGCGCCTTGTTCACAGCGCGTTTGTGTCTGTATATCCCTGAGGTTATCGGGCGGAAAGTGAATGGGTGTACGTGACATGAATAGCTATATGGGTCCCGTCTGTCAGGTCCACGCTTATTCCGTCGTTCTCCTCAGCACGCGCTCATTTTAGACGACGGGTTAGTGGTGATGCTCGGGTACTTCAGCCAACCGTGCACTGTCGGTGTGCGCTCAGGGTCTGCCCGCTCAAATGGATCAATCAGTATGGAAGCACCTCGAATGTGTATGCCGATTGCTCATGCGCTTGGAAATGATCCATGAATTCGCCGACGCAGCCACACGCATGCTCGTGCGTTGTGTTTGCTTGTCGCATGGCATGTGCGAACTGCGCCTGCATATCCTGACGACCATTCTACTCTAGCCTATTGTCTACGGTGAAGCTCTTCATCATTCAATATCTCGCCTATCGCCTGCTCACTGCCCATCCATTCGCCTCCGTGCGCTGTGCTCGAAGTGCGGCCTTCTGAACACCGTCTTCGAAACCCTAGACATTGGATCCATCCGCTTGCCGTAGGCGCACGCGGGCGACTCTATCACCCCATCGTATGTCGGACTGCGTCGCTCTGGTCTGGGGAGAATATACAACCTATCCAGGTCGACCCGCATGCTGCTTGAGAGTCATTGAACGCCCCGGTCGTGGAATGAACACACGGCGCATCTGCTTGCTGGACAGACGTTGTAGCTGGCTGGGCTCAGTTATCGCAATGACATTCATCGTTCTGTGACCGATGCCATCCTGGTCGCTCTACCAAGCATTAAGTATAACTTTGCCTTGCCGCGGGGTCTCGCTGAGCTGTCTCAAGAGGATGCGGGAGTCTGGAAGCAAGTGGTAGGTGGCGACGGGAAAGGTCACCCAAGAAGCGGAACACGAGCTGTCGAGATGCGATGTGGGGTGGAAGCGTCACGTTTATTTTTCTGATGATCCTGCTGAAGAGCTCTCTAGGGACGGTTCATGCTTTAAACGACGGAAATTGTCGTTACGCCGCAGGACTGGTTCTCGCCTGTACGCTATTCTATAAACCTGTTGACTTCGTCATACTAAAAACAAGGGGATGGTTCGCATACAATATCGCATTTCTCGTCCAACCATTTCATCAAAAGGTATACCACCCCTTCCCACCCTTCATCTGCTTCCTCAGGCAGTGACTCGTCACTCGTTGTCTCCCACATGGAGACCCAACACAGCTTGGGACATAGCCTCAAGATGAACTTGGCAACCATATTAACGTCTTTCACTTCGCACTCGGGGCCGTATCCAAGATTGATACTTTCCAGATCACCGGCTTCCGGAAGCTGCAACTGGCTGAGTAGACTGGGTTCCAAATCGACCTTGGGGAGCTCTAACACTCTCAGCTTTGGACAGGCACTGATGATGTCGAGCATAGTTTGAGGGTGCACGAGGATGTTCATGTCGAGGTTATAAGCCCAGAACTTCAACTCTTCGAGCTTTGGACAATTAATCGCCATTGTGCGCAATGCATCCTCTTCCCAATGCGCACCGTACGGGAGGGTCAGGTGAATGGAGACGAGCTTGTCCAGATGCGAGATAGTCTCCACGAGATCGCATAGAGATACACATCGTGTCAATCTCTCAATGCCGGAGGCTCCGTTGATTGACATCCGGCGCATTGAGGCGAAACGCGATGCGAGGGTAGTCAAACAGTCGTCCCAGTATCTCGAGTCGCCAGATACCTTACCTTGCAGGGTTACGTCTTGGAGTTTAGGGCTGGTGATGACTTTCAGGAAGGTGGCCGTCAGCTTGAAATGTCCTCGAAAAACAAGCGTCTGCAGTGATCCAAAGGCAATTCTCGATGTGCTCAAGCACAACAGCTCCTTAGGATCCGTGTACGATGTTATTTGGATATCGAGCGTTTCGAGTTGCGTGAGGTTGGAAAGCGGGAGTAGGAAGCTTGCGTTGGCATATTCGACCTTCAACTGCACCCTGCGCAGTCCGGAGGGCCAGGGACGGGAAGTATAGATATGCTGGGGAGGAATGGTGCCGTGTATGATGAGTGTCTCGAGCAAACGCGAACGTTGGGATAGTACGTCTAGAATCGAATGGTCGGGGGCGGGGTTCACCTCGGCAAGGCCACAAGCTTTTGTTGCATCTAAGGTTAGACACTTTAACGTTTCGCGAAAGCCTTGAGCGACATTCAAGTCGTTTGGTGTGGTCAACACCTGGTAAAATTCGACGTGTTTGTCTGAGGAAGATGCCACGTTGCAGTGTGAGGATTCGGAGGGAGAGAGGTTGCTATACTGCATGTTGTAAGGCTGGAATCTGAGAGCCGACAGGAGGAGTGGGCACGATGAGGCAGATACACCCTGCATATATATCCGACGTGACAGACACCTCGAGGCATCTAGCGTGGCGTCAACGCGAGCCACTGGCAACGTGTCAATGTGGCACCATTTAGGCTGGGTACAATCCAGAGGTGTACTTGATACGATATGACCCACGTGTTTCCAAAACATACATCCGCTTCTTGATCCATGCTTTGCTGCAACGTGTCCACAGAAGACGGCAGCACCTCCGCCACAGAGTAGGAGCAAAGAGTGTGGATATATACCGACGGTGCTGCTCCATCAGGTGGTGGAGTTCAAGTGTTTGCGCTTTGATGAGTTCCCGGAAAGCTGTAGCCAATAACCAGCCACTAGCTGCCGGAGGATGTCAGCTCATTCCACGGCGCTCTTCCGTGGGGCTAATTGCAAGCCATAAACAAGCATATTCCGTTTCCATAGCTTCAACGGTCCCCGATTGGTTGGAAACAAAACATGGGCACATCAAGTTCCTTTGTAGAGCGCCAGCTCGAAGCACCTTGAATATCGAGATTTAATCTCTGTAAGCCACAGAGTTTGCCTTCGGGACCATGCGTGTTTTCTTTGCCGGGATCTATTATATGCGATACTGACGCCACTACCCCTCAATGACCAGGTATAAAAAACGCATGTCACCGGAATAATGCGGACTGGATGCACAACTCCATGCTGTCCGCTCGCTTTGACCCCAGGAGACAAAATTGATGTTGCCATGTCTGACAGGACGTCCTATGGAGCAGATCGTCAGTTCTCTGTCCCTCAGTGGATAGACAATAGACTAGTCTGGGCCTCCCACTCGTCGTCCCGATATGCGGTGGACACCGCGACCCCTTCGTCCTGGGTGTCGTGGAATCAGCCGATGTTCTCCCACTTCTGCGTCAAATGGAACTGATGGGCTTGGTTATATGTAGCCCCTTGTTCCATTTCACCTTGTAAAACTCCGAAATCTACGGCCGTCTGTGGGTCCCGTGATGATCATGCTGCCGGATGGAGAGGATTGCTAGGGTCGGTCAGTCAGTACTTGCTACAGCAGATGAGTAAAAAGAGCACATATATATACCAATAGGTTTAAAGGGGTTTTCGTAGGCGAAAGTTGCTGATATCAAGCTGAATGTGCTTTGGTAAGTGTGGGTGATGGAAAGATGATTGGTGAGTGAGTGACGAAGGTCGGAGGCAAAGAGGGGCGAGGGCACAGTGTTGCATATCGCAGGTCCATTCACTGCGCCTGTCTCCCTTCACCAACTATAGGCGGGATAGACGCATCAGACTTTGTAAAGCTCCCGCTGCACGAGATGTCCATTTTCTCTGGGAGCAGTGTGCAAGCAGTCGAGATACGGAACACATCGCTGTTTGAGCATCACAGCCGCGTACCCCTGTTCATAAGGACGTCGAGAACAATGCACGCGTTAGCGGAGGCATAACGGTGATTCAAAGCTCCATCAGCTTACTTTGTCGTTCTATGCCGTTTCTGAAGTTGCTATATCAGGGGACAAAATGTATTAAAATTGATCCCAGTGCAGGGACGCCCGAAGTGAAGTGTTGCCTCTTCTTTGTATGTCGTTTTCTTCCTGCTACAGCAAAACCAATATTGATAGACCTCCCTCGCGAGAAGTACAGATAGGCGGCACGGAGCATAATGGCGCTCGGCACCTCGGGGTGACGTGCATTCACTCCTCAGAGATTGTTCGTGGCACCCATATAAAGCAATCTACACCAATGCCTCAAGATCTGTCCGTTTGTCGAGGTCTACTGTCCGTCTGCTTCCGCAAGCAATGGCATACAGCGACGACCTCTGCACCCTACTGTGACGTGATACCAGTAGCTTCTGATCATTAGCCATAGAGCGAGACATGTATACAACCAATCCTTTCTGAGCAGGATGCACATATCGACGATCACCGACCATGGTCGGAAGACGAGGGGATCACAGCAAGCGTCTACTCAGTAGCCCGTCTCTGTCGCCGTCTCTGCACCACTACCGGCTCCTGCCGTGAGCTTCTGCCCCACCTTGCCGAAGTGTATACTTTGCGAGGGGAGGTCTATCAATATTGGTTTTGCTGTAATTTTCACTGTGTGTCTACAGCGTGCGCTACACAAAATCAGACCTGCTCTCGTCTGCTTGGAGTTCTTTCCGAGTCACCACCGAGTACATGCAGCACAATGTTATGCAACGGTTTATACCTTTTACCTGTAAGGCCGGTGTTTCGGAACCTGCAGGCTCCGCCGGTGGCATATGGCGTCTATCTAATCTAGTACTGATGGGTTTGGCATTGTTTGCCTCGAGGATGGGTTTCGTGGCTATTCGCGCCCTCTACAGCCTGCCACTACTAACTCTATGCCTCTATGTATGCACTCTTGTAGACTTCTCGGGATTATTGGGATCGGATACAGCGCAAATATGGGCCAGGGTAAGTAATGTATTACAATTCCTGTGGTTGCATCGTGATTCATTACGGCAGTCGACGTGCAGCTCACCCAACACCACGCATTTGCGTTTGCATTCCACGGGACGTCTCGCACAGGAACAGCAGTTTTGACGGGTCTCGATACTTGCACGCTATGTGGACAGGTACACGAGGCCGCCTCAAGTAAATCTCTACCCCTCGCCCCCGTTGCAATCGTGTGCTGAAGATGACGAGATGGCGGAGGTCCTCGGGGTCCTATGACGTGCACAATACTTACCTGCGGTACGTCGGCAATTCCGAGTTTGCGTGGACTACTTGCGTGTTCAATATCTCAGGAAGGACACAGCCGCGCGCATTCACGCTCGTTACTGTCGCCCCTAACACTCAGCGAGCAGACTTCGGCCCTACAGTATGCTCATCACCGCCTTTCGTTCCTGGTGTCGGATGCGCTGACTTTACGTCAGCACCTTCCTGTCACTCGACGCACAACGCTCTATTCCCGGGGGCGTAGTCTGCCTCTGTCTTTTTGAGCACCATACCGTCAGGCCTCGTCCTTGGCGATGTTGATGCTGTAACACGAAAGCGCCTATACTCGATGCGTTATATCGTCAGACACCGCCCGTCTGCTCAGGTAGACGGGTGAGAGTTCCAATTCCCTGCACGCTCTACCTGTCTTCCTCGCCCCGCTACGGCATCTCGGCTCAAAATCCGTCTCAGGCCTGTGCTGCCGAACAAGCTCCCTGTAGGCTGGCCTGATTGACCAGATCCTAGACTGGTATTTTCAGTCTCCGTCAGCTCGGTACATGCTGACGCGAAGCTAAGCATTGCGGTTTCTATTACAGAGCTTTCCGCGAACATGCGGTCGCCGCGACCTCTCCATTCACCGGAGAACACATTCACGTCGATGCCGGGGAGACACTTGTGAGAATGAATTGCAACCCGATTATCCTAACCCCCCTCTTATTACCCTATATTTATGCCTCCCCCCTCTCTCTTTAGTTTAATGCAGCGTACGCGAATGCTCTCCGCTTTTATTTCGCCCATTTGTTCGTATTTTGTTGCAACGACTTCGAGGCCTTCTTTTGCCACGCGTACGTTTCACCTTCGTGTGGCGAGAGTAGTTTTTGACGACATGTGAATCCCTTCGCGTCATGGTCCATCTACCTGCAGGACGACAGGGCAGGTTGTAATCCACGGTGCATCTCCTAGCTTCTGGATAAAACCATTCGGTACGCGATTAATGATCTGGAGGCTGACGTCGGCACTGGCTGATATGGACACCTCCTGGTGTGGCACTAGCATGCATGTTCTCAGTACGTTGTTCACTTCGGTCATTTAGACGTGTTCATTTGGACAAAAACTCGATGGCTAGAGATAGTCTGCATTTGAAGCAGGCCTTGGAGATATTCTTGTCATTCTCGCGACATTTACTCGGAAAGCACGCTGACCACAACACTGCTCATTACGCCTTTGGGTGTAAAATGTTCGCATTATGCACATCATTCTTCGTGTTCTCCGTCACAATGGGCCAGAGAATTGACCTTGAGAGCCCCACGAGTCAGTGCCGGACCTTAAATCCTGAAATACAACTCGCCTATATAGGGCATTGCTGTCCTCATCTGACGATAGTAATCTTTCGCCTGTCTATGTACACCATTCGAAATTATTAGATACAGAGGAATCACGATACCGATCACGTCATATCTTGGTAATCTACGGGTCGGGTGTTGACAATGCCCTCAGGAGCGGATTGGACAGTCGGACGATGACCATGCATCATGACATGAAGTCTTGACGAGATATTCCTGAGAATAGTCGTTGGCAACATACCAGGAGGAGAAGCGCATACAGCCACGAGCTACTGATGTGACGTACCTTCAACTGGAAGAGGTCCGTAGAACTAGAATATCCACCTGGAATGTCAGTGCTACAGCCTACTGCCTTTCTATCCAATCAACTGAGCCGACAGATGCTGGCATGGTGATAAGTATGTACGAGCGAGACAGAGGTCACTCTAACAGGGTATAATAAGAGGCCTCCGTGACTTGTTCGAGTGTCCCAACATTCTCTGAGCAGGTCAGGAACCAGAAGCCATCATACGCCAGCGATACAGCACATACTACGGAGAAGATAAATATCTCATTCATAAGCAGGATGTTAGAACATTGCATCGAGCATTCAGTTCGAGTGACCGTGGACAGTCAGGCAGCACTTGCAGGGGGTCCGAATAGGTCCGAACTTGGAACGGTAAATGGCCTCATGGCGGCAGACTCGATCGATCGATGTTTCCCTCGCTTCTCCTCCGCCGTCATGGCCCACTCAATCACGCTGCTCAAGTAGGTCTCTTGTAGTCGCTGCTCATTCCTCATGGCAGCTGGCATAGATTGAGGAAGGCCCGAAAGGTAAGATGTCGAAGGCCATGGCAAGACAAGCACTATCAGACAGTCGCGACAATGTCGAGAAGACCAGAATCCAAAGCACTATAACGCGGCGGAAACAGTCGAGTGAGGAGTACTGGAGGAAGAGGGGGAATATGGTAGCGACTGCCCGATATTAGGTTAGGCACGACCGCCCCTTCCTCCACCGCGACCATCCTTTCCTCCACCGCGGCCGTGCTTTCCTCCACCGCGACCACCCTTGTCTCCTCCCTTGCGCTTACCATAGTTCCCGTCACTCGACGCTCCGGACTCCTTCGACTCTCCAGGTGACTGTTTCAAGGCGGGACACGCACCCTCTTCGATATGTCGCCTGACCGAATCGCCTCTGCACAAGGGCGCCTTGCAGTGGGGGCAGGGGGGTTTCTCGAGGTCGTCTGGGTCTCTCTTCGGACAACTGCATCTGAAGTGGCGGGAGCTTTCGCTCTGGCGTCCGAATGTCTGATCACAACCGGCTTGCAAGCATGGGAACCTTTTTTCCTCGCTCTTGGTGTTGCCAGCCTTTGCCTTGTTCTTTGTGCTGCTTGCCTTCGCCTTACCCTTTGCCTTCGCTGTACGCTTTGCTTTTGGCTTGGTTTTCTGCTTCTTCTGGCCAGTGTCCTTCGCCTTTCCCTTCCGGGCCTTCTTCACTGCCTTCTCGTCGTCTTCGTCGTCCTCGCCGTCTTCGTCAGCCCTGCGCTTTTTTCCGCGCGACGCACCGGGCATCATCAAAGTGCTGTTTCCACAAGCTGAGCGACCGTGGGAGCGCGTTATGGGAGGGGCGACTAGTGATAAGTCGGCAGCTGCTTCAATGTTGACGTCGTCGTCGAGAATTGCAGACTCGTCCTCGTTGGACGCAAGAGGTGTATTGTCCTCCTCATTCGTGTAGAGAATGGAAGTGTCGTCCTCGTTGTCGTCTGCCCCGTCGTCACAGGTGTCGAGGTCTTCTTCATTCTCATCTTCGTCGAGCGAAACTGCGTATTCGGTTGTGATTGCTCCCTGCTCTGCATACAGCAGACCAGGGGCGATTGCGGTGGATACGGGTGCCCCGTCCTCTCGCAATAATTGAGTAGTAAAGGAAGTGGCACTTCCTCCAACTCTGCCAACCGGGTAGCTAAGCGCGCCCGGGAATCTCGACGGCCCTGCCATGGGTACGTCGTCTTCCTCGTGCATCATCGCCCCGGATGGCCACCACACGTCCATGTCCGGCGGGATGTACTGATCAGATATTAGTATCTCAGCACATCAAAGGATGGATGGGCGCCATACCATGCTCCCGCCGTATGCCCCCGCAGTGCCCTCCTCCATGGAGAGGCCTAGGGTAAGTTCAGCGTCCATGTTGATGGACGCACTGTCTTCGCCGACTGGCGCCTCGGCCCGTCTCTCTTCCTCGGGGTATGACGCCTGCGACGTTGGTTCGTGGATAGTAGAGCCTTAATGTGAAAGGAAGGGTGTTAGCTTGTGCAGTCTGTAGCAGAGATGATCTACACACCATGCTAAATCCGAGCTCCCACCTGTGGTCCTCCTCTATAGAGACACCCGCTGCTATTTGTGCGTCGCGATCTTCGACAGGGTGGCTATGCATTTGCGCTCCTGTCTCCTCAGCGGCGTTGGTGGCCGTAGCTTGAGGTATCGTGAATCCTAGCTCGTCCACTGCCCAAATGGCAGAGGACAGGCTGGCAGATGAGTGGTTAGCATCTACAATTATAGGCGAGTGGGACACTACCTGCTAGCAAGTGCTCAACTTCCCCTGTCTATGAGGTAGTTGAGATGGGAGCGGCTTTGGTAAGCTAGGAGGCGAGAACGAATTCGGGGGACAGGGACAGACCAGGCTACGACTGATATATTACAGTTCCTCAGCGCCCACCACGCTTCGCGGTCTTCGGACAGGCAGGCTAGGCGGGGTGCAACTCCGCTGCAGAACGCACCGAAGACCCTCATCATGCTTCCTAAATCTCCCGCGGCACGAGGTGATCATTTCCGGGTGGTGACGGCGTGCAGCCGGCACGATTTCAGAAGGCATTGCTATTTGAGCATGGCGGTCGTGGGGGCTAATTAATAAGGACGTCCATAACAATGCAGTCATATCGGGATGATTACACGGCTCACGAAGTCAGACGAGGACGGATGTACCATCGGAATGTTCTCCTTGTGTTTGTTTGAAGAACAATGTAAAATATATTATGTCGCACGGGTAACTAGTAGGTGTAAGTGATGTCCCTCCGATAACTCGTAAAATCATCTCCCTTTTTGATCTCAGTCAACGCTGCTGTCGCACACTTTCTCATTCTTACTGCATTGTCCACAGGAAGGTCTTCGATGATGCAAGAACATGTCAAAAATCGGATAATCCATTTGCGCTATGCACTATTGTCGAACTTTTGTTGACTGCTCGCCGATCATCAGCAACGCCAGCGACCACGCTCTCCAGAAGCTTACATCCATTTCAGGTCATATTCTGTCCCACGCTGCACGCTCGCGCTCTTGAAATCACCGCCTTGTTGTCCTTAGGCGTTCCCTGCGGGCTGGGCCTCACACGATGTCTGTCCCCTGTATGAGGATCGCTCCTACTCTGCGGCGTCATGCGTCGTGTGTCGTGCACGGGCGATGCACCTAGACAATCGAACGGACGGCAGTCGTCTTCCTTGCCTGCAAGCGATACTCTCGGCCTCATCTGCAGACTGCCAGCGGAGCGTTTCATGCGATCTCGAAAAGGATACAAGTTTTCGGGCTCGAGCTAAGGCATGTGTCTTCACTCATCTCTCAAACGTCCAGTAACACGAAGGCGTTGGTGAATTATTAGTGCTGTAACAGGTACTCACACAGCGCTTGCCGAGGCTGCAGGACTCACTGGAGCCTGCGACGATGCTCGCTTGTGTTCTATAGGGTGGGCATGAGAATACTAGCAAGACTTAAGACAGCTGTATCCAGAGCATCGTTGCCATCGTGGATGGAATTCGCGCACCAATCAGCTCGCTACTGTCACAGCTTTGGAATATTTCCGCCAGCTCAGCATGCCTTGAGATATCAGCCATTTCCTGTTTTGCTTCGGATCGTTTGTCAGCTAAGTTATCCGCGCAATCCATCTACCCCTGGTGAGGCCAGATGCCCGTCTGTTCAACCGCATCTATCGTCTTTCCTCCTGATGCATCTGCAGCCGTCTCTGTCAGCTCCACTCGCCACATTGTGAGCGAGTTCTGTTTCCTGCATTCATACATTCACGTGCGAAGATCTACAGGTACGCTGAATGCGCTAGACACGCCGTCTGATCGGTCAATATCCCTCTGCGTGGCTCAATACTCGGGGCTCTGGGAGTTCCGTACCATGCTTAGCAGAACGCAGACGCCAATGGCTTGGATATTTTGCCACGCCCCCCGTGGATTGCTCCTTAACCGTAAGCACGCCAAATATTTGCCGCGTTGCTCATCTGTCGCTGATCGTTCATTTTGGTTCATATGCGCTAGCGCCGACCCTACCCACTGTAGGTGCTCACGGCTCATGATCCCGTGCATATGCGACGGCCATTCTTTGCACAAGGATGGACGACTGATGCGGCATTCCCCGTCCCCTACCTCTCGAGACGTCGGTATATCTACGCATCCTACAGTATTGGCACTTACTGCCGTCAGCTGCCCTTTCCGTCTTTATTTCAATGGCTTCGTGTGACGCCACCGGATCGACATGGATAAGAAATGTGTTCGGTTGAGAAAACACGCACAGACGCATCAACATCACTCCTATGGTGCAAACAGCTGTGAGGATCGCCTTTAAAGCGACAATGACGAGGTCACATACACTCGGTATCTGGCCAGACATCAAAACCTCGCTCGGTTTGGCAGGCGAGACGTTAGAAACGACATCGCAACGAATGGAATAGCACTCTATATAACAATGATATCCAGAAGTGAGTCGTGTTCGATCTCATGATGTCCCGTGTCCGAGGTTCAACAATTGCTACTCCTTTTTGAATATCAGCAGCCTTGCCACCAATGGAAACTCGGAGGTGCACGCTCTATCTAGGCATCGCGCCATCTATCACATCGAGAGCGGCTGATCGACTCACGTCTTGCGCTGGATGGCGGTGTGTGAGGCCCCCACAAGTCGATAGCCCATACTCACGGCAGATTGGGCATCTGGGCGGGACTCTAATTACGCCCTGAGTTGGTGTAAGTCTTGCAAGCTTCGCTAGTCTGTAGTGACGGGACCCGCCTTCAGGGTGTTAGGATCTACAACGCTACGCCGCAGAAGCACACATCAAATTGTTGCGCTTCTGAACGCTATGGATTTGACGGTACTCACGGAATCTGTCTGCAGTCATATCAGCGGACCCGTCTCGCACCTGGTGTCTCGTCTCGAGGTATAGCTGCGCTGACTTTCACTTATTAGCGAGGGCGACGGCTGCGGGGAGCCTTTACACACACCTAGACCCCGTAGAACTGCTCATTTCCCTTGAATAAATCTCGTTCTTGTGCAAATACTGCTTCCCATGGGTCATTTCTCGCCAGCAGACCTCGCGCAACGTTGTAATAAGCATTTTTCGGTAGGGTTTCGTGGCTTCCAAACAGGTCAGAGGTGATGTGGCCAGCCTTTATAGTGGAGCTGTACTTGCTTACGCGAAGCTCTCAGGCATGCTGTGTGCTGTAGAAAGTGAGACTCATGGGTTGAGACAATTCGCGCACTAGCAATACAGGGCAGCGCGCATTAATAACCAATTGCCTTCGGGGAAACTGTTAATTTCCTTCTCTGATTCAAGACATACCATAAAGCGCAGAGAAAACTTATACGTTATATCACTGAGGTCCAACAGTGAGTCGACGGTGACATGCGAGAACGGCTTGCAGGCGTTTGTTTAACTGGCCAGGTTATAGTGCCTAAATCTGGGGAACTAGAATACTTCTAAGTCACACTATACGCACTTATATGTCTCCCGGGCATCGTAGTATATTGTGATTCTGTAGGCTGTCTCAGACATACTTGACTAGAGCACGGGTCAAGAGGGCGCTGTAACTTGAGTCTGGCGCCCATGCTGGTGGAACGCACACGTGATCGCGACAGCGAGTATATCGCCACCTCTCGTCTTCACCGTCGCCGACTCGGCTCACGAAGTCTTCGTTCTTGTCTGCTCGACCGCTAGCGCCAGTATGATTCATTTACGCCAATACACGAAATCGCTGTTCACGTCTATCATCTATTCGAGCGCAGTTTCGATCGCAACCCATAGCCACAAATATGCGTACATACCACCTTTCGAAGATCGATCTTAGTCCTTGCTCCCTGTACTTCGAGCTGGACGCCGGCCGTACACCACAAGACAAGTCGTTTGCCATGAATAGATTACGACATCTACGTGATCCAGGTAGCGAAGCATCAAGCTCATAGGAAGTTGGGTCAAGGCAGGTGGACGAGTGGAAAGGATGGAAGGACTCAATACAAATCCTGTGAGTACCAACGACACGATTTGGCAGGCATACTGAGAACGGATGAAAGAGAGGCTCAGAAGAAAAGAAGAGATATCCACTCATCGGGGTGAGCCACGACTCCGCCCGCTCCCGCCCCTACCGCGTCTCCCGCCAGGTCCTCTTCGCCCGCTCCCGCCATCGTTCAAACCACCTGCCTGAGACTCCTCTTGTGCCTTCTTGATCTTGCATGTCCTCAAGTGGACTCTCAGTACGTCTGGCCTTACGTACCTCTTGCCGCAGTACTCGCAGAGCACTACCTTCAGCAGCTTGGGATTCCTCACAACACACTCCCACTGCCAATGCCGCTTCATGTCAGCCTCACGTCGATACTTTCGGGTGCATTTCGGCTCTAGGCACCTCCAATCGCCCGTCCCTATATTCCCGCCAGTGTAATTCCTTCTTGGTGGAACGTCCTGCTTGTCATCGCGCGGGTCAGAAGGCTCCTTGCGCTTCCCGCTGGTCGTGGGCGACTGGGTGCTTTCCTTGTTGCATGGCTCTGGCTGTGCGCGCTGTTTCCCCTTATCGTTTGGCCTCGTCGATGATGCATTGTGGGATAGGGCCGCCTGTGAGCGGGTGACTCGCCCTTCGATTGGAAAAGCGATTGGATGGAATTCGACGCTTCTTCTCTCATCGTCGGTAATGATCGCTCCGTCCTCCGTGGCAGGGAAGTGTTCATCGTCTTCGCCAAAGGTAGTTGGCTCGTCAGCGTCGTGAGTGATGGGAGCGTCGTCTTTGTCATCTTCTGCAACCTCTTCGTAGTCACTCTCTATGACGTCTTCTTCGTCCCACCCATCGTCGTCTAGGATAGCCGCGTATTCGTTTGTGATGCTACCCTGTTCTGCATATAGCAGACCAGGGTTGATCGCGAGGGATACGTGATCCCTGCGCGATTGGTCGGTGACCGGGGGGGCATGGTCGACCCCAGCCGTGCCGCCCGCGTGCTCGAGTGCACCCGGGAAGGTGGAGGGCCCTGCGACGGCGGTGTTGCAGGCCCAGGGCGTCGGGTTGTCTGACAGGAGTGGCGCTCCCGTGTCCGGTGGAATGTACTGACCAAGTGTACGAAGCTCAGTTGTTGCCCTTCAATCCGAGAATAATCAACATACCGGATCTTCGCACCCACCACTAATATTGTCGTCAGCGACCCGCCCGTCATAATCCGCCCACAGGTCGGTGTCGCTCATCAGCGACCCGGTCATGTCTACTCCATCGAGTAAAGATGACTCTATCGCGGTATGTTCATTCGGGAACCCCTAGCACAAAGTGAATGATATTGACATGTGCAGCTTGTAGCAGGGGATGATATACGCACCACGTTGGGCCCGAGATCCCACGCCTGATACTCCTCCAGGGCGACACCATATGCAATTTCCGCGTCGTAACCTACGGCTGGGTCGTTGCGGGATTGCGTCCCAGTCGGTGCCTCGATGAGGCTGCTGGTGTCTGGAGGCACCCCAGGCATGTCGGTTGTGCTTGCAGGGCCTGCCTCGTCGAGTTGTAGTATGTCATCTAGTGACCACATTATGCATGAAGGACTGTAGCCATGTGTCAGCGCATATCACGTCAGGTAAATGAAGCATCGCACACTGAGAATAGGAAAGCAATTAAGTTGATTTGCAGGTATACAGGTTTAGCGCAAGGCAATCAGAATAACTGGGATGCTCAAATGGAGGAAGCGGGAGTGTAATGGCTCTGGTTTTATTATGTAGGCTCCCGGGGCCGTGAGATAGGCGGGCCAGGCGATTGGATAGTCTGCCAAAGCACGCGCATCAGACCTTGCGGCACAAGGCGTGCCTCTCCTGTTGATGGCCGAAGGTGACCGATATGGATATAGAAGGCGTCGTCGCCTGGGCATTGTAACGAGCAGAGCTTGTTAATAAGGATGCCCATATAATGAAGTGTTATCGGACAGATCAGCTTGCCTTCTGAACTCCGGAAGCACTGGCAACATAATTGACGAAGTTTTACAGGGAACAATGCGGAGTTGTATTATGCAAATTCTCGCGGTCAATGCACAGTGATCAGTAGACGCCTCTTCGGCTGTCTCAGTTGAACGACGTACGCCAACCACATACTCAGACTGGATACGCACTATTCAGTATTTCTCCTAGTCCTTGCCTGATTGGACGTTTGCTTCCAGAAATGGGTGGCCCTTTCAAGCTGGCATCCCACAGTCCACTGTCGCGGAGATGCGAGCCGTTTCCGCAAATTTTCCAGACGCGCTACGAAAGCTATTCCTCCGCCCACTGTTCCGTATTGTATCTGACTCTTGCTACCGCCAGGCGGACACCGTTACGATAGAGCCCATCGGCTGGTGTTGGGTATGTCTCTCTGCCTCGTGGGTGGTAGGCGGATGCACCTACACAGTACACCATGTGAGTATATTCTCGCTAGGTGAGAAGTCCCTCTAGAATCCTAACTGCTGAAACAGACGTAAGAACAAGACTCAGTGTATACGCCAATATATTCTCTCAGAACAGACGACCCAGACAATAAGGCCGCGGATGTCTTCTGCCTCAGGCGAGGTACAAGCTGATCCTCAAGTTCCTCACTAGTGTTGCCGTGTCTTAATCGTACAACGCGCCGCAAGTTCATCTGATGTCTTGGAAAATGGTCTAAGCCCGACGGCTCTGGAAGAGCATGCACCCACCGTACTGCCCTCCTCCTTGCACTAGATCGACTGCGAAGCTTCCGCATTGTACACCCGCGACTGCGCCATGGAGAGGCAGCCTTCTTAGTGTTAAAACAACCCTATCATCTAGTTGCAGTTAGCGGCTTCGCGACGTGTCCTATAGGCGGAAGGGATCGGGCGCATGGATCTATGTGCCACGGTACGTTAGGCCTGCCATGGGCTCCACATTGTTATATGTCAGCCGCTCACTATTTGGTTTCGATTACTGATCTTCAGCTTTTGGCTTGCACTAGTGTTTACCTCTGATAACCCGGTCTCTCATGCCATATACATATGCCACCTGCCGCTTGGAGGTCTGTGCACTCGCTGCATATCAGTTCCAATTTGTTGACATCGCGGTCCTTTTTAGACTGTCAGGCGCGGAACGTTGCCTCGACGAAGGCGTGCCCATGCGGCTGTTGGCTCAAAGCGTAGCCGACGAGGCGCTAACGATTTACTGCGCTGCACCCGTCAGATGAACGCGCAACGCTCGGCGCGCCTCTTCGATCTTGCTTTATAGCAGAAAACACGGCCCTGAAACGTGGACTTCGAGAACGGATGGCTTTACAAGTCGTGATCCTACGGTCCTCTCGCGTGGGGTTCCGATTCATCGCCCTGGGGTTTTCAAGATGCTCCCGAAAGCCTTCCCTCTGCGCATCATCCCGAATCGTGACCGGTTTTTGCTGCCGCGATATGGGCGCCGTTGTCATGGCGCTCGATGGCGGGAATGTGAGACGGTAGTGGTCGGCGTCGCTTTCGCGGGAAGGTGTCCCTGGCAGATGACGGAGTCTCTGGTAGATCAAGACAAGTTCGCGATTGTGAAGTAGACGCGAACCAAAGGCAACGCATACTCCAGAGCGCTCGTCCCACCCAAACTTGTGCTTGGAACCGCTACCAAGTAGTCGTGCTTGATCGTCACACCCCTGGTGGTCTACACGCGCAGGGCTCGCGTCACCGGCAGTCGCACATCAGACGGCGCAGCAGAATCTACGTCTTGGTGCCTTTATGAACGATCTTAGTCTGAGCATCCCGAAAGCAAGACCGTGTCCACTGCGCCGCCAACTTCCTCGCAGGGGAGCGACATGGAAGGTGGCCCACTCAGCGCTGCCTGTATCTCGCTCCTCGCCGCATTTATGCGATGCCGTGGATATCATCGACCTCTATTACGGCATGCTATAGCGAACTCCGCCTTCCTTGACAAACTAACCTGAAAGCAACGGTACATGATGTGTCAGATTCTCGCTGGCTGCTGGAGATGGTCGCATTCCTTAGGCCTCCGCACACCACGCCGCGTCGCATCGTCCACGAGCTCCGCACAGCCTCAAGGGTTTGGGAATGGAACTCGCCCATCCAAAGCATCGTTAGCTTCAACTCAGCGGGGTCTCCTTATCGTCCACCTGTACGCACCGTTTGCAGGCATCACATTCAGTGGACTCAGACTCCAGTTGGCCAGCCCGCCGCTTACTCGAGAACCTCGGTAGGTCATAGACTGAGGGTTGATGCGGACGTCATGAGTGTGTTGTCGGACACCCGGAGAAGTGACATACTTTACGGCACTGATCCTTGACGAGATCTCACTGATTTTCTGCTTTGCCTCGTCTGGCCAACATACTTTGCTTCTTTGCTACCTTATGGGAATCGACTTCGTCCATATCATCAACCCCGCGCTTTCGGCCACCCATCCTCGGCTGCGGGTCATTGGTCGTCGTCAAAGAGCTGCTGTTAGAGGAAGAGGCGCGGGTCTGGGACCGGGTGACTCGCAAGGAGGGACTAGCAGCAATGGGACATGACTTCGTGAGTTGCTGAGCTTCGACAGCGACGACGTCATCACCGGCGCATGCATGTTTCTCTCGTCTGCCATGGATGATGGCGGAATGTCCGTCGATCCCATCGTAAGGTACGCGTTCTCCATCGAGGATGGAAGCCTCATCGTAGTCATGACATTCCTCTTCGTCAAGATCCTCCTCAATGCCTTCTTCGCTCCCGTTGCCATCGAGAGGCTCTGCGTAAGCCAATGCGAATCTTCCCTCCTCTGCATAAAGCAGACGAGGGTTAATCGTATGGGTTACGGATTGTCTATTCTCACATCGCTGTCTTGTTATGGCGGCCGTGGGAGCTGATTCATGAGGATGATCATGTTAATGCAATGTTATTGAAACAATCGCACAGGCAACGTAGTCAGAAGAGGAAGGAATGCTATTCGATCGTCCTCTTAGGCTGCTTTATGCAAAGACCAATGTAAAAATATACCGTGTTTTCCAGCGTAAAGGCATAGAGTGGGTGTAAGTGATGTCTTTCCGACGCCTCCCAGATTCATCCAAGATATTCGATATCAATCAATATTGTCATATATATTGCTTACTGCAGTCTCCACAGAACGCTACTTGACGATATCGTAATACCCAAAAGATCTAATAGGTCATCTGCGTTGGGCACCGTCTTGAAATAGTGGCGGATTCCTCGCCAATCATCAGCAGTACCAATGATCATGCTTTCCAGAAATTGACATTCATTTCGGTCATTCTGTCCCACAATGCACTCGCGCGGCCATTGAAATTACCGCCTCATTGTCCCTGAGTGTCCTCTGCGGCCCAAGTATTGAGTCTGTTCCCCTTCTGAGGGCCACTCCCGCTTCACTCGCCATACCGTGCGTGACTTTCGTCTTTTGCACTTATCCATTAGCTTCTCGTTGGTACACAGGCACACTGAATGCGCTCGACCCCCCGAGTAGCAGCCAATTTTCTCAGCTCAGCTTAACATCTTAGATTTCAGGCCCTCCGTGTTCTGCGTATTTCACCCATCGACGCGGAGCCACTCAATGACAGACACGTTACAGGACGTCGCAGGCGACATAGCAAGGACTAGAATAACAGTCTGCTTCACCCTGATGGCCAACAATGTCAGCCCGAGGCGAGTCTTCTCCCGATCCATCTTTACGGATCTCCACTCTGAGGTGCGTACGGTGTACCCCATCTGGGAATCGCTTCATCAGTCGTATCAGGCACAGCTGACTGGTATGTCTTATGCTATACAGCAGTGTCTGCAACTCCTACAGCCAGCACGATATAAGGCTAGCTCATGTTTCCTGTGGCTCTGCGATCTCGCCCATAGCCCGAATCAGGAAACATGGCGTTGTGCTCGATGCTATCCGGCCACTTCATCATCTGTTCCTTTATCACGTGCCTAGCTCAATAGTACGTGCCTCCTCTCTTGAAGAATTGAACGCCTGTCCAAGCCTGCGTGAACCAAATTCCATCGCGCCAAGTGTCCTTCAAGTCGAGTGATGATCTATAGCGCGCGTCCTCGCGAGAGCAGGTTGTTTCCCGAGGATTGCTGACCACAAGGGCTGACAACGCCATTCGTGTTATTGATGACGCTAGGAGTCTTGTTTGGACACCCCTTGCAAGTTGCGGAGGTCACGCAGTGTTCTAATCGGCTAGTCATAAAATACATTTCATTGATTTTCGTGTACCACTATTAGAGCCATTCCGAAAAACAAACCAATACTCTACTGTCCGATTACCAGAGTCCATGAAAGAGTCCGTGAAGATGGGTGTCCGCGGCACTCGCCAGCACCTTACTCGGTAGTGACCGACTTGGCCCTGCACACATACAACGCTCGTCAGCAATCCAAAACGTCACGACACGGGGACAGAAAAACCACGCACAAGTTCCGCGGGAAGTCGACGTCGAAGCCGTTTCTCACCGCAAGGTGGTAGCTCAGCAGCTGCAGCGGGATGATGTTCAGGATGCCCTGCAGGCAGTCGACCGTCTTGGGCACGCGAATCGTCTTGACGCCCTTCGGGATGCCCTCGTCGTCCTCATTCGCGATGACGATCGGCTGCGCCTTGCGCGCGGTGATCTGCGAGAATGCGGACTGCACCTTCGGGTACAACGAATCCTGCGTCATCACGATAATCACCGGCATGTTCTCGTCGATGAGCGCGAGCGGCCCGTGCTTGAGCTCGCCAGCGAGGATGCCCTCCGAATGCATGTACGAGATCTCCTTGATTTTGAGCGCGCCCTCCAGGCAAGTTGCATATCTGGTTATGCACACCGTAAGCAACTGTATACCAGCAAGAGGAACGAGAACACGTACTGGTAGCCACGACCCATCAGCAGCAGACTTCGCTGGTTCGCGAGCACGCCGGTAGCGAGCTGCTGCAAAGCCTTATCGCCCTCGAGAACCTTCTTGATCTGCCCCGGCAACGCATGCAGACCCTCAATGATCTGCGTCCGACGCTCAGTCAGGGAAATACGGTCTTCTGAGAGCTGGAGGGCCATCATAAGAAGCGCAATGTACTGCGACGTGTATGCCTAGAACACCGCATGTCAGCCTCGCGCCTCCCCCGTGGACACACGTTGCCTCATCTCACCTTCGTCGAAGCGACACCGATCTCCGGGCCGGCATTGATGTGCACACCGCAGTGCGTCTCGCGCGAGATCGTTGAGCCGACATTGTTGACGACACCGACGCACAGCGCGCCGCGCTCGAGACAGTACCGCAGCGCGAGGATCGTGTCCGCCGTCTCACCGCTCTGGCTGACGACCACGCACACGTCGTCACGGAAGATGGGCGTCTTGCGGTCGAGGAAGTCCGACGCAAGCTCGACGCTGACCGGGATCTCCGTCAGCTCCTCGAAGATGGCACGTGTCGCGATACACGAGTGGTAGCTCGTCCCGCATGCGCAGAACACGATGCGCCGCCCGCGACGGATGATCGGCAGGTATGCGCGCAGCCCACCAAGCGTGATCTGGTTGCGGTCAAAGTTGACACGCCCACGCATCGTGTTGACGACCGACTCGGGCTGCTCGTAGATCTCCTTTTGCATGAAGTGGTCGAACTTGCCTTTCATGATCTCGGCGAGTTCGATCTCGAGTGTCTCGATCGTGCGGTGTGCCGGAGTGGGTGGTGCGCCGTCTTTCTGACGCAGGCGGTGGATGTGCAACTCGCCCTCAGAGATGTGCGCAATGTCGTCATCCTCAAGGTAGAGCACGCGCTTGGTGTGCTCAATGATGGCGGAAGCGTCAGAGGCAACGAAGAACTCGATCGGCTGGGGCATGCCATCCTCCGACATGAAGGCACGTGATTGCGAGCGTAGCAGGTTGGGGCCATTCCCAGCTTGAGGGGGAGCAAGGAGACCACCCGATTTGGGCGACGCGACTGAAAAGGTACCTGAGTACGCCGATAGTCACCAACAAAGACTCGAACTCACGAGCATCCATGGTCTCTTCGGGACCAGCCATCTCAACATCGACAAAGTCGACCTTGAGCTTCTTCTCCGTCTTGACACCGATCAAGAGGGGCGAACCGCGACGCGCAGTGACGATCTCATTGGGGTAGTGGGATGACTTGAACACGAACGCGAACGAACCCTCGAGCTCCTTGAGCACCGTCTTGACCAGCTCCGTGAACGACATGCGCTTGTCCGGCTGCGAGTCATAGATGTACTTTGTGAGTATCGCGACAGCCTCGGTGTCCGTATCGCTCTCGAACTTGTACCCGCGCTTCTGCAGCACAAGTCGGAGCGCGGTCGCGTTGGTGACAATGCCGTTGTGCACGACGGTGAACTCAGCCTTCGGGTCCGACTTGAGCGGGTGGCAGTTCACGACCGACGGTGGGCCGTGCGTGGCCCACCGCGTGTGCGCGATCGAAACCTGCGAGAGGAAGGTCTTGGACGTGTCGACGTTCGACTCGGCGATCTTCTTGCGCAGGCCCGCGACCTTGCCGACCTCCTTGAAGAAGAACATCTCGCCGCGGTTGTCGCCGTCGATGCCAATGCCGGCGGAATCATAACCACGGTATTCTTGGCGTGCGAGGCCGTTAACGAGGATCTCGCAGATCGTCTTCCGGTCCTGCAGGCAAGGAGACTATTAGCATCGTGCCCAAGAACGTGGGCCAGACGAAGCCAGCCAGTCAAGCGGCTTCGGTGCGCTATCAATAGCGACGTAGCACGATGTTCCCGAGGCGGACTGTGATGTCCTAGTGAACAAAATGGAGCTGACACGAGATAGTGGGGAGTAAACGCGCTATACAGATGGTATGCGCGCCTTGTGCATCTCAGCCTAGCTTGCACCGAAAACACCGTAACTAGTGATGGTTGCTAGAGGCGAACAGCGCGCTGGCGCTAGGAATTTGGGCGAACAAGAGACACGTCTTGGACATGCTGTCGTGCAAGTTGCCAAGGGAGGACACTGCGCAGCGCCATGGCGCCTAGAGAATGTGTCTATCCCCCGAAACAGAACGCGCAGCAACGATCTATCAGGATAGCAGTGAAAGCTGCATATCTAAATCTAGATCGCAATACGGGGAACAACGTCCTATGAATGATACACGTTCGTGAACATGGTCGATGAGAGGGCGCTAGTTCAAGATGGAAAGGTGATGAACAATAGCGACCCCTCAGGGGTGTCCCCTTGCCAAATGCATCGCATTTATCTCAACACCTCGCTTGTCCCACACACGACCGCAAACTCGACAAGATAGAATACCCACCTTCTCTTGGAGGAAGCTGCAGTACGCGAAGATACCACACATCGTGAATCAAGTTGGGATCGTGAGCTGGATGTTGCACGTCGTCAGCGACGCTCTCAGAGTGCATAGTAGCACACATACCTTGGGGTAATGGGTGGAAGGAACACGAAAGCTGGGAGAAAGTCGAGGAATGACGCGAAAGGAGGACGGCTATATATCCGCGCGCGTTGCGAGCGCGGATCGGACAAATAAGGACAAACACGTGCGATCATCTTCTCTGCGGGGTTCTCTGCACGGCCTTTGCAGGGCGCTGGGCCCGTACATACGCTGGTTGCAGCGCTTTCGTGCTCTCATAATCTTTATTTCTTGGCCTGACAATTAGCCCCTGTCGCAAGTCGACACCGCCTCGCCAGTCCGACCGATGTCCAAGACTGCCGCGTCAATCAGCGACTTGTCCTCTGCTCAACGATGGGTACCACAACGGTCAACTTTCGCTTCGCGGTCTCAAGAGCGTCGAGGCTTGCGTATTTGCAGCTGTGACGAGGTCGCGGCCCTCGCCGCATCGGTGCCGAGGCACCCGAGCAAGAGACGACTCAAACCCCCAGTCAGGTACCCGGCGGATGTACGAATAGGACGTTGCTAGCGAGCGTTTTCTTTCGCCCACCGAGGCCCCCGCCTTCTGCCGCGTCTTCCCTAAATGCTGTACTCCTCTCTTTCCCACATGCGGCGATCGGCGCCCTGTCCAGACTCTTCCTCCGACGGCGCGAGCTTGCTTCGCCGACCTGCTTCACAGAACACCAGAAATCGCAGGGCACAAACAACACCGCGGTCAACGTGTACACATGCCATTGGTCCAGTCCTTAATCATACAATCGCTGCGTTTGCTTCTTTCGTTCGTATCACACGTCCATCACGGTCACTCCACGGCGAGCAAAGCCCTCACGAGAAAGGGCGCCCGCAGTCATTCAGTACTCAGTCCTCGGACTGTCGTGACGGATTGCCTCCTGTACGGTCGTCCCCGCCTTCCCACTACACATTCATAGCGTGAGCAATGGCGCTAGATATCAGACAGGATGTGCACTGCCTACCTGGTCTCTTGCACCGCCTCCTGTTTGACCTGTGCGGCCAACGCTCACCTGCTCTATACCCCTGGTTGTCGGGAAGCCTTCCACGCCTGACTCGTTCACGCCTGAATCCATCGCCGTCGTGGTCTCACCGGCGGCTATGTTGGAAACATGTCAAGGCAACAAAGGGATGACAGCTCAGGCGGACACGTACGATTGAAACTCGCGCTGTTCTGGTAATGGCTCTTCGCTTCGAGCGAGGCGGCGTTCTCGTTGATGCTGCACGTCGGGTTCTTTCCTTAGATGCTCATGCGCGACGGGTCAAGTTCGTGAGTACCCACATTTGTTCGTTGCTCTTGCCACGGAATTCGTCAGCCATGATATATGTAGATCTGCAATGCCGTGTAAGCAAGCAAGCTCGTGTAAAAATATCTCGAGCGAAACGCACATCAGGAGTATGATCTGCGCTGTTTCGGTTGGGTAACAGACTTCAGAGACACGTAGGGTTGTCATTCCCGCTTGCTTTTATATTCTGTTCATCCCGGTGGCTCCTGGTTGATGACGACTTCGGCCTCTCCTCGTCATGACTTCAGGTTGACATCACTCGCTCCACCCAAAGAGGTGCTTGCATTGTGAAGGGCCTTGGTAATTTCACTTCACAACCTAAAAGGTTCCTGCAAAATCGATGCTGTTGGGTCCACAACGAAGACCACATTCTCTGTTTGATTTGTACGACGACAGGATGTCTTGGAACTTGAACGCAACTGGAGCGCTTGCACAACATTACACAGGAAGCAATGTCATTCATACCATCGCCCTTTTCTTCAGAGACAGCATACTAAGTCCCGGAGGCAGGACTAAGAAGCCTGATTGTCGACGGGAGGATGTGCTTCCGTACTATATAGCACGGAGCGCGTATATCAGGCGTCGACGGCTGGCGCTAACAACCACGTGACTGTGTGAAGACCTTGCCTCATTATCGACCCTGTGTTCTTGCTGTGGCTCTCAGGCCAGCTCTACTCCTTCATGTCGTCGCCGGCTCCGAGCAAATTCTCCTTTACCATCCGCAGGCCGACGCCAGAATCTCGGGCGACGTCCTCTGGTGGCGAGGACTCTGACTTTAAGGTCCCTGCCCTCCCCAAGCGTCTACTAGGTGCCAATGGAGGCGGCAGCCCGCTCGCGCGCAGTGCGGCGCCCTCCCCCAAGCCCATACCGCGTACGTACAGCGAGCGAGACAGCTCAGACGAGGAGGACGAGCAGGAGGACGAGCTCGTGACCGGTTTCGACCAGTTCGGCGTGCAGCGGTGTGTCCCTTCATCTATCTCTGCCCGATCGCATTCTCAACTCACAGCAGTCCGCGTCGGCAGCCTGCGTGAAAAGAAGAAAGAGCCAGAGGGCCCGCTCGTCATCCCGGCGCTGAAGAACAAGGACTGGCGCGAGCTCGCGCGGAAGCGCAAACAGCTGTATGTGCCGCCCAGCGCCGCGGCGCAGACCGGCGCGGACGGGAGCGTCGGCGGCCTAGGCACGCGCGATACGATTAACTCTGGCCCGCAGCTTTCCGGGCTGCAGGTCGCGAAGCGAGCGAAGCTCGTAGAGAGCAACTCGGTCGCGGTCAAAACAGAAGAGGCAGACGTGACCGCAACAGTCGTTGACGGCCATGTGCCAGATGACGTGAAGAAAGAAGAAGAGACGGAGGACCAGAAAGCACTCCGCGCGCTCCTCGCTAGCGCGCAGTCTGATGATTCCATGGGCGGGGACGGCGCATTCATCACGGCTATTCCTGCGCCGAGCGAGGACGATGCGTACCGCCAGGACGTCGAGGAGCTCCCGGAGCCGGCGACCTTGGACGACTACGAACGTGTGCCAGTTTCGCAGTTCGGTGCGGCGCTGCTGCGAGGCATGGGCTGGACGCCAGGCACGGCAGCGAGCAAGAAGCAGAAAGGCCCCATCGACCCGTATCTGCCGGAGGCGCGCCCAGCGCTGTTGGGCATTGGCGCGAAAGAGAAGGAGGTGTTCGACGATGGGAGCGCCGGGAAGGGGCGCAAGGGCCCGAAGGGGCGTCCTGAGCGCAAGTACGTGCCCGTCATCAAGCGTGAGCGACGGCCCGAGGATGGCGACGGCGAGCGGTCGGGAAGTCGGGAGGAGGAAAGGGACAGGGACCGGTCGAGGAGGCGGTCGCCGACTCCGGAGAAGAGGAGCTCAAGACGGCCCTCGAGGTCGCCGTCTTCTGACCGGCGACGGGACCGAGCCCGTGTTGGGCGTGACGCACACTTCGAACGGGACCGCGATAGGAGGAGAGATGATCGCAGAGACGACGACTACTCGCGCAAAAATCGGGAGAGGGACCGGGATGGAGATAGACGAAGGGATCGTTCGCGCGACAGATACGATTCGGATCGTCGCCGTGACAAGGACCGCAGGTACTGATGTGTTCCCAAGATTATACCTGTGTTTTTAGACCTGTTGCGTGCTGCATATTTCTTGTTCTCTGTTATACTGGGTAGCCTTCAAGGATTGTTGAACCCTCGTCACTTGAGCCCAAAGGAGACGATCCGAGATCGGAGTAAGGCACCCCTCTCAGTTGACGGCATCATCCGCCTCCTCCGTCGCGGAACTCCTGAACGGGGAGACAACGGGTCCATGATGCTGCCAGCTCGTGCATCAAGGCTTATGTTGGCGAAGAAGATGCTGCATGGGCGTGAGCACCATTTAATGGTGTTTAAATTGTATCTTGTGAGAAGGCTCAAATCAAGTGGACAGCGTGACTGAGCCTCATAGAGTCTGGGGGTGCGGAAACAGTAGAGTCTGCGAATGGAACAATGCCAGAGAAGCGTTATCTAACATGGCGGGATTGTGGCGGCACAAGTTCCATTATGTCAGATGTTTTTAGTGGCAGATCTATATGTAACAACAGACTCGTGTTCGGTCCTCCAAATTGAGCGATCAGCGCGGCGAGACCTAAAAAGTTCGGATGACTGTATAACGTATAGGATACCTTCGTACACGTCAAGATTCAAATGTTGGGAGTCATATCTATGATACGTGCCCAGACAACGTACACGACACAATGGATTGTTTGGTGACTACGATCTGAATCTTACTGGCCTCGAATGAGTGAACAACATTCGTGTATTGATCGCATACGGCCATGTGGCATGACCCGGGGTGTTCGAAACAAAGTAATCGCCTTCTCATGTCACGGACAACAGGTGAGAAAATGCATGTAGCAATGTATGATGCGCTACTGCATAATGGGAATTGGACATAGGTGGTTAGTTATAGAAAGGCATATTACTCGTATCCGAACTATTCATAGGGCCACATCGATCCTGACGATCACTCTCCAACATAGCGTCGACCGAATAACACGCATGACTTTCAAATCCATCTAGTATTCGCATCATTATTATTGTACGAGTATGAATGAAAGACAGCGGACGCACCAATTAAGGTAATCATTTGAAAAATGCAGCGCGACACATACTGTCTGACCATCAGCGAAAGAGCGCTTCCATGCCTTGGAGAATGTCGATCACCTTCCAGTCAACTTTGTAGTACCTGTAGAAAATGTATAGAGCCATTTCGAGGCCATCTGGTCAGGCACAGTTCAATAGCGGTAACTCGGCATGGTATATTCGTTATATACAATGCCGGCTTACCGCTATGGAACAAACTGAAGATGAATTGAAGGGTGAAGCCTGGGCACTTCACTTTGTTGGAAAGAGACGGCGAGAGTGTGTGGCTCGAAATAGCGGAAGCTTTTGCTGAGTTCATGTTGTCTTGTAAGGCGTGCGAAAACAAGCCAGACCAGCCGTATTCCCTAGCTTGGACGTTGGCTATCATCGACGCGGGTCAGTGACTGGCAAGTTCAGGAATATTACCTAATCTGCACGGCCTGCGCGAGGTGAGTCTTACAGCTGTTACATCAAATGCACCGCTGTCGAAGTGAGGGCTTCGTGCTGGTGAGATCGAAACCTGCGTGATAGCAATTATCGGTCAGCCTCGTGAACTGAGAGATCAGGATCAGATGGGTCGAGACACCCCCAGCGCTAGCTACGAGTAGAGTGAATGGATCACGGTAGGAGGTCCGCCCACCTTGTAGATTGTCGTCGTTAGATCGGTTGTTGAGGTGTTACCGCCTGAGATGCTCTCTACAGGCCCGACTCCTCTCCCTATATACCCGCAACCACGCTGCCTACGCAAAGAATTTTCGAAAACATGTGGATCAAGCGAGGTGCACTGAGAAGGAGCATCACCGTCGCTAAACTGTTCGTGGAATTGACATGATCACCCTCGACACGTTGCCGCCCTCTCTCCCCTCCCCAAACAAGCGGAGGAGGCGCGATCACGCGCTCGACCAGGCCCAGTAGAAAGAGAGATACATGAGATAAGAAAGTGCGCACGAACGAGTGACTGTTCTATCCGATCTTCAGCCAAGCCTACACGCTTCATACGCGTGTCTTCGCTATTATCTTTGGGCTTGGTGTTCCGGCTGTTCGTACGTGCTGCGCAATCTTGCATGTACGGCAGTTCAGCCTTGAGTGATTCGGGAGCGAAATGCGAAGGTTAGGGAGTCTGAGGGCATCCTGCAAGAGAAATGACGAGAACGATATCAAAGTTCGAAAACACGACGCACGTAGTTTGCGCGTGCGAAGCGCATGGCCCTAGACAAATGGGCCGGCGATTGTACATTGATGCCACGGGTAGCCCGACTGACAGCAAAGACACGAGCTAACACCAGTTCGAGGTCAGGTGAGCTTGCATGCTGTTCGTCTCATGAGGGCAGATCGACTATCCCTGCATCTAGCCGATCACCTACAAGGATACCTGTACCAAGTGATGGTTTAGCGTGAATGTGACGGTGGGCGAAATGGAGAACGCAGAATACAGGGGCGCAGGCTCGACGGGGGATCGCCGCGGACGTGCTCTGGACTCAGAGCGTGCGGTGGCAGGACAAGGGTGGACGGTCAGCGATGAGGAGGATTACAATGAGGCGGAGCATGAGCGTCAGTCATGGCAAGTGTGAAGTCGATAAATGGAATATTTCAGATCCTTACGCGAACTGCAGGGGACAAATAGAATGATTGCATGACCAGTTTTGTATTCAGACACAAGAGCCCGGGACACTCGGACATGGCGAGGTAGCAATGTATCATTCTAATAGATCGTGGTAGCTCTATAAGGGCAATTGTGAATTGTTCAAACACGGGTGGCGGCTCAAGCTGCGGGCTAGTCCTACCGCAGTGTCATTCTGCCATTTTCCACCGGATCTGCAAAAGACCAATGTCAGGTGAGGCTGCACAGCTAGCCAGACGCACCAACCTGGGTTCTTCTGAAGCATAAACCAAGCTCAGCGAGCCAGTCATCATGGAACGCTCCTATTCCGTCCATCTGGCCATCCGGTCTCCGCGCCATCGCAATAAGCTCCACCCGCGCGTCCGCATTATCCATGAACTCTTCTGCCATCATCGCCAGCTCCTGTCGTGCACCCTCAGTCGTCTCCCCGCACACGATTATCTGCATCTCCTCGAGTGATGTCGACTTCTTCACGCACGGTAGCTGTTCGAATGCAAATCCGATCCGCTGCCCAATGCTACCCGTGTAGAAGCGGCGGATGCGCCGAATATGCGGCGCGAGCACGAGGTCCTGCACGTCCCAGTCGGACAGGTACGTGTCCAGGCTCGAGATGGTCCGCAGACGCGCAGCGCAAGCAAGCTTGCGGAAGTCGAGGTGACCGTGCACGGGCCCAAGGTGTACCATCTCGACCGTCGGAGGGATCATGGCCTCGATGCGGTAGACGAGGTGCTGCGCAAAGTTGATCAGTGCAAGCGCACGCAGCTCCCGGCAGTGCGCAAGGATGCGGTGGATCAGCGTGACAGGCCAGGCGGAGGAGGCGTACGACAAGTCGTGCTCTGCGCTAGAGCTTGTCGGTCCCAACCAGAGATGGCGGACGTGAGAGGCAGGCGTGATTCCCGATGTGCCAGTTTCAGCAAGACACCTGGAGGAAGACCGCGAGAGCGAATTGCTAAAGCAGACGATCTCGGACGATGACGTCAGTATGACAGTTGAGTACAGGGCAGGGAGCATCCAGGAATGTGTCGTCCGACAAACAAGACAGAGTTTTGCAGAAACCGCGCGGTCTATGGAGGCGGCATGGAGGAAAACTAAAGATATGGATAGGGTTAGAAATGGCAGACACAGTAGTTGCGGTAGGATGACCCTAGGGGAGCATGAAATTAGATAACACAGTCGCGACGTGAAATTGTCATCCACTGACTTCGTAAACAAGTTCCATGGGTAGTATGTGAGGATATGAGGCCATCTTGAATTTATCGACCACTTGGAGGGAAATAAATACGCATGGTAAGCTCGCCTTCGGATGAGTACCAGCTCGGCTCACTGCACCTTTTCAAACCACCTCTTGATCAGACACAGACTGCTTCCCTCTACTGAGCTAACGATGTGAGAGGAGAAGAGGAGGAGTGTGGAGAGCCAGGAGAAAAGGGGGGAAATGAGTCACATCGAGCCGCACATGCTAGTAGAAATTCACTCGCTCGTTGATTCTCCTAAGAATTGGTGCTGAGATTGGCGAGCAAGCATGGTTGTGTTACGAGTCCAATGCCACAGTACTCTCACAGTCCCCACTGATATAGGTTTCCAGTCATGGATAGCGGTAGCCCTTCCGAGTTGTGTGTGTGAGCACTGAGCGCTGAGCAGTGAGCACTCAAGTGGAAGCGCCGAAGGCGATCATTAAGCGCGCATGCCAAGACCCGAATATGGCAATTCCCGACTGCGTTTACGACTGCTTGTTCGCGTCTGTGCAGCGTGCTTTCCTTCCTCGCTGGCGACCTGACTTGACACGCGCCGACCTTGGTTCCAGGAAAACATATACTCACGCTACGTTCCTTGAATGACCCCGACTCTGCAAGTGTAACTAGACTCAGTTCACTGTCCTGCTGCCATAGACGGCCGAAGACTTCGTGGCTGCAAGATATATACCCTAATAGTCCACCCTTGAAACGATCAAGAATATGCCACCACACCACCGCGGATGGGTGTATCCGCCAACGAGACGCGAGCTTACCTTATTGCTTTTCGCGCTGACTGTCTTCGTGATCTCTTATAACCTCGAATCGTCGCTTCGGCTAGCGGGCGTGTCTCGGGCAAAGATGAGCTCGAGCTACTTGTCAAGTATTGGTGAGTGAACCCACACCGTATACGATTGCTGGGAGAGTGGGGCGGTCGTAGGCGTAAGGAGTACCACTGCTCACAATGTCCTTCACAACAGGTCTTGGTACGCAGGATCCCGGCCTGGACCCAGACGGACGACGGCCACAAGAATGGCGTGATGAACTAGAGAACCTCATTGTCGGCGAATGGTCGTGGGAGGAGGGTAAGGTTGCGGCTGTCGAGCACGGGCATAGCGGCGCTGCGGTCAGCGGTGCAGCAATATACAATGTCGAATCTGGCAGTACGGTGGGGAGGGATGCAGGGAAGGATGATCGGGGCGTTGGTGTGACGAAGGGTGTCTCGCCTAGTGACCAGTTCCTGCGGTGGGAGGATCAGGTACCGCGCGCGAGTGCGCTTGTGCATGTTCCAGGCGCGTTCGCAGTCGTGTTTCTTGAAAGTATGATAAGACTGACTTGACCTATGTCAGGTTACACTATCTTGGAGAACCTGATCATGGTGAATGGAACATTCTTCCTTGTTACGAACGACCGATTATCATTGCCTGACCTTGGTGTAATTGCCTCCTCTCCGGCTGACCGCCTGCAACCCCCTCGTGAGGAAGATTGGCAAATCTTAAGTACTGAGGAGGCTAAATCGAAGATCGGCCCATACGGTGGACGGTATGTCTCATGTTCCTCGAAGGTTGCCCTCAGGATGCCATACTAGGGATAACCGTACACATCCTGAGGAATGCGATCAAAGACGTGTTTATACATAGCTAATATGCGCATTCCCTCAGGATATTCGGTACAAGCTGGCTTGCTTTGGACCCTTCCCTTGCACAAGACCCATACACACTCTTCTCACTTTTCCGTACACATAGCGCGCTTGCTGTCTCCTCTACGTCCTCACAGAAGGCTAGTGATAACAATGCGGCGCACAGTGTACCTGCTCCCTTACGCTTGATGTTCCCCTATGTTCCGACGTTCTCCAGTCCGCACATCCCGCCTGACGGCGACGACATCAAGAAGCACCCCCCTCCGCGTGAAAAGTCATACAATGGTATGTATCGCTCGTCTTCGGTTCACGTGCATAATACTGATACTATCGTCCCATAGGCCTGCACCCTCTGATGACAAAGGCGGCCCTGCCCGCTACCGGCATATGGTACCTCGAGGATTGGCAGGATATCATAGACATGAACGCGCCATGGGTTTTCGACCGCGTTGTTGTGGCGGACCGCGGTGCTGCGGCGCGCGGGCGCGACTTCTGGACACGCCACTGGGCTCCTGCAGACTCCGCGATCATTGATATCGTCGACCTCAAGCGGCGACAAGCCGAGGTAGAGGACAACAATCCCATGTGGGCCGCACCATTCGTCGGCCTGCCCGCGCCGCCAAGCTGGTGGGCGCCCATGCGGAGTGCGCTACTCAGTTACCTCCGGCTGCCGGACCCACACGGGTCTCAGCCTCGGAAGAAGGCGAAAGCGACGAAGACCGCTCTCACGTACGTGTCGATGCAGGAGGAGCCTTTCGGTGCGGGCGCGCGGTTGCTGGACTCAGACCACGATGCGCTTGTCGCGGGCTTGCATGCACTGCAGCGGGAGGGCGTGCTCGGCGAGGTGAGCATCGTGAAGGGGAACGGAAGTGTGGGCGTGCATGGATGGGAGTGGGCAGATCGTATGAGCGCGATCGCGAAGTCAAGCGTATGTGTATCGAGCTTTTCGCCTTTGCTTGCGTCTCACTTTCCCGGGTGTAGATTGTGCTGGGCCCGTATGGGTTTCAGCTAGCGGACAGCATGTTTATGGCGCCACCCGCGTGGTCTCCGCCTGACGGCATTATCCCATCACCCACCGCGGACAGCGACCAGACCCCCGCACCGCTCCTCATGGAGTTCTTCCCGCCGGGTATCTTCGTCCGAGACCAGGAGTTCGCCGTGCGCACGCTAGGTATGCGCTATATAGCATGGTGGAACGACAGGTAAGGCTGCATCCTATCTCGTTCTTAGACATCATGCGGTAATGAGTGCTGATACCACAACACAGAAAATTTGCGGGCAACTCGCTGCCGCCCGTTATCCAGCCAGAAGACGTGCATGCACTGGACCAGCGGCTCTCGATCAACGCTGATGCCGTCGTACAGGCTATCCGCGAAGAGGTTGCGCGCCGGAGGGTTCCCTGAGCGCATTTGCGCGGCGTTGTTGCCACGTCGCAGCGTAGCATGGGGGCAACTGCTCTGCACCATGGACACATGCAGTGTATATATCTAAATTATAACATTCTTGGCCTTACAGCGCTGCCGGCTGGATGCCTTCAACACAGTTAAAAAAGCCTCAACATACTTATATGAGGCGCTTTGCCCTTCAGCTTACGATCTGAGCGCAATATATCTCAGGCGAACTGTCCCCGAAAGCGCTTATACAACCTCTGTCATTCTTGCCCGAGCTCATGGTGGTTGCTACTGTCCATCCGGAGGATATGCGCTCGTCGGAGACAACAATAGTAGACATGGCAAACACCTTGCCCCAGTCAGAAGATTCGATTATCTCGGATCCTAAGTTGGACACCCGGAAGGGGACGCAGTTCTATATCCTTGCACTTTTGTTAGAATTATTCGTGCTCGTCCACAGCGAAGACAGCTCAGCGTACTTAAGGTGGAACTAAGTCTCGGCATTCTTTGCGAATCATCAGCAGAGGACAGGCCTGCTGTTTAGACTGCTGTACTGGGACGAGAAACACATTCGAGTCGTACGTATGCCACCTTTTATACATTTACGTGATAGCCCGCCAGTTCCTGCTGCTTGACAAGGAGTCCAGCTTGTCAGCAGGGAGCAAGCGGAAGTTTCGAGCAACTTACTGTCCTTTAGCTCCTGAAATCGCATATGGTTGGTGCTCAGTGTTTGGTGAGGTACGAAATTGATGCGGCCTGATTTGTCCATGATTTGTTAGACGAAAGTGCGTCCCAGTTATGCCTAATGGATACTTGATCGAGCGATGTCTGGGTCCGGTCAATTTGTGGGTCAAGTAAAGTTGGCCATGGCCATGGGTCGAATATGCCAGGCGTGGACGGCTAGCTTTACATCGGCGATGTCGGCCTACGATACGATCCAGTATCTCGATACCAATCTGAACGTCCCACATGCGCCTGCCGCGCGCGTGTATGTACAACTTGATGACCTAACTCATGCGAACATTAGAATCGCCTTCTCTCCATCCAAGAGCATTGAATGGAATCTACGCTCTAGGCTGCAGATAAAACGATTAGGCACGTTTGTACTGCGACATTGTGTCAAAACGGACGGAAGTTGGTATCACAAGAACTCCGGGCTTCAGCTGCCGACGAGCAAGACCTTCGCTCAGGCCCGTACATATTATTTTGCCGGAAGACAGGCGGAAGGCAGCGACGAAACCGACAGGGGTCGAATGGCGAGCGTGGCGAATGTGGTGCTGCAGCCCCTTGTGATTATGACCTCTGTGTGTTGTATTGCCCTACGTGACCTCAGGATGACTCTACGACTCCGGCGCAGGCTCTGTCTACCTAGGTGATGATTGACGAGCTTGTTCTACGACAGATGCACTGGACAACCCACGCATGAGATACCCCTTCGGGAAGGGATGGTCGGACATGGAGAGGCTGGGCCTGGAAATATTGGTCGTCGTGAGTATAAGCAGGCGCATGCAGCCCATCAAAAACGACGAGCAGCCGTGAATAATAAGCGCGCCGTGGGCCTGTACCGGCGAGCTCAGGTATTTTTCTTGATGCCTTGACAAAGTGGGTCTTCCGGCAGAAGGCCGTGCTGCGCAGATGTCAAGCGCAACCCACCTACGCATTGTGCTGTCCGCTTTATTGTAGGACAAAGCTCCTTATACTTTGTCGTCACGATTCTTGGGTACGTGATGAAGGCGGGTGCCGGGGCATTGTCTTGAAACAGATATCCCATGCGCTTATCCACGTCATGCATAGCTGTTCCGATTCAAGGCTGCGCACACCGCCGTCTAACGTGCGATGCGAATCGGTTACTTGCGCACAATCTAGCGGATGGAGTGATGTCCTAACAGCATAGGCCCGGGCGAGGTTACAGGTTCGAAGTAAACGAGGCGGCGCGTGACATCTTTGAGAGAGCAGCGTACGATAGAATACGGTGAGAGATGGAATCCTGGTTCCGGAAGCCGCTGCTTGCTAGTGCACAGATGGGACTTATGCAAAGTGTAGCGAGAGGAGTATCTGTCGCCCTTCCATGCGCATGCAATCGGGGGATCGGGGGATCGGAAGCAGTCAGGCGCATGTCATGGATAAAATGCTGTGGGCGGTGCTGCGGAAAATACTGAGCTTGCGGGTAGGATCAGCATTTAGATGGGATGAGCTGAGGAGCGTATGAGTCACATCGGAGATGGACAGAATGCTCGACATACAGCCGCCGTGACTCGCGAGTACTCCTTATAGATGCAAGAGACTCCGTATGTAGGCCAGCCGACCTGTTATTGTGCCTGCAATCCGGACTAGACGCAGAACAATCAGTGAGCCTTTCAACCTCAGGAGACGCTGCAATCGTGCCCATTACAGCACTAATCATTCTTCGTGTTATTAGACATTTGAGAGATGAGTGAAAACACATGCCTTAGCTCGAGCCCCAGTAATACGTCTCCTTTTCCAGATCGCAACGCTCGACTGACGGATGAGGCTGAGAGTGTCGCTCGCAGGCAAGGGAGGAGCGCTGAGTATTGTCCGTTCAATTCTCTACTTTCGTCGCCCAGGCACGATGCACGACGTCCCAGAGTGGGAGCGATCCTCAGACGGGGAGAAGACTTGCTGTGAGGGCCCGGCCCGCAGAAGATGCCCAGGGACAATGGGGCGGTGATTTCAACGGCCGCGCGAGTGCAACGTGGGACAGAATATGGCCTGAAATGGATAGCAACTTCTGGAGAACATGATCACTGGTACCGCTGACGATTGGCGAAGAATTCGCAAAAACTCGAAGATGGTGCACAACGCAGATGGCCTATCCGACTGGGGTGTTGCGATACAGCCGAGTAGCGTTCTGTGGGGACCGCAGTAAGTGACATATGACAATGTTGATTGGCATCGAATATCGTGAATGAATTTGGGAGGTGTCGGAAAGACATCGCTTACATCCAATCTGCGCCGTTGCGCTGGGAAACAATATAATCTTTTTTACGTTGTTCTTTGCATAAAGCAACATAAGGAGAATAGATCGATAGCATTTCTTCCTCTTATGACTGCGTGGGCCGTGTGATCGATCCGATAACATTACATTATTATGGTCATCCTTGTTAACTGGCCCGCGCCCTCGCCAACGAGAAATTGCCACCTCATGCAGCGGGGGATTTAGGGAGCATGATGGAAGTATTCGGCGTATTTTGCAGCGGAGTTGCATACCGTCTAGACCGTGTGTCCGAGGACCGCGAAGCGCGACAGGCGCCGTGGACACGCGATACGCGAATACAGTCGTTGTATCCCCTCCTCCTTCGTCTTCGCTTGCTTTCCACAGCATTGTATAACTTGGGCTACTCTGAAAACGAAGAATGTCGCCATCAAGCCAAACGTACGTGCATCCTCACTCACCATCTACCATAGGTGCTGACCATGCCCGGCCAGTTTCTCGTCTGCAATGGGGTCAGGGCAAGGAGACTTATTCGGCGGGGCGTCCATGCACGAGACGCCAGACACATTCGCGACATGGATTAATATGGAGGGACAACAAGGCGAATCCCCCCTTGACCGTCCCGCCGGGCTTGAGTGGCACGATGAGCAAGCAAGAGGATACGAAAGACAGGTCTTGTATGGTTCAGAGGGCTTCGGAAATGAACACAATCTAAATGACAGCATAGACATGGTATGTCTGCTATTCTGGTTTCGAAGGGACATTAATTAAGCTTTCCTGCTTTCAATTAGCACATTCCTGAAGACATACAGATGCAACTGATACCGGGGGCCTGGGCACCCTGGGCGACCCACAAGCCTGTCGCTGAGCCATCTAGCGTTCCCGGTGCGCTCGGGTACCCAGATGATGCGACAGGGGATGGCAACGCTGCCACTGTCGCTCATGTGTCGTGCGAGAATGGGCAATCCGTATTTCATACGATTGACCCTCATCTGCTTTACGCAGAAGAGAATCAAATCAATCTGAAATACGCAGAGTCTCTCGACAGCGACAGGAGCGAAGAAGACGGCGAGGAGGATCTTGACGAAGAGGAATGCAATGACCGCAATCAGGCCTCCGTCTTCGATGGAGAGTGCATACGATACCCATACGATGAGATCCACGGGTGTTGTGTCATCAATCAGGCAAGACCATCCATGCTCGACACGAGCGAAGCATGCGCTGGTGATGAACATGGGCATGAGCATGACGCCGTCGCCGTCGAAGCTCAGCAACTCACGGGGTCATGGTCCATTGCTGCTAGTCCCCCCTTGCGAGTCACCCGCTCCCAGACCCACGCCTCTTCCTCTGGCAACAGCTCTTCGACGATGACGAATATCTCGCAGCCGGGGACGCGTGGCCGAAAGCGCCAGGTTGATAATATGGACGAAGACGATTCCCAGAAGGTAGCAAAGAAGCAAAGAAGTGGCGAAGCGAACGACGACAGCCTGACGAAGCAGAAGACAAAGGCGAAAGCGACGGAGACGGCGAAGGCGAAGAGCAAGACGAAGGTGGTCAATACGAGGAGCAAGGTCAAAGGTAAAGTAGGCAGACTGCCATGCTTGGAGCCCGGATGTGGGAAGACGTTCGGACGCAAGGGCGACAGAGATCGCCACTTTAGGAGAAGCTGTACAGAGAGAGACCCAAACGACCTCGAGAAACCCCGCTGCAAGCATTGCAAGGTGCAACTATCCAGAGGCGACTCGATCGGCCGCCATATCAAACGCGGTGCGTGTCGTGCCTTGAAACCGCCTCCTAGCGGGTCGTCGAAGGAGTCTGGAGTGTCGAATAATCGGAATGGCGGCAGGCGCAAGAGTGGAGACAAGGGTGGACACGTTGGACGTAGGAGTGTCCGTGCCTAATATCGGATGGCGTTCTCCTTCTTCCTCTCATGCTCCCCACTCGACTATTTCCACCGCCTGAATTGTACTTCTTTGGACTCTGGGCTTTCTCGACACTGTCGCAACGATCTGAAAGCATTTGCCTTGTCATCGTCCTTGATGTTTGGCCTTGAGGTTCATCGAGATCAGTCGTCGCCATCCAGAACGAGTTTGAACCTTCCCAGCGACTTCAAGAGCCTGAGACATAAGTAAGCAGCGTGGTTTGAGTGGGGCATGACGGAGAGGAAGCAGAGGTGTCGTCGGACCGTACAGCGATCGATCGCATCTGCCGCCACGAGGCTACTCACCGCTCTGGGAGTGCCACGTCTGGACGCGCTGCAAATGCCGCCTCATTGCTTATAGTCACTCGACCTGAAAGTTGGATACAATTATTGTTGTACAAGTCTGTGAGTCTCATAGTAACGCTGGTAATCGCATCCAATTGCTAATCTGAGGGGCTTCATACAGCGCCGGGATGTCGCTTGAGCTGCTCGGCGAGAACCTGGGCAACAGGCTGCATGCACTCCAAATATTTCGTAAATATGAAGCTGCGCACATGAGAGGCACGTTAATAGTCTCCTTAACGGTGAACGAAGAGGGGGCCGCTCACACGTGCCGCCCTATGTCTAACAAGCTTGCGTCTTACTCTAATGGTTCAGACGGCATATATTGCAAGATGCATATGAATCTGAGTGAGAAATATTCCACCACTACTGCATCCGCGTGTGCCTTTCGGCTGCTACAGCTCTGACGACCCGTGTACTACACGTCACTCTGGGTGAATCAGGTAATATCGCATCTCGCCCGCCCTCTTTAGCTGCCAGTTACACCATAACGGTCCTCTTAACAGGTCTGATACCCGTTACGATCATAATTTATCAAGCACCAGTGGGTCATGGCTATATGCGAATCCTTACTTTACAGTTACATATCGGTGATGACTTGCCCTAAGAACTAGTATCAGTGAGATCTCGTCAACAATCAGTGCCATACGTTATGTCGCTTGTCCGGGTGTTCGACAATACGTCCATGACGTCCACATCAACCTTCAATCTATGGATTACCGAGGTTGTCGAGTAAGCGGCGGGCTGGCCAACTGGAGTCTGAGTCCACTGAATGTGACGCCTGCAAACGGTGCGTACAGATGGACGATAAGGAGATCCCGTTGAGTTGAAGGCAACGATGCTTTGGATGGGCGAGTTGCATTTCCAAAACCCTTGAGGCTGTGCGGAGCTCGTGGACGAGGCGACGCGGCGTGGTGTGCGGAGGCGTAAGGAATGCGACGACCGCCGGCAGCTAGCGAGAATCTGACACGTCGTGTACCGCCGCCTTCGGTCAGGGAAGGCAGAGTTCACTGTACTCCAGGCAGGTCATAAGAGAGGTCGAAGATATGCTCGGCATCGTATAAAAGCGGCGAGGAGCGAGATCGAAGTATAGCGAGATACAGGTGGCGCTGAGTGGACCACCTTCCATGTCGCTCCCCTGCGAGGAACTTTGCAGCGCAATGAATACATTCTTTTCCGGGATGCCCAGACTAAGACCGTTCACAAAGGCACTAAGACATAGATTTCGCCGCGTGGTCTGATGCACGACCTTCAGTGACGCCAGCCCTGCACCTGTGGCCTACCAGAGGCGTGACGATTAAGGACGATTACTTTGTAGCGGTTCCGAGCGCATGTTTGGGTGGGAGGAGCGTTCTGGAGTATGCGTTGCATTCGGTTCGCGTCTACTTCACACCACTACCGTCTCACATTCTCGTCAGCGAGCACCGTGACGGCGCCCATATCGCGGCAGCAAAAACCGGTCACGATTCGGGATGGAGGGCAAAGGGAAGGATTTCGGGAGCATCTTGACAAACCCAGGGCAACGACTTGGAGCCTCACGAGAGGATCGTAGGATCACGGCTTGTAAGGGCCATTCGTTTCCGAAGTCCACATTTCAGGGCCGCGTTTTCTGCTATAAGGCAAGCACGAAGAGGCGCGCTGAGCGTTGCGCGTTCATCCTGACACGGGAAGCACAGTAGATTGTTAGCGTCTCGTCGGCTACGCTTCGAGCCGATAGGCACACGTTGAGTCGATGTTTCGCGCCTGACAGTCTGAAAAGGACCGCGATGTCAATGAATGTGCAGGGAGTGCACATACTTCCAAGCGGCAGGTGAGATATGTATGAATCGTAGACACAGTATGAGGGGCCGGGTAGGTATAATCGAAGTTGTCGGACGTAAACACTAGTGCAAGCCAAAAGCTGAAGATCAGTAATCGAAAACGAATAGTGAGCGGCTGGCATACAACAATGTGGAGCCCATGGCAGGCCTAGCTTAGCATGGCACATAGGCGCATGTGCCTGTTCCCCCTCAGCCTATAGGACACGTCGCAAAGCCGCTGGCTGCGGCTAGATGAGAGCGGTGTTTTGACACTAGGAAGGCTGCTTCTACAAGGCGCAGTTGCGATGTGTATGACTCGCAGTCGATCTTGTTCAAGTAAGACGGTAGTACGACGGGCGCATGCTCTTCCAGAGCCGTCGGGCTTAGACCATCTCTAAGGATACCAGACGAACGTGCGGCGTCTTGTACGATTCCGATACGCAAAGACTAGTGAGGGACTTGGAGATCAGCTTGCATCTCGCCCGAGCAAAAGACATCCGCAGCCTTGCTGTCTGGGTCGTCTGTTCAGAGAGAATATATTGAGTCTTGTTCTTGCGTCTGTTCCAGCAGTTAGAAGTCTAGCGGAACCCCTCACCTAGCGAGAATATACTCACATGGTGTACTGCGCAGACGCGTCCGCCTACCGCCCATGAGGCAGAGAGACACTCACCACCGTCTGACACCAGCTAATGGGCTCCACCATAACGGTGTCCGCCTGGCGGTAGCAAGAGTCAGACACGATACGGAACAGTGTGCGGAAGAACAGCCTTCGTAGAGCGTCTGGAAAATTTGGGGAAATGGCTCGCATCTCCGCGACAGTGGACCGTGGGATGCCAGCTTGAAAGGGCCACCCATTTCCGGAAGCCAAAGTCCACGACCACGTCGCTTGCTATCAGGAAAAGACTAAGAGAAATACCGAATAGTGCGTGTCCAGCCTGGGGATGTGGACTACAGCATTGGCGTACACCATGTCGGTCAACTGAGGTAGCCCAAGAGGCGTCTACTGATCACTGTGCATTGACCGCGAGAATCTGCATTATGCAACTCCGCATTGTTCTCTGTAAGACAAATGAAAGCCATGCGTCAATTATGCTGCTAGTGCGTCCGGGATTCAGAAGTCAAGCTGATCTGTCTGATAACACTTCATTATATGGACATCCTTATTAACAAGCTCAGCTCGTTACAATGCCCAGGCGATGACGCCTTCTAAATCCATATCGGTCACCTTCGGCCATCAACAGGAGAGGCACGCCTTGTGCTGCAGAAGCTCTGCAAGGTCTGATGGGCGTGCCTCGGCGGACAATACAACCACCTGAACCCTCTAACTCACGGCCCCGGGAGCCCACTTTATAAAACCAGGGCTGTTACACTCCTACTTTCCCCGTTTGAGCATCTCAGCTATCCTGATTACCTGAAGCTAAACCTTTACACCTGCAAATTGACTCAATTGTTTTCCAACTGTAAGTGCACGCCGCTTTACTTACCTGTCATAATATGCACTGACACACATCCACAGTCCTTCCTGCACAATGTGGGCACTGGATGATGTACTGAGACCCGGCGAGGCGGCCGCTTCAGGCACAGTCGACACACCTGGGGTGTCCCCGGACACAAGTATTGCCAGCAGCCTCACCGAGGAACCAACCGGGTCGCAATCCCACAACGATCCGACCGCAAGTTTCGACGCGGAGATTGCCCATAGTGTCTCCCTGGAGGAGTACATCGTATGGGATCTCGGGACCGACGTGGTGAGTGGATCATCCCCTGCTACAAGCTACATGAGTCAATATCATCCTCATTGCACTAGGGGTCCCCAATTGAAGATACCACACCAAAGTCGTCGTCGCTAATGAGCGACACCGACCTGTGGGCGGACTGTGATGGGCAGGTCGCCGACGACGATATTCGTGGTAGGTACGAGGATCCGGTATGTTGATTATTTTCGACTTGAAGGGCAACAACTGAGCTTTGTACACTTGGTCAGTACATTCCACCAGACACGGGGGCACCACTGCTGTCGGACAACCCGACGCCCTGGGCCTGCAACGCCGCCGTCGCGGGGCCCTCCACCTTCGCAGGTGCACTCGGGCACGCCGGCGACACGACTGGGGACGACAATGCTCGCCCGGTCACCGACCGATTGCGGAGGGATCACGTATCCCTCGCGATCGACCCTGGTCTGCTACATGCAGAGCAGGGTACAACCACAAAAGAATACGCAACTGTCCAGGACAACGATGGGTGGGACGAGGAAGACGCCTCAGAGAGTGACTACGAAGAGGTTGCAGAAGATGACAGAGACGACGCTTCCATCATCCACGGCGCTGACGAACCGACTACGTTTGGCGAAGATGATGAACACACTCCTGCCACGAAGGGCGGACCTATCAATCTCAACGACGAGAGAAGCATCGAGTTCCATCCGACCGCTCATCCGGTCGCAGGGCGAGTCACCCGCTCACAGGCGGCCCTATCCCACAATGCTTCATCGAGGAAGCCGGACGATAAGGGGAAACAGCGCGCACCACCAGAGCCATGCAACAAAGAAAGCACCCAATCGTCCACGACCAGCGGGAAGCGCAAGGAGCCTTCTGACCCGCGCGATGACAAGCAGGACGTTCCACCAAGAAGGAATTACACTGGCGGGAATATAGGGACGGGCGATTGGAGGTGCCTAGAGCCGAAATGCACCCGAAAGTATCGGCGTGAGGCTGACATGAAGCGGCATTGGCAGTGGGAGTGTGTTGTGAGGAATCCCAAGCTGCTGAAGGTAGTGCTCTGCGAGTACTGCGGCAAGAGGTACGTAAGGCCAGACGTACTGAGAGTCCACTTGAGGACATGCAAGGTCAAGAAGGCACAAGAGGAGTCTCAGGCAGGTGGTTCGAACGATGGCGGGCGCGGGCGAAGAGGACCTGGCGGGAGACGCGGTAGGGGCGGTCACGGGCGGAGTTGTGGCTCACACCGATGAGTCAGTATCTCATATCCTCTTCTAAGTCTCTCTTTCATCCGTTCTCAGTATGCCTGCCAGATCGTGTCATGGGTACTCACAGGATTCGTATCATGTTCTCTCCACCCTTTCCACTCGTCCACTTGTCTTGACTCAACTTCCTATGAGCTTGATGCTTCGCTACCTGAAACACGTAGATGTGGTAATATATTCATGGCAAGCGAGTTGTCTTGTGGTGTACGGCCGGCGTCCAGCTCGAAATACAGGGAGCAAGGACTAAGATCGATCTTCGAGAGGTGGTATGTACGCATGTTTGTGGCTATGGGCTATGATCGAAACTTCGCTCGAATAGAAATTAGGCGTGAACAGCGATTTCGTGTATTGGCGTAAATCAATCATACCGTCGCTAGCGGTCAAGCAGACAAGAATGAAGACTTCGTGAGTCGAGTCGGCAACGGTGAAGACATGAAGTGGGGATTGTACGCTGTCGCGATCACGTGTGCGTTCCAGCATGGGCGCCAGGCGGCTTACAGCGCCCTCTTGACCCCAATCAAGTATGTCGGAGACAGCCTCATAAGTTCTTATACACTATGAGACCCTGGGCCACATATACATGTCTATCCCGCGACTTGGAAGTATTCTTTCTCACCAGATCCAGGCACTATAACCCGGTCAGTCAAACATACGTCTGCAAGCCGTTCTCGCATGACCGTCGACTCACTGTTGGATCTCAGTGATATAACGTATAAACGTACAACTATCTCTGCGCTTGAAGGTATGTGCGTGATTGGAGAAGGGAGGGAGCAATTCTCCCGAAGGGGATTGGATATCTATGTGCGCTGCCTTGTACTGCGCGAATTGTCTCAAACCATGAGTCTCACCTTCCACAGTACATAAAATGACTGAGAGCTTCGCGTGGACAGGTACAGCTTCACTATGCATGCGGTGTCTACGCCATGTTGATTCATGCTTCTCACAGGTCTGGAAGCCGCGAAACCTTACCGAAAAATGCTGATTACAACGATGCGCGAGGTTTGCGGGCGAGAAATGACCCATGGGAAGCAGTATTTGCACAAGAACGAGATTTATCCAAGGAACAGGAGCAGCTCAACGAGGTTTATGTGTGTGTGAATAAGGCTCCCCGCAGCCGTCGCCCTCGCAAATAAGTGAAATTTAGCGCAGCTACACCTAAAGGCGGGAAATCCGATGCGAGATGCACCTCGGCCGATCAGATGGGTACACTGACTTGAGATCTCGGACAGTTTCACGTCCCGCGAGCACGGTCGAAGCCATACCGGACAGAAACGCAACAACGTGATACGTGCTTCTGCGGTGTAGCGTTGGAGATCCCAATATCTTGAAGGCGGGTCACATCACTACAGACTAATGGCGTTTGCAAGACTTATACAGACTCAGGGCCTAACTCGACTCCTGCTCGAATGCCCAAGGCTGCAGGATGGGCTATCGACCCGTGGTAGTCTCACACGCCGCCTTTCAGCGTAAGACATGAGTCGATCACCCGCACCCGATGCGATAGATGGCGCGATGCCTAGATAGCGTGTGCACCTCGGAGTTGCCATTGGTGGCGAGGCCACTGATATTCAGAAAGGAGTAGCAATTATGACCTAAGCCACGGCACACCATGAGATTGAACACGACTCACTTTTGGATGTAATTGTTCTCTACAGAGTAATGTGTTATTACATTCGTTGCTATGTCGTTTCCAAAGTCTTTCCTGTTCAACCGAGAGGGTCCATAACGTCTGGCAAGACAACGAGTGTATTCGTCCTCGTCAATGTCGCCAAGTCGGGACACAATGAGATACAGGCAAAGCTGCGCGCCTGAGAACAGAAAAGTAAGCTAGAGAAAGAGTCGTGCATATAAGCACCAGGATAAGGGCTGTCAAACACGCAGTGCGTCCGACACCAGGGACAAAAAGGCCGGACGAACATACTGTAAACGTAAAGCCCGCTCGTCAAGCGCGAGAAGCGACTTTGATGTGTAGAAGTGCGCACGACTGGGACTCTCCCTGCATAATGAGCGACAGAGAAGCTATCGCAAGCCCGGGATTATATGCACTCCGCCGATGCAGCCCAGGCGCATAGTACAGGCTGACAATTTCCACAATTTCATTGTCTTGACCACACATTTGAGAGGGGATGGACGTCTACTTCGGATGAAGATGCCTTATTCACCTGTCCACGTAGCGAACAATCACTGGGATCGAGCGGTCACCAATGCCGTTCCCATTCTGAGACAGCTGACAGCATGCAGACGCAAATGCGCGGTGATGGCATGCCACGCTCCAGCTGACCGCCAACGGTGCGCCAATAAAAGTGGGGTGCGCACCTTAGGGCAGAGGCCAAGCCCGTAGGGAAGGTTCATGAACACCGGGGAATGGCTGTTGACTCGCAGGAGTGCACAATGGCTCCACATCTAGGTGGGAGGAAGTATCCATCTCTGGAAACCACTGCGTGACAATGGGCAACAGTGATTCGGTATTAGCTCCGAGAAAACAAGACCAGGACCGCTACTCCACTCATATCCACGGTCTGCAAAGCTTTCCACGTAGCGTGCCCCGTAGACACAAAGTGAACGAGTGGTCTGACGAACCAGGAAGACAGGCAACATTTACACTATGGGCATTCCTGCACTGTAGATCAATTCAATCCATTTTTGCATTGTTCCCTGATATTGCAATGCTAGCAAAGACAAAGTAAGCTGATGAAGCTTAGAATAATCGTGATTCGGTCAACAACGCTGCATTATCCTTGCTTTCCAAATTCGTGCTAGTCATGCCCCTCATCAGCTGGAATTGGACATGCCCCACAGCGGAAAGCTTACGAAGTCTGATGGGGAGAGTCTCCTGTAGCAGAACACACTCCCATCTAGCCTATTTATGACGAAGCGCGCCAGACGCTGGCGACTCCCAATATAAATCAGTGCTGTTCCACCCCTTCCTCACATATCTTCGCTCTGAGGCCTCGGCTTACAAAGCCATCCTACACGCTATTCTGATGCTTTGGAGACAAAATCCATCCGCCTCATTGAACGGGTACGTAAGGCCTTACTCACCGAACACCGCGCGCTTTGATTACCTGGCCACAAGTCTCTCCTTTTCCATGCAGTTGGAAGGAGAGGAGATCGCCATCAGCGGGGCGATCACACAGGATGCAGCCAGAGTCCTGGGACTCGAACTGAATCCCGACACCTACCTAGATACCAGCTTTTCCATCCCAATCTGGATACCCTGGCCCGACGACCAGATCAACGCACTGCAAATCATATCCGAACTCCTGGTGAAAGGCTACACACTGGAGAGCGATTAACATAGTTCAAATGGGGGAGCGATAGCAATAATCTCTCGGTAAACAATGCAGCGACTCTCCGTATTTCACGAGTGTCCCTGGTCTGCAGCACGCAGAGCAGGAAGAAACATAACAGAATATGCCAACCAGTGTATCTATCACGACACCAGCATGGCGAATGAGGCCCATACCGGCTCCGAAGTCGACCACATGGAGCATAGCGAGCCTGAGACCACCGGCTGCGCAGCCACAATAGCCTCCCCCGACGAGCTGTCATCCGCCGCTCCTTCATACATTCTAGCCCCAACAATCGAGGATGCCAACGCCAGCAACTCACCTAACAATTCCGAGCATGACACCCCGCCAACAGTTGGTGAGGTGATCTCCAGTAGGAGGATCGACCGGTCCATGGATCACATGGCTGCCGCGGATGACCCGCTCGATGACAAACGCAGCCGCCTCCTCATCTGCACAGGCATCAACATCCACAACAGGCCCGTCGACAGCGCCGCAAGGTCAGAAGCGCAAGTCGCCGGACACAGACGACGACGAGGATTTCCCTTGGCAGTACGAGTTTCCGGACGATGAGGACGCATACGACCAGGACAACGGCGAAAACAAGGAAAAGGGTGGCGACGCGATTGAGGAGGCTGAAGAGAACGGCGGATTCGATCCAGAGGAGAGGCACATCCGCGACACCGCTACCGCTGGGCCAGACGGACGCTGGGAGTGCCCCGCGCCCAATTGCGGCAAGCTGTTATCGTCCTTGGAGATTATGGTTCGCCACTGGAAGGGATGCAAGAAGAGGCCCAGCTACCAGTCCATCCCTTGCCTGGGCTGCGACAAGTTCTTCGCGAGGGGCGATGCGATGCGTCGGCACCACAGAAACCCGAATGCTTGTGAAGGGTACGTCACAGAAGATGAGGCGAGGCCGAAGCGCGGTCGAGGTGGCGGCGGTGGTCGCAAGCGTGCTCGTCGTGGCTAGAGGTAGCCGTTCCTCTTCTGACTTTCTGACTCGTCTACGTGTATGTCTTGGGAGCTGTGGCCGTTGTGTATTGAATGCAATACTCACTGGTTCTGCGTCGAGTTACACTCCGCCCTCTCTGTGATGGAAACTATCCTGCCACGAACTTATCTGCCCTGCCGTTATCGTCTTGGAGCACGAAGTAATTCCTTCCAGAAGAACGAGTCCGTGCTGTTTGCGCTCTACGCTATCCTTTGTAGGGGAAACCTTTGAGCGAAAGAACAATGAGAGACATACTGTACGTGCGAGATTCACTGCAAAAGAGTAATGATGGAATCTATTGATCGCTATTTCACTGGGCCGCTTGTACCAGTAGCTGATAGTTTTGCGTAATCATGCTTACGAGGTTGTATGCGTAACTCGATAAGGTGGTAAATCGTCTGCGCTGAACGGAATGTGGGCTTTCCCTTATCTTTTTCACCCGTTATTTGAACCTATTGTATACTTCCTAATATAGTAATGTCACGCTACGTGCATAGCGTTCGGTTCGTCTCGTCGCTTTCCCTCAGTCCACTCCATCGTGAATCACGGACTGAGAACTTGAATAAGTCGATCCAGATTCCATCATATTATATTCACTACTGTCTGCTCATGTATACACGACAGCTCTCTCTCTATATGTACGACACAATATACAGTCCGTTGCATCGTAGGTCACGGACTGAGGCTCGCTCTCTATAGATTGCAACATATGGTCCTTGCTATAATACTTTCCTGGTCATGCGCATCATGTCCTCGTCTTCTAGACAGAGGGTGCGGAACTATGGCACAATACACATAATTCAAGCATGGCATATCCGCACTTGCCATTCTCTTTCTTTGTCCCTCTTCCCGGTGAGTTTTCCCAATCATCGTCGCCGGGCGGAGGTCGAAAGGGGTAGGAGCCACCGCTACTCTCATGAGATTAACTGATGGCATATGCGAAGAAGGCACAGTGACGAATTTAAGGTGACGAGTTGCTCGTTTGTGTCTCGTCGAGGTGTCATTGTGGCTACGACGGTCAGACATCGACGCCTCTCCCCCTTCATGGCGGCTTCTCAGGCAGTGTGCCTACCACAGTAACCCATCTTCCCCGTCAACTATAAACGAGGGACGAGCGACGTCGTATCTAACGGCGTCCGGTCAGAGCTTCAGTGAGATGGAAACATCAGCTGAAGCTCGCGCCGAAAAACAACTGGTATATAGCGTGCGGTAGCACGGTGAGTCACCATTATCTGCGGTATTCGGGCTAAACGAAGAGGTTCCGATATACAGTGCGGTTCAGGAACGCCAGGGGGGCGACAACGCCGCGCTGATCCCGACGCGATAACGCGGCGCCATGCGCGCGCGCGCACAGTGGGCGAATGGACGCGCTTGCCCGTCAACATCAACCTGTCTCAGTTTACGCAGCAGTGGGACATTCCACCAGCATCCGCACGATAGTATTTACCATCGCTTTCCCCTTCTTCCTCTATGTCATCCTGAACGGCATAGTTCACGCTGCAGACCTATATGTTCACACCTGAGCTCTCAATGTAATAATGCTCATATACATTGTGAATCACGCGGGAGGACAAGAGACCAAACATAACACGGACTCGTCTACAGGGCATCCCACCATTTGCTCCCCTCGACACGCATATCTGTCTCTGCACAGTGTTTGTTGACGTTGTGTTGTTTAGACGATCTCGGTGCCGGCGGTACTTGCTGTCATGAAAGGCCTAGTCGGTCCAATTCTCCACATCGACGATATGGAGTTCTATAACCTTATGTTCCTCAACCCCATTGACGAATTACTTTGTTCGAGCCCGTTGCATGCCGTCACAGGTAAGCTCTTCAACAAGGTCATAAAGACATTAAACATGACACTTCCACCCCACATCGCATCTCGACAGTTCGTGTTCCGCTTCTTGAATGTACTCGATGACCTTTCCCGTCGTTACCGGCCACTGGCTTCCAGACTCCCGCATCCTCTATAAACGTCTCAGCGAGACCCAGCGGCAAGGAAAAGTAATACTTGATCTTGGTAGAGCGATCAAGATGGCATCGGTCACAGAACGATGAATATGTCGCTGCGATAACTGAGCACAGCCAGCTACAAGGTCTGTCCAGAAAGCAAATGCGCCGCATTTTTGTTCTCAACCGGTGACTTCTAAGAAGCATGCGGGTCGACCTGGATAGGTTGTATATTCTCCCCAGACCAGAGGGACGCAGTCTGACATACGATAAGGTGGTAGAGTCGGCCTCGTGCGCCTACGGGAAGCGGATGTCTCCAATGTCTAGGGTTTTGAATACGGTGTTCAGAAGGCCGCACTTCGAGCACAGCGCACGGAGGCGAATGGATGGGCAGCGAGCAGGTAATAGGCGAGATATTGAATGATGAAGAGCTTCACCGTAGACAATAGGCTAGAGTAGAATGGTCGTCAGGATATGCAGGCGCAGTTCGCACATGCCATGCGACAAGAAAACACAACGCACGAGCATGCGTGTGGCTGCGTCGGCGAATTAATGGATCATTTCCAAGCGCATGAGCAATCGGCATACACATTCGGGGTGCTTCCATACTGATTGATCCATTTGAGCGGGCAGACCCTGAGCGCACACCGACAGTGCACGGTTGGCTGAAGTACCCGAGCATCATCACTAAGCCGTCGTCTGAAATGAGCGCGTGCTGAGGAGAACGTCGGAATAAGTGTGAATCTGACAGACGGGACCCATGTAGCTATTCATGTCACGTACACCCATTCACTTTCCGCCCGATAACCTCAGGGATATACAGACACAAACGCGCTGTGAACAAGGCGCTATTTGGCGAGTACTATGAGCCGGTCAGCCATGCACGACCCCAGACGAAGAGATGGGGGCGCACCTGCCAGCGGAAGGCCACTTCGGCGAAGAAGATTCGGAAATTATGAAACATTTGTCTTTCCGTTCTATTCCTTGTACTACTAGCGCCCATACTGGCGCCTGTCTTAGCGTTCACCCGTAGGTTGAACATTATGTAGCTTACATAATGGGGTCCGTGCGCACTTCGTGCCTGGTATCGTACCACTACGTTTCTTTCTTCACTAACACGACCACATAGACACGATGGTCCGTGCGCAGTCGGTACTTGTATAAGTAGTTGTACCATTAGTCGGTCGAACCCTAAGTTCGACCTGGTTATTCATTCAAGTCTCTGCTCCTCTTCGCTTGGGGTAGTGGTCATTCTCGACTTCCTCGCCCGATCTTCAGGACGACGCACTGTCCATAAGTCCTCGCTCGTCGTCTACGAGTCAGGCATCAATATAGGAGTGTAGACCGTTGTATCAAAAGGTCGAACTTACTAAGCTATGTTCCTAGTTTCACCTAGTCGAACAACTCAACCACCATCACGTCGAACAACGCAGTAAACCCGGTTCCCTTGGGACTACCAGCCCTTGCAGGATCTCCCCTTCTCCAGTACGACCGAGCAGACCGTTGCTTCGTCACCACCACAAGAAGGACTCCCATCTATCCTCGAGGCGGCTCCTGGGTTCACGCAGAAGGTTCCAACCCGCAGATCGTCGCCCATCAACAGCTTGTCAGCTATTACCAGAGACACCCTCCCGCTCACCCAGAAGACGTATTCGCCATCCTACGAATCAACGTCGAACCAGCACAAACAACAGAGAACCCACAGTCACCTGTTAACGAACAACCGTTCGAGCTCCCGGACGTTCAGTACGTTCCCATCGAGGCTCCAGAACTACCACCAGCTCCACCTGCACCAACCAACGCACCGGTTGAAGCCCCTATGGCAACGTTCACTCAAGCAGACATCGATCAGCGCATCGCTGTCGCCCTCGCAGCATACCAATCCCAACAATCAACTGCCAACCGACCCCTTCGCCTTGACATCCCCGCTCCTGAACCTTTCAGTGGAAAAGCGGAGGACCTCAGACGCTTCATCCAATGCATCCTCTCCTACTTCGTCGCCACCAACAACACCCGACTCAGCGATGAAGCAAAGATCGCCTTCACTGTAGCGTTGATGAGGAAGGACCTAGGGAAGACATGGGCAGATGCATACTACGAAAAGTCGGCAGGGGGGGTCCAGGTCTATCCCGATTGGGCAGCCTTCGCCACTGCCCTTGAGGAAGTGTTTCCCGAACACGGAACGCGAATCAAGGCGCACCAAATCCTGATGAAGCTGCCCGAACGACAGAAGAACAAGAAGACGGTGCTCTCCCTCGGAAACTACGTCACCCGCTTTGAGCAGCTAGCATCGAAAGCCCAGCTCAAGGACGCCGAAGTCAATGGCGTCAACCGCACCGAGAACGACTACCACACTCTCCACGCCAACTTCATCAAAGGACTACCGAAGGAGCTCTACGTCTCTCTCGCAACTAGGGTCGCTAGAGACCGACCCAATACCATGAAAGCCTGGTACGACGAAGTCCGAAATGCCGACGCCGCCGAACAAGGGGCCCTCACCGTCACAGACACCAGGGACTACGGGGAGCCAATGGATATCGACGCCGCTGCAGTCGCGGCAACCTTTGCCTCCACATCGGGAGGAAGGAAGTGGGAACTAGGAGCCGTTCTCAATGAGGCCGACCGGAAGCTCCACAGGGACGGAAACCTGTGCTTCTACTGCCACATCAAGGGCCACAGCGCCAAGGATTGCCGCAAGAAAGCGGCCGCACGACAAGGGGGTGGAAGGCCGAACCAGGGAGGATCTGGAAAGGACGACTTCCGCGCCAGAATCAAGACACTCTCCGCTGACGAAAAGCGGGAGCTGTATGAAGAACTCACGATGGAGGATTTTTGAAGGGGCAGGGTGAGCCGACGCAACCACTGCCCGTATCCGTTTCACTGTCCCGTGTAATTTTAGTAGTCCGAAATGAACGCGCTCTGCACATTCCGATTACT